ACTCTTCATCCACATCTTCTTCTTCTTGACCAACCGGCACACATCCACGACACATAAGTTGTCTAAGATGGTTTAATTAGTCGCTGGACATATAAATACGCCGCGCACGGTGTGCGAAATGTGCGCAGCGCACTTACATTTACAAGCTCGTGCGCACCAAACATGGTTTTCGATCTTGTCGAAAGTTTATGTAATCGGCGCTCGCGGCGCATCGCGAAGTTGACATGACATTAAGCAATTACACAATTACATGCATACACATACACAAACACAGAGCACCCGCAGCTTCGTACACATGTACAAATTTGTTAAATTTGCAAATTGCGCGCTTAACATTTTAGCATCTCGCGTAGAGAGAGCTAAATAGGCAAAGTAGCTAATAAAACGGGTACAATCAACCGAGCGTTGATTAAGATTAGACGCGAGAGACGCGCAGATAATCGCGATTACGTGGAAATCTGATTCTACGTGCTTCATTATTTATGTAATTAACTTTTTATTTCTACATAATTTATCTATTAACTCAATGTGGCGCAAGCGGACGAAAATAACGCAATGCGCGACAATTTTTTGAACAAAAATACAAAATATATGATACTAGATTTTGCCATGGACTTAATCCACATAGATTTTAATGAAAAGTTACTTTTTAGTTCCTGTGCTGCTAATAATTTACTTTAGTGCCATCTAGGAATGAATTATATAACTAAAACTATGATTAAATCTTCATATCAATTTTCATCCCTTATTTTACATCCTTCTAGATATTTTTTTGCAACAAAAAGTAGCTTATTTTGTTTTCCTGAATCAAAACTATGTCTAAACCAAAATTTATTAAAATTGCTTGCATGGTTTTTGCGTGAAAGCGTCACAAATAAACAAATACACTTTAGCATTAATAATATTAGTATTTAATAAGATAATTCCCCACTTAATGTCTTCGTTACTTAAATATTTATTATCCTCATTTAAACATGCATTTTTTGAGGCTTATTTTGCTCCTTGACTGCTTGAAGTGGTTTTTATCAACAAGTTTACGACACCCCGCACTCGAGTGTTTTCCTCCAGCGCGTTAATTGCATCGCTAATTGTAAACTTACGTGTCAAGCGGTAATAACGAATAATTTTGATTGCAGTATGCAAAGCAGCGCACAAAGCGAGCTGCAGTTGAGGAAAACATGAAGAGCATAAAGAGCATAAAGATTCCACGAGTTTTATGCGCGCGCGCGCCAAGCAGAATAAAACCACAAAGTGCTTGTTGCAGAAACGGCCTAACTTAATTGAATCGCAAGGCATAATTTAGGAAGACAAGTGGCGCGCTGAAATAAAAGCAAAAAGGGTTTAAACTACTTCACTTTACGCTGGGACCTAAGTAGCCGGCATTCGATAGATGATAAAACTTTTCATGCTGCCTTCAACAACATTCCAGCGAGTTGGTGATTTTCGTGGCCGTTAAGGGTTTGAATGTGTCGAGTTATCATTAACTATAATTCGGCAACAAAGATGACTCGAGTTTCTTTTTATTAAAGCATACGCTCGCCTTGATGATTTTCATCTTCATGTATCAAGTTCGTCGTTAAACAAAAAAGCCACCCGTGTGCTTTTTTGGCAATTTTGTTTACACACTGCAAGCTCCAACTAGAAGTTAAAGCAGAAGAAGAGAAGAAGCTGCAACGCCGAAAATACAAAATTACCAAGTCATACAAAAAACGACGACCGCTGGGCTAACGAAAGAGGAGCCGTAACCGGATGGCCGACGCAAAGGGAATTTCACGAGGCGCAGAGAGAATGAAAGCAAAAGTCATTATAATGTGGCGGACGAAAAATCGAAATCATTACGTCGACTCACCTGCGATCGCGATCTCGAATACAATCTCACGTGCATATATAAAACTACCTTTTGCAACACAGCGAAACCCTTCTTCTTCTTCTTCTTCGATGGGCCGTGCTTTTTTTTTATTTCTTGCAGCGTGTGCAGCGATGTAAAACTTCAAGAGCCGTCGAAACGTCGATAGATCGCCAGAGTTTTACTCGAAAACGCACTTTCACATTTTTTACGTCGCGTTCGCAACACAACTGAACACAACACGTTGTTTACCTGCGCGAAAATAAAAATATAAAAATCAACGCAGTGACGCACTCTAGCGGCATCTAACCGAAGCTGATTGTTGTTATTTTAACACAGACTGCGCGCTGCGCGTTGCGAATGTGTAAAATGTATGAATAATTAAATTATGCAAATATCATTATGTGTATAAACAGGTATTTATATCTTATACATTATATTTTTCAATGTGGAAAAGTGTTGTGCTCTTTAGTTAATCGGCCGGATCTGTTTCTTCTCGAACGCAGGTTGTGAATGCCATCACGTATGACGCAATCGGGTTTCATCTGGGTACCTGGGTTCATTCATCATCATCAATCTCACACTCTTTAGCGTTTATTATGCAAATTTCACGCCGAGCATAAGCATCAACATAAACACCTCGTGTGTATTGTTTAAATATAGAATTTATGCGCTTGTATTACGTTCGTATTGCGGTATTTCAGTGGTGTAATATCCAAAAATAATTGGCAACTAATCAAAATTTTTGAAACCAAGTTGAGTAACCAATGGTTTAGATCACAATATTGGCCTATTACTTAATTTATGCATTTGTCGATTGTTTTGGTGTTAAATATAACGATTTTTGAGCATTTTGAGATGAGATATTGGAAATTGATACTTTGAGCAAGTTTTGAAGTCGCTGTAATTATAGTTTTAGCACAATAAACCATTTAACTGATAAATTAATTTATACTCTATGCGGTAAGATATATTTTTAACTAAATTTGGCTTTAATTATGTTTTCAATTCAAATTTAAAGAAAAAATTGCTAAATTATCGCCAAAAATTAATCTTACACTTTTTATCCATAAATTTAATAATAATAAATAAACAAATTTTATTACACATATAAGGTATTCTCCAATATATTGTCTATCAAATAAAGTTTAAATCAAATTTCTACGTCTTATGATTTCTGAGTTATGACGCCGCAAAGTTGACCAAATTTGTTGAGGTTAAGATAAAATTATCATAAAAACGTAAATCTTTCACATTTTTGCGCGTACATTTAAAAATAAAAAATCTATCAAATTTATTACTGGTGCAAGTTATTCTCCAAAATATTCTCTATCAAATACAATTTAAACCAAATCTTTACCTCATAAGACTCCTGAGTTATGATGCTGCAAAATTACCCAACTGTTGAGGTTAAGATGAAACACATTGATATATTTTTGAATCCCCAATTTGTGCCTGTTAATATTCCCCTTTGAAATGCACAAAACAAAATATTTGTTTTGTATTGCAATGCCAGCAATATATCATCGCCGCAAACTAATCACCCGCAGAAAAGTAGCCGCATTTTTTGCGCTGCGTGCTGCATATTACGAGCTGGCGCGCTGCAAGTAACAATGGGGGTTAAGTCGCCTACTAAGTAGCGTTATTTATGGCGCGCGATACTTTTTTAATAGCGCACGGCGTGGGCGGTTTATCAACGCGTCCGGCTGACAAATTATGAATTACCTTGCGCCAAATTCAAGCCAGCAAAAAACACAAATCACAATCATGACAAATTATCCCTGCAGCAAAAACGTGTTCACAAAAATTAAATATTTTTAAAACTAAAATAATAATAAAAAACTTAAATTGACCGACAGGATGTGGTCGATGGTAGTAGTTTGGTCGCGTTGATTTTGTGATTTATAAAGATTACTTTCGGTTTCATCGGTAGAGGTAATGGTACCACGGTTTAATTTCGGTCCAGCTGCTGTCTCGATTCACTCGGTTCACTTTCATCAGTTTCGCTGAAACCAGTCCTCGACGAAAACAAATTCGTCGTCGTTGGCGTGGAACTCGAGCGCGCCTTGCCTCATTTTGTTCTTATTTTTCATTGCCAAAAAATCCCCGCAGTCTGTGGTTGGGTAATTTATACCCGCCGAACGCTTATTTCAGACTTAGGGGATAATCTGATTTCGGCACGATGTTTCTTAATTAAGCGTATTATTCGCGCCGGGAATTTCAAAAACCCACACTTAAAAAAATAAAAATAAAAAAGGTAAAAGACACAGTTATAGATAGCATCAAAAATCATATAGTAAATTTTAAAATAAGCGGCTTTGTGAGGGTGGGGTAAACTTTTCAGCAGATATAATCATTGTTTACGAGAGTTTTTTCCGCGCCACGGATGAGAAGACAATCGAATATTGATTGTTTACGTGGGCAATCGCATAATCTTTCATATTTTGGCATGGATGGGATGGGAAATGACAGATATATCTTATAATTCCATCGGACATCCAGACAATAATAATAAGAGTAGTAGAAATATTGTTTTCTCCAAAAATTAAAATAAAATCAACAAAATATTAATTTTTTCGATCAAAAGTTTTAAATTTTTCATTAAAAAAATGCAAATTTGATGATAATATATTTTTAAGACTAAAAATTGTAAAATTCGGAAAAACTGTCATTAAAACAAAAGAAAATAGACAACATTACAAAATTTTAGCAAAAAAACATTAAAAATCGGGTAAATTTTAAACCGGAAGTGATTTTTTTCCCAAAAACCACCACCAGATGTCTCTAGACTGTATAAAAGTTAAAAACTGTAAAAAAAAAACACTTTTCTCTGTTTCAAAACGTTAAAAAATACTTTTAAGCATGCATAACTTAGCACACACCCTCTTAACCCAAATATTATCATTTCTTTCAATAAATTTTCAAGTATCGCCTATGCAATTTCTATCAATCGCTCGCGAGCTAGCACATTGCCGCCGTCGCCGCGCCGAAAAGAAAGTAGCGCGTTCGCGGGCCGCTCTTTTTACCTTGGAAACAGTTACCGTCCGCGTCCACTCCATAACCCACTTCTTCGCGACGTCACGCGCACACCAAACGTGTGTGACGTAGAACCACCGTCGGAGGAGCCGTGCGCGCGGCGAGCGTTTCTTGCGGACACCAAAGTCACCGGAGTCTTCGCGCCGTCTCTGCGCCGTGCGAGTGTCTTGGCAGTGAACAGCGTCGCGGCGCTCCTCGATGCACGCGCATTCAAGTCACCGGAAACCGAAACTTTTTTCCTCAATTTCACGCGGCGCGTAACTTAAGTGCACACACCGAGAGTTAACTAAGGATTATTTTTGGATTATAAACTGTTTCGCAGTGCATCTCTACTCTGCCGGAAGACGCACGAAGAAAAGTTAATCATAGAGCAGAAGCTGCAATCGTTTGCGAATTGTTAACGATTGTTTGGTTTGCGCGGTGAAAACGTGAGCCCGTAAGTAAAACGCATCTTCATCGTGTGAATAAAATTTCCACAAATAAAAATTTTTCCTTCTTCAAACTCATCTGCATGCAGAGATTAGTCTCAAATAGCGTTACTCGTTTACTCACAACATGCGTTGCTGGGTGCGCCGCATGCAGAAACGATTTTTCAATGTTACATTTTGCGCGTTTATTTGCGAAATTAAATTTCATCTCACGATTACCCAGCTGGATGGAAAATCCTGGCTGGTCATAAATCTGCGATGCGTATCAAGACATAAAACATTCAATTTAACCCCCTACGGATACCCCACACGAGGAATATCAAATGAAAATTTTGCGTTAAATTATTGCATTTTATAGATTTAATATTATTTAGCTTTATTAACAGCTTGGCTGCAGCATTGGCGCTTGAGTTAAAAAAGAAGTTTCTGAAGTTTCACTCGCGCGGCGAGGAAGAAGTTTCACCAACTCTCTCGCGACTCTTGCGATTCGTACCCGATCTTAATAACAAACTATAATACATCATGAATAATGCGTCGTTTGTGTCTCTGTGCCGTCTATAAAATAAAATGAAAAATATACTTTGTGCATGAAATGGATTTTCTTATTTCGTGCGTGAATAATTTTAATTTTAAGTGTTAGTTATTTGTTAATTTCACGGAAACCAATTAAATTATTTTAATTGTGTCTTCAGATATTAACTCAGAATTAAATTATGTTCTAAACTATGCAAATATTTTATTTATAACAACTTTTTATCAAAAGTTACAGCGTAATTTCTAACCCAATTTATATATTTAACTTCTACTAAATTATTCATAACTTTTTAAATAATAGTTTTATAAACAATATTTTCTGCGTGTTTGGTGTAACTACAATTTAATTGAAAATATATTTCTGAAAGAGTTATAATTATATATCAAATAGTTTTTAAGTACATACCTAATTATTGAAAAAGTAGCTATCAAGCGATAGTTGCGATGACTTAACCTGGTGCAATAGAGATTGTTCAATAGTTATAGTTATTTATTAATTACTCGAAAGTTAATTAACTTATAATAAAAAATTCTTCGGTAATCTATTAAGTATTAAATTCCTGAACAATAATTGGTATGATTGATTTGATTACATTCTTTTCTCCAATTTTATAGGCTGATTTGTTTGTAATTTGTAATTTTTTCAAAACTCAATTTTTAATGTTTATAACTATTATAATAATAATTTTATTATCAAAATTTTTGCATATTAAGATGAAAAAATTAATTCTTAATCTATTGCCAAAAGAATTTTTATAATTATCAAAATATATTATAAGATATTATTAAAAAACAAAAAGTATTTTTTACATCACGCATAACTTTTACACAAACTTTCAAAACAAAATTTTTGCGCGTTAATATGATGAGAGAAAGAGGTGTAAAGTGCAAATTTATAGCCAATTAAATTCGATTTCGCTACGTGTTGGAATGTTTTGCAAAATTCGCAAGCATTGCCAATCTATTTTGCAAAACTTTTGAAATTGGCATTTTTCCTAATAAATAATAAATCTATTAATATTTGTAACATTTCGCTTTCGCGGCAAGGCGGCGCAAAAGTGTCGAAATTAAATAAAGTTAATAAGTTCAATAAGGTCGCTCGCCGCATGACTGTGGAACACCTATCGTGCACAGGACCTTTAAATGCTTCAAAAAGTCGCTCTTTGAGTCATTCCGCGCGCTTAAACGCTAAAAGTTATAAATAACGAGCAAACTTTCGGCCCGTAAACAATTCGCACCTACATAACGACATTATGAAGGCGGCGTTCAGAGTGAATACCCTGACGACCTTTTCGTTATTTAACGATGATCGAATAACTAAAAGTATATCCTATTAAAATTCAATAAGTAATAAAAGTATTAAATTAAATCTAAAAAAATAAAAAAATAAAATTATTTCACTAGAACCTTGTATAACACGTATGAAAACAATAAATAATTTGGCAATAAAATTGCCGAAGGTAACAAGGTCATGAACTTTTCGCTTTCGACACGTTTAATTGATGATTGAACAAGATTTATCGTCCGACAGTCTGACATTGAATTCAAACACAACGATTAGTAGATTTTCGGTCAAATTGGAACTCAATTAAACATTTACAGTGTTTAGACTTTTGCGAACAATGCGAATGAAATTTATAGGCTTGGCGAAGGTTTAATAATCACATAAAAACCGAATCAAAGTATAATTAAAATTAAAGTTGTAATTTTTTATATATTCCTGCGGTTGGAAAATATTTGTAGGTAACGTAACCGTTGCAGGTCACCTGTAGGAAGTGGGCAGTTAACCTTAAACGCCCACAATGCGCACACCGACATTAAAAATGTAAAAATCGTAAATGGTAGCCAAATGAGGCGATCCAAGAGGACGTGCGAACGACCACAATCAAAATTACACACTTAAAATATTTTAACGCCGTCGTTGTGGAAAAAAGCAACTAAAACCTAGCGCTTGAAGATATTGTGAGAATTTGTTCTAATGCGTTTTTGGGTGCAACAAATGTAGCGTCATTTAAAAGCTCATTTTCGTGCAACATTTAAATATTCAATCGTTTGTTTCGAAACATACGTAGCTAAAACAAAATGACCGCTTGACTGGCAATGTCTTGATGTGGCGGTGCGGTGAAAAACGGTAAAATACTTGGCTTGCATTCGTAATTAGTTAGTAGGATTTCTTTGCATCGCGCGCGCACACATTCAACAATAATGGAATGCGACGTGATATAAAAATGCGCTACCGGCAATGATGTCGTTAACGCGTCGCATTGCATTACGTCGCGTTCGAATCACACACAAACAGACACAGGCAGGCATTAAATATGAAGTGTAATGAAGCCAAGTGAACGTACTCAGTAACTCAGTCACTCGTCATAGTCGTAGTCATATCATAGCATGCAAGAAACACACATGTGCATGATTCGTTGCAATTTAAGCACAAATTGAGTTTTTAATTGGTTTTTCGTTTGGTGTCAAATAGTAAAAGTCGAGTTGTAAATTTAAATTAGATTGTAAATCGTGTTTATTTCAGGAAAATAGAAATTTTAGAAATAAAACTTAAATACGGCGAAAAATTAATGTTTTTAGGTAAAAATGCCTCAAACACTTTCGAAACTTTTCTTCAAGTGAATAAAATAGGAAATAAATGCATTGTTCGGTTAGTTAAATCCAAAAAAACACAATTTGTGCAAATGTGCAAATGTTAAAAATAACTGTTTTTCTCAATTTCCTTTTTAATATACAAAAATCAATAAAAAATCTAAGTCATTCGATTTTATGACTGGTAATATTGCACATAAACCACCTTCGATTGCAAAACACAATGACTACTTCAATCCGTATCCGGATTTAATTCACATCACAGTCATTCAACATCCTTTCTGCATTCTATAAATATCTGAAGCTTCCTCGGCGACCCTCGCACCGATTACGACCGTAATAATTGCCAATCGCCGATCGTCGCGCAATTGCACCACACTTGCACTCAATAATATCAACGTGTGTGTCTCTTTGTGCGCGCCGTCCAATTTTCCCATTGACTAATCACAGTCCTTGATCCACTCGTATTACACCCGGAGGACGTGCGACACGCACTCGCACGTGAGTCCGTCGTCCGGCTTGCTTAAGCCACTCGCGCTCGCGTAACGAATGGTTATTGCAACACGGGGATGAATCACGCGCGCGCGCGCGGTCATAACCGTTAAACAGCGCGGTCGGCGCGCGCGTAATGGGATCCTGAAATAGTTCACACGCCGTGCGCGGACAGCGTATTAGCGATCCAGTGTCTGATAACGCATTATTCTGACCATTGCGGGGAGATAAGCGAAAACAACTTTGAAGAAAAAAACTATGCTAGTCGGTTGAAATGGAATAAAAATAGGCAATTGTGTCAGGTAATAAAGTGTAACTGATACGGGCATTAATCAAGCGATAAGATTTTATGACATTTTGTAGTAAAAATAAGAATTTTAGACACGTTAAGGAAGATTTTTTATGGAAATATTTTGTAAAAACTTATTTACTCAGAAAAAAAGTTTATTTTCAATGTTAAGTGCGTGAAATAAAATTTTTAAAGCAAATTTAGACAATTAAGTGTCTAAAACATCATTTTATACACTAGTGCTAAAATATACGGATAATATAGCATTTTAAGTGGCCAAAATAAAAGTTTGAGGCTTTTTAAACAAATGTAATTCATAAAAATTAATTTGTCACTCTAGTGTTTAAAAATTAATAATTATATTATAGTTTAAGTATGGAAAATAACATTTTTAAAATTCTTTCAATAAATTATTCACCTAATATTAAAAATTATGGCTTTATACAAAAGAAAAATTTACTTTTTGTTTGACTTTTGTTTTGGCATACAAACATTTTTCTTCCTCTGGTCACTTAACATGCGGCTCGCATTATAGCGCCTTATCCGCGAATAATACGCAACATGCAACTTGATTGGAATAAATCAATTTACGGCCCGTGCGTTGGTGCGTGAGTGTGCGCGACAAGCGCTCGCGCGCCAACTTTCATCTTTTATCCGCTCTGCGCGCGGATAAAGCTCGCGCGCGGCTTGTCGAAAGCTTGGATTTCCAGCGCGCATAATTCAACCGCAGTACTTGCAGTTTCTGTGGCACTCTGCAGTGTGTGTATGTGAATATGTGTACACTACTCATGTTGGCCTGTTCGGCCTGTTACGACGAATGTTTTATGTGCGTCTTCATCTCGTCGGCCGCCGCGCGACAACAACTCGTGTGTTGCGTTTTGTTTCGTTTTGTTTAATTAGAATCACAGCGCAGCGAATTCATAAATTTCGAAAATATATGCGCAGACACAGCGCACACAAGCGGATTGTGTGTAGGTAAACAAAAGCGGGCAAAATTAAGCGCAAATATGTAAACAATGAGTGTTTCAGGGAGTTTTTTTTTTGTAAAGTTTAGTTTTTTGCAAACAAGACGGTTATTTTATTAGTAGACAAGTTGTAATTTTATTTAATAGCATTATAAGTCAAAGTCGAAGAGACTTGTACAGTTGTAATTATGCCAACGCCTCTCATTCAATGCCATCCAGTGAATTTTTATTGAAAGAAATTACGCGTATTACGACTTTTCATAAATCACTTCTTAAGCGTTGACTCATAAATGTTGAAAACAAAGTAAAATCTACAAAAATTGCAATTTATTGCAGAGAAAACGTGTCAAATTTAACGTTTAATACGATAAAATTAACTATAGTTAACTTCTAATGCGTAAAATTACATTTTAAGGCGAGCAAGTCAGACTTAAGTCAATTTATTTTACTAAAACTATAAATTTTCAGTGAACAAAGGAATTTCTAGGCCAGAAAAAGGGGATAATTACAAAAAACCAAGTATTTAACTCAACAAATCTAAATATTTTTGTTGTTTAATGTGGCAAACATAATTTTTTAAAACGCAACTATGACTTAAGTCGATTTAGAGCACTAATACTTCATTTTTACAAATTATTACGCAATAAAAAAAATTGATTAAATAATTATGAAAAATAAATCTATTTAATATCCAATGTTTAAAATATTAATTTTAGACACGCAGAATATGACTTAAGTCACTTTTCTTCACTAGAATCTAAAATTTTACGTTTTCTAGACCAGATAAATTGTATAACATCAAAAAAACTAATGTAAACACTGTATTCCCATTGAATACGACTTCGTGAAAAAATCCATGCGCCACACCTCAAAAATTGCCCCCGTTTTGTCGCTTAAGTAGCGCCGACCTGCGACCACGATTCAATCGAAACGCAACGAATCGAAATTGAATTAAACAAAAACACACACATCAAATAATAACAAACGCTTACAAATCCAGTTTAGCAGTTCACTTTAGAGGCCGAATTAGAATGTTAATGTTTCGCTAATGTTCGCCGTCGCGTATGTCGACCGTTCGATCGTTAAACTTACCTGTATGTTGTAACAAACGCTTTCCTGCCGGAGCGTTATAAAACTATGCACATAATAATTTTTTGTACTTCTTGTCTTAAATTTTACCTTGAAGTACCTTGAGAATGACGCAGTTCTTGGCGTGGTCTCAAGTTAAGTAAGCAGAGCGTATAATAACTTAAGTCATATGACTTAAGTTAAATCAATACTTAAATAGATTCGAAATTAATAAGCAAAACAAAGTAAAAGTAGAATTTTAAGAAGAGAAAAGTAAGAAATGTATTGTTTTTGTTGTGCATTTCTTTGTTTTCATGAAGGAAACGGGAAAGTTCACCACTAAAAACGCTAAAAAATCACTTCCTAAAGCCGCCCGCTCGTGACGAGCGTGCAAAATTATTGTCTTCGGCGTTCGGGCAACGCCTTCGACCGTGAAGTGCACCAACTATGATTTAATAAACAATCAACTAGCTAAAATGATTATTTGATTGCTACTTTAGACCAACAGCCAATCAATATTTACCAGCAGCTTCGGCTACTTTTTCCATTGTTCACGAATTGTTGTAATTTGCATTCGTTTCGCTTTCGTTTACAGCGTGCTACCGCTCGAGTTACCACTGCCAGCCACTCCTGCAGAGATGGTGTCGCGACGCAAGATCCTGTCGCGATCTCGCGATGACCTTCACATGGACGCCACGTTTCAGGCGCCCGAGGACGAAGAAGACGTATGGTACCAAAAGGATAAATTATATAAGGTAAGCGCAAATTTTTTTACACATCTACTACGCATGCGTAAATATAAATAAACACTGCGTAACCTTCACTTGCGAAAATGTCAATTTATTGTATTTTTTTCGTGTATGCGTTTTGCGTCGATTGTTATGTCACATTTCCCATGTGAAGCGCTGAGATACGAAGGCGAAAACGAAAGGAACACACGTCCGCCGTGGAACAATACGCGCACGTAGTCACTCACAGCATTTCCTCACCTTAAGTCAAGTTTTAAGCAGCGCGCGCGCTCGCAAAAGACAATAGAGCGTGTCGTGCGTGACGTCTTCATGTATGTACGCATGCGCGCGCGCCCTGATCATAACGAGACACATTGTGAACATCAAGAGTTATGCAAGCGCACGTTACCACAAACTGTGCCATTTCCTTCTTGAATTCATCGCTTCACCCGAATTTAATTAATTAACAATTGTGTGAAGCCGCATACATCTTTAACTACGGCTCAAATGTAAATGCATCTGCGCATGCGCACTTAATCATTAATTAGGTACCATTGCAGGCGCAAGTTTCGCACTCTGGTAGTAGCACCAAGGGCGCATTTTAACGAGCGGTCACTCTTTAACTTCGGGGCGTAACCACGCAACTCTTTTACGAAATGATTAATGATTAACACTCGCGTGTGCACACGCAAAAAAAGTGATCGCATAATGTTTCGTAGTGTTAGGTATTACTATCGTTAGTGTTAGTCGCCGGCGGCTTTGAAAACATTATCAAAAAACTGGTTTAGACTCATTTAAAATTAAAATTACCCCAATTAAACGATGAAATAACTTCCTTTAGATTTTTTTTCTTAATTTAGAGGACAACCAAAAACTTGAAACGTGATTTTTGTTGTAAAATCACAGAACGATAAATAAAAACGATAATTGCAGTAATTTTCCAGTCAGACAAAAATTCGAATTTTGGATTTTTGTCGATTAATAAATCTTTTCTCACAATATAGGTGAGTATCTACGCTTGGAAATAGAAAGAAAAGAAAAGAAAAGCACAAGTGGTACTTGTAGAGTTATACGCAGTGGGTTTGTGTCGGTAATCGGTTTTTCGATAGATTATAAAGCAATTGGGCACGCAGCTGCCGTGCTACTCCTCATTTAAGTCAGCAGGATGATGCACCGGTGAGGCGCGGAATAAAAACGCCGTCGAAACACTTACAACGCCGACATCGACATCAATAGGTCGGTGTCTGGTAGATAAACTCGAAAGTAGTAGGTACACCGAGAGCAATGAGAAGAGAATAAGAAGAAAAAAAAAGTGGTAGAGTTTACGAATCGATCTGTTCCGGTCTAGAAATTCTCAAAATCACAACTAAACGCTTCTATTCAAACACAGGAAGAGTCAAAATATAGATAGACAATGTCTTAAATTATCTTCGCACAGATTTTTTAAGAAATTTTTTTGTTAGAAAAAAAGTCAACTTATATTGTTTATAACTTTAAGAATAATACAGATTTTGTTTTTATTAATTGTTTAGGTGATAGCTAAAGATGTTTTTAACATATGTTCAAAGTTCAAAGAATAATTTTGATCAAGTAGATTTTGAAATATTTGGTTTTTAATTTCTTTTTAATTTTTTTTTTTGCGTAAATACCAGATGACAACTTGTAATTAAAATTACGTGGTTTCTATTTGATAAAAAATAAATATTTAAACGGATTCTTATAAAATGCAGTATTAACTAATATTTGTTATTTTAAAATGTTTTAAATGAACTAAATGGAGACGATTTAAAGAAAAAAATGTAAATTTTTGATAAAAACGCAATGAAATTTTGGTATTTTTTCAAAAATAAACCACATATCTTGCATTTAATACACAAAATATAATTTTTTGTTGTTTATTGAAATTTTAAACTGTGGAATGTGTTATTTTTTGTGTTGTGTGTAATTAGCAAATTTCTTCTCGTTAGTTTCGTTAATTTTCGTTACGACAAGCCGAAAACGTTCCCTCCGTAATGCTCTATTAATATTCGTATTAAATTTAAATTAAATTATGTTAATAATGGGAACCAAAGCAAAGTGGTTAACTCACGAGCGTGCACGAATGAAACAAATGTAACGAATTACGAATGATTACAAAAACGCAGACACAAAGTAATGTCGAAAAAAAGTTTCACCAAAAACACACACACAAAACACACACAATTTCGTCGATTTGTATTCACAAATTCATTTCAATTCATTCTATCGAGTGTAAATTTCACATAGGAAGGAACCTACAATAAAATTGATTGTTTTTTAATTATTTAATTATTACCCCTCGTTAATTTAGACAAATTTGAACAAGATTTTAGAAAACGATAAAATACCATATAGATACTATTCCAAAATTACCCAGAGAGAGGTTAAAGGTAAAACTTTCATTTATAAACATTTTTCTCCAACACTTTTTTTCTTGTTTTTATTTTGGCGGTGCTTCAAATAAAACAAGTGCATAATCGATTGCCTTTTACGCGCGTCAGGTGCATCGTGCAACATTTTCTTCTTTCACATGTCGGCTGTCAGCCGTTGTCTCGTCTAGCCGCAGAAAGCGATCTCATATCTTTTGTGCGTTCGCCGCGAGCGCGAGCGCGATTCGCCATATCGGCAAGAAATCGAAAATCGAACGCCTGATGATGCGCGCGCTCGAAACAAAAAACGTCGAGCATTAGCTTTCTCTCATTATATCCCCAACACACACACACACACACATGCTGCATATGATACCTACTCTTGTCTTCATCATGCGAGTAATCCAGCGATAACACGCTAACTATAGTCCTATGCTTACAATTAAAGTTTAAGGTTTGAAGGTGTCTCGAACAAAACAAAACGTTTTTCCGAGAGCCGCGAGAAGCGCAGTGACTTGTGATGAATCACGGTAGACACATGCTTCAAAAGCTCTCTCGGGAGCTTTTCAAAAGCTCCAAACTCTTGTCTTGGCTTGTCTCTCGGCTAAACGTTACCACTTGAAAGACCACAACCACTCGCTTTGGGCAATTTGTGCATCGCGCTGCGTCTAATGTCTAATTTTATAATTTGAATAGCTCAGCGAGCATTTAATGAGTTTACACGCGCGTCCAACCACAGCATTGATTTCAAATTATCATAGATAATACATACGTAATTGGTAATAAAATTCCTCAATACAAAAAGAAATAAAAATTGGGTTTTGAGCACATATTTCCACTTACATCATTAACAGATGTTTAAATTGATGTTGGATTATATTGGTAGACCTAGATGGAGAGTCAGAGGAAACAAAAGAAATTGTGGTTAACCAGATGGTCTCGCAAATTGTAGAGTTTAGTATTAATAACAACAAATACGTGAATTTATTTGGATTGCGCAAATGCGCAACCGACCAACCGTTAGGATGATTGCGAGTGATCTCAATTACAGTAATAAAACATAACAGACAAATAAAAATAATAAAATTTAGGCTAATCTAATAGAAAACACGAAGAAACAGTAATTTTTATGTTTTCATAAATTAAAACATGAAAAAAAAAACAGAAAAAATCAAATAATTACCAGAAATTTAATTGTTTCTTAGTTTATTACTGAAACTAAATAACATATTATAAAATGTTACTTTAGCAGAAATAAAATTAAAATTAATTTAATCCAAGAAAAATTACTGTTTTTATGATTTTTAGTAAATTAAAACAAGAAAAAACAGAAGAAAAAAAAAAAGAAATAATTATAAAAAATTTATTATTTCTTTAATTTATGACCAAAAATTCTAATAAAATGTAACTTGAGTAAAACTAAAATTAATTTAATCCAGGAAACACTTCGTAATTGTTTTGATTGGAAAACAATTTCGATGTCTCGCGAGCAAAACGTTTATGGCACTCGGTGTGCGATGATTTTAGTTTACAGCTCGCACCAAACATTGTTTAACACCGCCGTGGGGTCTCAAGGGTGGTCGGCGGGGATTTTAACGAGGCATCTAGTGCCCGTCACGGCGCGACTGCATTAAATCCGCGAATAAAATAGAATCGAACGCACTCGACGCGCGATAAAACCGCCTTGTTTATTTGGCATTTACGAACGAATAAAACGCACTATCACCGTGCGCATAATATTATTTGTATATTGGATGCGCGTACCTTTGCGAATCGCAACTACAACTATATACTTCGGTACTACCACTAAAGCAGAAGATACAGAAGACGAAGAAAAAGGAGAAAAAAATGCGCGCGCGCTTTTATTCTATAACATTTATTAAAGCGCGCATCTGAAATGCATCGCCAGCTCAAATCGGCGAATGGTGTCGTCAATAATATCATTTTATTTGCTATTTGCGCGCATTTCAAGGCACGGTCTTGCGTGTGAACGCAAGACGCATGCAAATTCTGCAAAATTTGCAAGCGGCAAAGAAGTTAGGATGGGCAAACAGGCGACGTAATTCATTCGGCGGACACTTATACAAATTTTGAAGCTCATAAAAGTAATATTTTCACTAAGAATACATATTACCTATTTTATTATGTTTAATTTTCACGTAATAATAATAAATTTTCAGTAAATTAAAGTAAAATTACGATAAAATTTGTTTTTTGACCATTTTCAACCAATTTTAATCCTATTTCAACGGTTTCTAGTAAAAATAAATAACTGTAAATAAAATACAGTGTTCTACTTGAAAATAATAGAAAATAAATTAATTTTTCACCCATTAGTTCTTTGAAAATGTCGAAATAAGCTTCAAAATGACTTTTCTTTTAATTTTCTTTCTGTTTGTGGTGAAGATATACGTGGAAAATAGCAAGCTTTAAAAGCTCATGGAAGCTCGTAAAAACACACCCACATCGTCCGTCAATTGATTTAGAACGCGCGAGCGTCGTTTAAAAGCGCATTCTGGTCGCGCCAGCGAATTTATCTCCACTGTAGGCTTTCCACATTCAATTAAAATTTGTCATCTTCGCCGACTGCGAGACTTTATACGCCACAAATTATTTTGTAGTTACAATTCCGCGCTTGTTTGCGCACTTATTTATAGCTCATGTTCATACATCTTTTTTTTTCCTCTCCACAAACCCGACCAATAAATATTTGAAATCACGTACTCTTCATTTCTTGTTTCTTGCACTAATAAATTTAATTTATTAACATATTAAAGTATATTAAGACAATGTCGCAACTATCGATTATAATAATCTCTGCCGGACCCCCTGCGATAAGCTCTGCGCTCCCGAAGAGCTAAATTAAGTCGGTTGCGGCGCGTGCACCTCCTGCTATTTGCAAATCATCGCGTTAAAACGATGACGACATGCAGAATTTTACATCTACGCCCATCGCGGACGCTGAAATAAACAAACAGCAAACAACAACAACGGCGCAGCGCGGAGGAAAAATAAGACAAACACGCGGCAAATTATCGATAGCTGGTAAGCGCTCGATGCGAAAGTAAGCAAGAGCGAATAATAACCATTAATTAACGTGTTTGAAAATTTCTGATTACGATGATGATTCACAATCAGCGCGATGCCGCGCCATTGTACATCATCATCTTCGAGTACGCTGCGAGAACGCTTCATGTTGCGCGCGCAGCATAACAATTAATTCCGAAATGTGTGTAACGAGAAGTTACGATCATGTAAATGTTTTCCAAGCAAAAGACAACAACGCACAATTACGCATTGCGTATTATACAGGGTGTTAAAAATCCAAACTAATATTATAGAGTCATAAAAACGCAAATGTTGAGTTTTTTTGTTTGTTTGTTTCACTTTCACGCAAAAACAACTGAAGTAATTTTGATAAAATTTGGTATAAAGATATTTTAGGCCAGGGAAAATAAAATAGACTGGTTTTTGTCGCAAAAATATAATTTTAAGGGTGTGAAATAAGGTATGAAAGTTGAAATAGAGATTTTATTATAGTTTTAGTTATATTATTCGAACCTAGATGGCGCTATAGTGTATTATTAGCATTTCTCATGCTAGAAAAGCAAGAAATTAATATTTTTTCACCTTTTTTTTTGCTTTAAATTCCAAATGGTAAATGCAAAATGATATTTTTCTTACTTGTGCTTAACAATATGAATATTTTTGCGCACTCTGTATTATTTGAGGAATATTCAATAACCGCTTAAAACTTACGACAACGATTAAAGTAGGAAATAAACCAGAGGCGTAATTATCGCATGAATATCGACCGTCCGCCGACGATTTGCGACCACTGTCACATCGCCCTCCACATTGCTCTCCATAATCGTTCCGTCGTCGTTTTGTGCGGCGTGTGCAGCCAATTGCATTGTGCGTTTGCTCGGCTGCTGCACTTGTTTATGGCTTTCTCGTTGTTTCCATTGCGCCGGCTCGCTGCTGGCGTCGTTAGTGTTAATTGCTAATTTCTTTTTCACTTGATTACTCGCTTATTACCGTGCGCGCATCGCCGGTATATCTGCGCCAACGAGCAGCGCACACTTTATGCGTCGCTAAATATAGCGCTTATCTAAATGTTTCGCTAGTTAATTAATACACCAACATAATATGTAATATGCAATCATGTGTTGTTTTTTTTCCTGTGTTTTGGAAGAGGAACATACTGTATGTTATCAAGCACATGTGTAATTCATAAGCATCTGCGCATTGACTTTCACTGCCGGCACACATGCGCGCGAAACTTAGACAAAAGTCGAGATTCGAGAGAAGCTGGTGAATGTCTTTGCGCGCGCCCGGAATTTTTCACTTTTGATTGCATGTGTGTCGCGTTTAGAGTCAAAATTAATTGTGACCGAGCGCACACTTTCTACGTCCGGGCTATTAATTTAACCCACACTGACCTAGACAACAAGGTGTCAAGCACTATTGTTTCAAATAAATTTATACAATAAAACAAAGCAAAACTAACCACAAAAATCGTGATTTTGAAAACTTAAACTTTTTCTACTTTAAAATAATGATGATCTAGTTATTTTAAAGCTTTTTTTCTTTGTGTCTTAAGGAAATGTGTTGAAATACTCACCAGGTTCTCAATTTTTTGATGTTAAAATAAGTGCAGCTGCAAGGCGTCGTTAAATGCGCGTGCAGCGCTTCGATTAACGCAGACGCGGGCGTCTAGAAAGTAAAAAGAAACAACAAAAATTAGCAGGAAATGACTTTCCAACACATTAACATTAGCCGCAGCATCGTGCGGCGCACAACTCGTCAACGCGCAAATTTTCATCTTTAAACGCAACCCAGACGACTGGCGAGTAAAAGCCGCTAAAACATCAAATCCGGTCTGGAATTACTCGTATTTCATTCCACTTTAATTTAATTTCAAAAGCATGTAATAAGTAACTCATATTAAAATAAAAATCACTTTTAGAATGTTCACTACTTTGATTTATGTCGTGTTTGGAAAATCGCTACACGATTTTAGCACCGGTGGAGTTAATGGCGCAGAATTCCATGCGCAGAAATATTTGTGTCAAATGTAACGCGAATTTCTGATTGGTAATGAGTGCAAACTACTAATGTAGCTATCTATAGCTATAAATTAGAGTGGATTGAATCGATTTCGTTTCGGATCAATCAAATTAACTTTCTTCGTCGATTTATTTACATTTAAAATGTTTTCGAAAAGAAAAAACATAAAATTTTACTTTTTAAGTAGTTTTCATTAAAATCTAGTGTGTTTTGCTCCGCCTACTCATGCTATTGCACATGCGCGAATAAATTAATAGCGTGTTTTGATGATTGTGACACGTTGGGTACGAAAACGCGAAAGTCCTAATTTTCACCGCGCTACTGAATTGCGCCAGTCATCCATCGGTCGGCGCACGGCTTTTGTCGCGCTCCAGATATTACCGTAAATGCTATTACGCTAACATGCGCAGCCGAGAAAAAGTCTTAAGTAGACACACGCAGCGCAGCGGAGACTAGGTAGCCTAGTTCGTAGTCTACGTTTTCCTGCTGTCTTGCTACGAGTATTAGCAAGCGTGCACACTTTTTGCGGGCATGCGCAGTTAGAAACACACATTCATACTATAGTAGAGCGGTAGTTAGCAAATAGGCAAGAGTCTTACTAGTACGAAGAGTTTAAGCACTAGACCAGTAGAAGAAGAGGCCAAAGCAAACCAGCGAAAGATTTTGCATTGCGGTCGACAAGGACGTTCGAAGACATTCGAACGCTAACGGAAAACTCGCCGCAAGCTGCAAATAACGTGCCTACAGCAAATATAAACACAAAGCGTGCAGCAGACAAGCATGAACGCAAAGTACATACACAATATCACATATTAACTCACTTGCGATGCCTGAAAAACGTTTAGTTTAATTTTCTTACGTAGAATATTAACAGTTTTTGCCGAAATGAGCAAAACAATCAACAAAACACCAACAAAAACACCAAAAACGAAGAAAAGGTAAACTTTTGATATAGAAAAGCAATGTATAAGACAAATTTCGCGTTTTTCCGCTATTTTTTTAGCATATTTTTGAGATTTGAAGAGAAAAACTTGAATATCTACAAAAATATTAAATATACAGCATTGATAAACACCCTGTATCAAAAAGAAATCATTATCCACAGATATCTTTTGGATAATCATCAAAAAAAAAGTTTTTCCAGCGTTTCGAAAGTAAAATTTGTATTTAACAAATATGAAATACTTATAATTTTAAGTGTGAATAGTGAATGTGTCGATGCATGCCGCATAATTGTAATAACGCTCCGCGCCGCTCAAATAATAGCTATCGCAACTACAAACACGAACACCGCCACAAAGGAAACCGATACGAAAATATATGACTCCGATACGTGGGCAATTTCTCTCCGGGGACTACTAGGAATGAAAAACGACGCTGTGCGCTGCACACGCCACGCTCCAAACGGCAGCAATTGAATATTTAACTTAAATAGCATAACTTAAGTCACAACTTACAACTTACTCAAATGCTTATTGAGACTTGGTTGGGAAGTTGCTTTCATAAATTTAAATCATCCATTGAGCATATTTAAATGCTCTGCATAACTTATAATTCCAACGCGACTCGAGCGACTTAAGCGATATAATAAGCCGTTTTAGTTCCTTCGCTTTATTCCACGCCTATTTGTTGTCTGACGTGAAGTATTCGTTTTTATTTCGATTGCTGCTAATTGACAACTTTCCCGGAATGCTATTACTTGTTTACAATTTCTCTCAATTACTTTTTATACGTGAGAATTTATCCAAAGAAAAATACAATCATTAATGTTATGTTTTGTTAGTTAAAAAGTATTTTTACCGAAAAAATACTGTTTAGAGCTCCGCCCATTTGACTTAACCCTAAATGTGAATTTACTGCGCATGCCATTTTGGTTTAACTTTACATAACCGCATATTGCGCATGCGCATCTTTATTAAAACACTAATTATCTTAAAATAGGTAATTGTACTCATATACGTTCCTAATTCTCAACGCCCAAATCGCACATTTAGTAAAATCGTTTAGCAGAGTCATAAAACCACTCACGCGCGTTTTCCTCTTGTCGTAAGCTGCGTTTACACCGACTACCGTTACTTAGCATCATAACTAACGACGATTCAATTGATGCGCGGCGCACTGGTTGAATAACACCTTTGAAAAATGACTATAAATAAAAAGAGGCGCACGTAATTCAATAAAAATAAATACGAATGATGCAGTCGTCTTCACACAGAGTGTATATGATGATATAAACGGCAAGTAATAAGTTAAATGTCAATAGATAAATAATCGGCTTACGCGTGTTGGCTGCGTGGGTAAATGCATATTTGACATTATAAGTGGATAAGTCGATAAAAATATCTTCACTTATATGAAAAACATCAACTGATTAAGTTGCGCATGCGCAGAACATCGAGTGGGCGGAGCGTATTATACATTTAATACTTTTATATTGACATTTAACAAAAACATAAACATTTACATGTAATTATCACAATGTATTTATTTTATTATCTAATAAATGCGCATTTATTGTTGTTATTTTTTTGTTGTAAAACAATATTTGCATTTTGAGTCATGTGCGCATAGAAATTGACTCGTTGACTCTTCTTCAACTTACTTAAGTTACATAACGCTCGTTTACCTTCACCAATTCACTAAATTCACTAAAAAGCCATCGGAATGTGCATAAATTAATCCCTCGCCTAAAAAACCATCATTACCGCTATTAACCAACAAAACCTCTAGCGTAGCAGGCGTAAAATTAATTTTAATCATTACAGACACAAAAACACGATTTAAGCAATTTAAATTGAAATCGCATTGAGGAAATAATTCTCGGGGCGTTGGTACCATGTCGAATCTGTCGATACAAATTTATTTCAGCACGCTCCGAAAATGGCGTCGCGCATAAACTTGTCTTCGTTGTCGCGTCTGCGCGCGCGATTTGCATGCCGAACGCGGAACAAACAAGTGGAACGAATTTCTCTATTCGTTACAGATAACCGCCCGAATTCAATCGCGCGCGCAATGCCTAGTAAGCCAACCGAATGTGAGCGACATTGATTATATTATTCGACTTCGTACAAATTCCTCGAAATTCTGCGCGATTCGATTCGATTCCATTCAATTAAATTTTATAGTCACACGTGTTTTCGAAAATTCAATGACTGCCTGGCTATTGGAGCGCAAAATTTTATAGAAATCCGGTTCAATTCTACTTTAGTTATGTGCATTTCTGTGTTTATCCACATATTTTCAAATAATAAAATGCTTTGAAGTTGTTGCGCATGGGCAATTTACTAAACTACACTTTTAAGTTACATTAAAACTTATTTTGTCATGTTTTTAGCACTCAAGCATGTATATTAATCAAAATACGTGTAATTTTTACTTTGTGCATGTTGCGCATGTGCAAAATGTGCAAAACATTTTCTCATTTTAAGTCAAATGGGCGGAGCTCCCAGCGGTATTTTTTAATAAAAACTAATATTTACTAAGTATTAGGCCAAAAAAATAGTAAAATTTACCTCAAAACTTAAAAATGTCAAATTTCTTATAAACCACGACTATTCTACTAATTTTTATACTTAAGTCACGTCCAATATAAAACTATACATTTTAAGTAAAAGTTTCATAAAGCTAAGATTAATATTCACCAAAATATGCAAACAAAAAACAAAAATTTGCATAACATCGTTTTAATAATATTAATTCGCCTCTTATTTTCTATAAAAACTCTCCTGTTGAATGTGTTAGTTATCCGTATAATCGCCTGACGAGTTTTTTGTTTGTCTTCGTTTTAATATCGATTATAAATTCTACATTTACATTTACATTTCGTGCCGAAACTGTATCGCGCATTAAAATATTATCCACTGGCGATGTGTTGTGTGTTGTATGGCATACGCGAGTCGTGAAAGTTGTTTGTCAGGGACTTTGCAAATGCCAAGAGCGCATAAGCGACGAAGACGGCGACCAACTGCGATGTCCACTCGACGAAGACATGATCACACAATCACCCGCATAGAAACAACCAAAAAAAAACTAAAATCAAGTCGTAATAAATTAAAATCAAACTAAAATTCCAACTGCGCATGCGCAGCATACTTAATAATAAGCTTATAAGCTTAGCTGTAGGTAAAAATAAAACTAATAAAAACTAATTAAATCTAAGACAACTAATCAAAGTATCTCGTACCTAGAAAACAATTTGAAACTAATCACGATGATGTGCCACATCGAGACATAATGAAATTAATGCGTTAATGATTTTTTCGGCACCTTATGTAAATTAATAATAATACAGCGCACGCCACACGCAAGATACATGTAAGTACGTGTATATGTGTGTAACACGCAGATGCTTTTAATCTCATCCGTGCGCCGCACAAGAGCACGGCTATTACTGGTGCCTAAACGTCCCGAAACGAAGCGCATTCTTTCATTTTTTGATTCGTCGCCCATCAAAAATTCCCCGCGCGACGTGATGAGACGATGTGAAGAGTGGACGCTTGATTACAGCCAGCGCGCGCATTTTTTTTTTTCAATTATGTTCTAACGAAGCGTGTATTACGATACTTATTAATATGGCAACATTAGGGCTAGTTTTTAATTATAAATTTTATCGAGTCACTAATGGTAATTTACAACGCGGCGGATTGACGTGAAATTTAATTTAGTTGTGAAATTTATTAAAAAATTATAATAAATGCATCAATATTATATTTGTATTGCCATCTATGGATGTAAAAATTAACTTAAATAATAAACAAAGGTAAAAATTGATAAAATAAATTTTTTATCAAAGTTAAAATAAAATCAATGAAATATTGAATATTTTACAATTTTACAGTCATTAAATATTGTTTTATTGGATAAATTTTGATGAAAAAAAACAAAAAATAAAGTTGGGAGCTCCGCCCATTTGACTTAAGCCTAAAATAGAATATTCTGCGCATGCACACTTCACAAAACTAAGACAAAACTAAGAACTATGCGTTTTTAATAATTTTAACAACGAGAAATAAATTTTAGTTGTGAAATTTATCTAAAATCTAAAATAAATGCATAAAAGCATGTTAATAGTGACATCTATTAATATAAAAACGTACTTATTGTTATTAAAGTAGGTACAAAATTTAAAATTAAAAAATTAAATAATTTATGTATTGCACGCGGAAACAATGTAAACTTTAACGTTTTTAAATTTAATAACTCATAAATCAAAAATATTAACCGTCAAAAATTAAAATTACTGCATCGCAAGCAATTAAACCGAATCTGCTTATACATGCACACACATTGTCTAGTAATTTGTACTTTGTTGTTCGTTTTTTTATATCCTCCACTGCGTGTGCTGCACAAACTGCTTAATCAAATTTATGTATTTTTAAAGATACACTCCTCGCGGCGGTGTTTGTACTGTGTACTTTTTTACTGTTTGCATAAAGCATATTCACAATCGCGCATACATGTACAACCAACGACGAAAAAAAAGGAAGTTTGATATTTAAACGACTTTAAGTGCATTTTATTACACACAAAATATAATCGTATGCAACCTTGGCATTTTCATTTGGCCGACTACGACTACGAACGCGTGCGTCTCTGGCTTGGGCCACACAATATATTGTTAGCAGAAGAATGTTGTAAGTAACAACATAAATTAAGTGTGTGCGCATGGGCGCAACGTAAATTTTCAGCGTGCGGGACAAGTTTAAAGTTTAAAGTTGGGAGAAGAGCAAAAAATGTGAAAAATATTATCAAAGAGAGGCATAAATATAAAGTAAATAAAGCTTTTAAGTTTGGAATTAAATTTTTAGAGTTTTTAGAGAGAATTTAAGTAAATTTAGGTTAAAACAGTGTTTGAGTTGCCGTACAAATACCGAACATAAGAATTTCTATTGCTCTACTTTTTTTCGTAGCAATAAATTTCTTTTTTCAACAATTTAACCTCAAAAAATGTCACTATTAGCTTTTGATGGGACTTTTTCTGTGTAAATTTGAATAAAAAGTAGTCTAACTAATTATTTTCTTGTTTTTTGTATTAATTAGGTGCTAAATCTATAATTAAGATAGAAGAAAGGCTAATAACGTATTTAAGTGCCATCTACATTCAGATTATAGAACTAAAACTATGATTAAACCTTGATAACAACTTTTATCCCCTATTTTACCCCCTTCCAGTTATATTTTTGCAACAAAAAGTATTTTATTTTATTTTCCTTAATCAAAAATATCTCTTTACAAAAATTTATCAAAATTAATTCACAAATTTTTGCGTGAAAGCGTCACAAACAAACAAAAAACCCAAATGCCCATTTTATATTGATTTTTCGCAGATAAAATTTAAATAAACCAGCAATAAACTTAAATTTTTCGCTCGTGTGACTTAAGTAAACTAAACCGCTGCTAGATGCTAGACACGCCACACGAGAGCAATGGCAATGAGGCAGTCGCGAGTCGCCGAGACTATTCATGACTGCGGCGCGCATAAAATACGAGTGGAATAATGAGTGGATGCGCGCCCCGAGAACCCCGGGTCCTTGGTGGCTTCCCCTCCGTGACAGGTAGCTTTATGCAGGCCGGAGTTTGCGTACACGCGGTACCCGCCGGTTTTAACGTACGATGTAATTAAATCGCGAAAAAATCGCATCTCTTCCAACTTCCAGCAACAATCCGCAGTGCGCACCGCAGTGGAATATGGTTATCATCGACTCTCAGCTCTCGAACACGCCATCACCATCAACAATGGCGCGGCCGGCGTGCTTTTTTTGCACCTGTGCGCATATTGTTGTTGCTTCTTCATTTTCATTTTTGTCGCGCGTTCAAGGTCGCCGCAGGAGTGTGACTCGTGATAACTATCCCTTCGTGGCGCAGAATCGTTCATTTATCTTATTTACAGCCACTTAACACGGATATTAGGTGGGTCTTGCGCGCACGCTCGAACGCGTTAAGTTAGTCATTAACTCATGACTCCTCGGTCGCAGTAATAGGGGCACGATTGCCACCATTACCGAGTGTGACCACAGAGGACGCAATCAATACCTGAAAGAGTTCGCCATGGTGCAGCCGTGCATTGTGCGCTTGGAAATGATACCGAGAATACGCGGCAAGCAATTCTATATCGGCATCAATTAAATTAAAACGCCGCGGTGGCGCAACGCGCATACTGGCAAAGATGGCGTACACTTTATAACTCACCTCGCTCACCAGGAGTGGAAAATGCTCATCGCCGGGCCGCAAACAAACACTTGGAGGTGTAAACAGACTTGCAGTCATTTATATCGCGCTGCACAGAGTGACACTGCGATCCATCAGTGGACCCCAAAGGCGTTTTATTACGTTCTAATATTAATAAAACACAAATTAGATTCATAAATTTTCACTTGTAACTGCCGCATTAACAAAATGACAGCGTTATGTTCACACACCGCACAAAGGACGAGTTTTCACGAAACGCTGTGATTCAAAAAACGACCGCTAGGAGACATGATTTATTACCAACGTAAAGGATATGCCTATGCATATGCTAGTGACATAATTAAACACTAAACTTTTTAGGTTGGTAGTGTTTTATTTGGTATTCTTCTGCAAAATTATGCAGTGTAGTTCATACGAACCACGCAGGTTTAAAAAATGACCGCTAGGGAGCGCATGATTTATTACCACTACAAGATTATACCTACTGAAGCGACACCTACTGACACAATTAAATACTAAATATTTTAGTCTGGTTGTATTTTTATTTTGTTTTCCTAGAAACTTTAAAACATAAATTTGCATTTTTAAAGGCATTAAATCAGTTTAACTTGCTGTACAAGCAATATAAAAACTAGTAGTAGTCTGGTTGGCTATTAGACTAGACAGTTTACAGTTCAACAGCTCCAGTTACAATTATGCAATCTCGTGGAAATCAAAACGCGCCGCCATTACATACACACACCACAATTGTCGCGCGAGACTCATATCGGCGCAGCTCGTGCGAGAAAGTTACCGAGCATTTTATTCTTACGAAATTGGTAGTTGTACTCAACCAGTACTATTCTAAAAAGTAATTTTTATAGTACTGGAAAGCATCTGCGTGTGCACTTAAAGTTTATGTACAACGCACGAAACTAAAGCTTAGCTCACGCTTCAAGATAAGTAAAAGAAATGATTATCATTGTGCGCGCATGCGCGTCGCTCTTAAATTTCCACCCTTTGTATACACTACATCCACAAGGACTTTGTAAACAATCGGCGTGCGATCCCACCCGATATCCCAGCGGAAAACAAACGAAACGCGCATTTGAGAAATTTATCGACGATAATAAACAAACATGCGTACGCTTGCACACTGTCCTCCTAAGGAGCTAACTCGTTTCTCTTTGCGCGCTTTGAGTCTTTGCTCTTTCACTTTTTTTTCTCTCGTTTCTTCAGCGTTTTGCGCATGCACACACGCGCCTATTTATAGAGTATAAACATAGACTATAGACAAGCGACTAATTCGTTTGAAGCGCATTGTTTATGACTGTTTGCTCCTTGCAGGCATGCGCGCGATTATTGATTTAAACTAAACTCTGCAGGATATATTCTTCGGACGCGTACAAATGTTTAAGTATTAATCCTCTAATGTGTGTCTTGCGGACCTGGACAGATTCGTAAATATTATAATAAGTGTTCGTGTGTGGGGTTTTTCTAGTTAAAAGTCACAAGAACATTTACATTAAATTCTATTGTTTATTTAGTGCATAAAATGATTACGAAAGCGTGCGCTGCGGCAATGCGGCGATGAATGAGCGAGCGGTGCTAACGTAATACATAATTTTGCGTTATACAATCGCTAGAATACTCTAGATTCCCGCCCGGCGATGTTAAAATCATCCAATTTACGTAAACGCCGTTGCGGTACATGTCGAACGTGTTATATTTGTATTTTACGCCATCTAGCGGCAGAAATTTTAACAAAAACGACGGAAAGTTGAATAATATGTTTGGTTATGTTAAACTATTTATTAATAAACAAAATTTTAGATGTTTCAAGGCCTAGAATAGTAAAATATTTATAAAAGCTTTGGATATTGTTTAAATAAAAAGATTTAGAAATAAAAAAAACTGTTTTTTTGATAAAATTTTATTTTTTGGCTTTGTGTGGGGCTTAGGCAACTTTATATACATCATAATTTGACTGTTGATGTGTTATAATGCTATTTTACGCCACCTAGCGGCCAAATTTATAAGAAATACGCATTTATTAAGTAAAATACAATATTTTTCATCATAAATCCTTAAAAAAACGTGAAATTTCCAAAAAATATTTCATTTTTATCTCCCTACAATCAAAATTTACACTTTATCTAATTTTATTACCCATTACACTAGTGATACACGTGTCGGTTGCATAATTACAGCATGTCGAATTAAAAGCATCTGATATTGAATTTTATTTGGGGAATGCAAGCGTGCGGGCCTTTAAAACGTTAAAAGTTAAAAGCCCGACGTCGAATTCGTTTATGATCGCTCCGAGAAGAAGCGATGCCGGCGATGTGGTGAGATGCATGCTGTTATCACCGCACGAAATCAGACTAGTAACTAGTTCCATTCGTACTCGTTACAAGAATATATTTTTTTCTCTCTTGAAGTAGATAGTTACACACATTAGTTGTGCGTGTGTGTGTATTTTTTCTTTACTTCTTTCTAAACGAATAATGGCTCTTTGTCGTAATCATAGTACTTTCGTACTTAAATTAGATTGAAAGTAAATATGAGAAATGGTTAGCAGGTGATCAGCGCGGAATACAACGAGAAAGCAATTTGGGAGCAGAAATATGAAACCTAGATTGCGTTACAGACACTATTAATAAAAATGAGGTATTTTAAATGCAAATATTTGTGTTTTTGTTTGTTTGTGACGCGTTAACATAAAAACTAGTGGATGGATTTTGATAAATTTTGGTGTATAAATAGTTTTGATCCTGAAAAATAACATAGGATACTTTTTGTCGTAAAAAATTCACTTAAAGGGTGTAAAATAAGGGATGAAAGTTGATATGTGGATTTAATCATAGTTTTAGTTATATGATTCGCTTCCAGGTGGCGCTAAAGTGTATTATTAGCATTTTTCATGTTTTAAAATTAATATTGTAAAATATTTTGATAGATTCGTCATATAATTTGTTAAAAAACTAATTTTTATTAAAATTACGCTGCAAAAGTTTTTTACCAAAAATATCATTTTTTTTTCTTAATTTGAGTAGAATTTCTATAAAAACCAGTTGAAATGAATTTTCCCTTGGTGAAAATATTATGTATTTTTAATGTTTTGCACTTGTGTGTCAAGGGTACGGCTCCAGCTGGCTGCGCACGCGCCGTCCGGCGTCCGAAAAGCCAAAAAGCAGCGGCAATTAGCCGTGGCTTTCGCTCTTTGTAAAACCAACAACAACACCAACACGCGCAAGGAAAAACAATACGCGTGCGCTAGGTCCGCGCCACAAACGAAGAAACGAAGCTAAAACAATAGCAGAATTTATAGCCGTCGATGGCGAGCGCGATAAATTGAATACTAGGCTATATCCTCTCCCTCAAAGCCGCCTGCGACTTAAGCCACCTTGCAGACTTAGACTTACATTATGAGGCTCATTATTTTCGTACAATTTTTTTACATTTACGAACAAAACAAAAATATAAACAATAGTGGAGTAGAAATAGCAATATTCATTCAATGTTTTCGTTTGGAAGAGAAAATGAAGATCTTTCAAACAGAAAAGGTTAATTATAATTAGTACAAACAAATGGGCGGCGCACGAGCGCACATAAATAAAATCAAATGGCGTTTAATTAAGAAAAAATCCCTTAATTGCGCGCGGAGATCATTAGCCGTCTCCGCCAGAATTGAAACTAATCACTGCGGACTAATAACGGTATGGAATTGAAAAAGATGTAAGTCTATACGTACCAGACTCAAACGAGAAAAGAAAAAAAAATCTAATTTAGAAAACAAATAGAATCGTTTTGTTCTTAGCGCGCTGTGTACTCAGAAAATAATGAAGTTTCCGACATTGAGCAAGCATGGAATAATGGTTCATCTTAAGTTAATGTCATAATTTGTAAATATTTCAACATAGTCACAAATAAAAGTTTGTTTTTTTGGCCGTGAGAGGGCGTTGGATTAATAACTGTCAAAAATATAACCTTTTTTTGTATTTTTTTCTGCTTTGGGTTAATATACAGATAAGAAAATGTTAATAATAAATTTTAATGAGTTAATACCGTAAATTTCTTTATGTTTACGATCATAAACAAGAAATAAATGAGAAAAACTAATTAAAAAAAAAAACAAATAAAATTGTTTTGTTCTTAATGTATTCATTTACTACTAAAATAATTAAGTTTTTTTAGGTTAACAAAAAACACTCAAAATACTTTGTTTTTAGACCGTTAGAGGGCGTTGGATTAAATACTGTCAAAAATATAACCTTTTTTCGTGTTTTAGGTTAATTTACGGTTCAAAAAATGTGAAACATAAAGGTTAATCTGTTAATACCGTAAATCTCTTTATGTTTATGATCATAAACAAGAAATAAATAAGTAAAACTAATTAAAAATACAAATAAAAACGTTATGTTCGTAATGTATTCATTTACAAAGAATAAATGTCGTTGCTTTTTAATTTAATGAGAAAATACATAGAAAAATTGTTTTTTGGCCGCTAGAGGCCGGTTGGAGTTAATAATTTGTCAAAATTATAACCCTATTTGTGCTTTTTGTGTTTTAAGTGAATTTACGGTTAGAAAAACCATGAAACATGGCATTTAATCCGTTTTTGAGTAACTGCACTCGATATCAATTATATCGGTGGTCGCGTGTGCTTGCACATTCACAGCTTTGATGGATTGCAAGCGAATGCACCGCATGGATAAACCGTTAAAAGGTCACTCGGCAAACGGTCGCAAAACGCTCACTTTGCGCTGCGCGCGCGCGCTAAATGTCGAAATATTGCATTCGCAACAACCGTCGAAACAAAAGAAACGCGCAAATGTCAAAAAGGACAGACCATTGCAATTAAAACCAAACATTTAGACAACAAGCACAAATATAATATAATATTCTATTTCAATGTGTTTGTAAACTTAGAAGAAATGTGTATTGAATGCGCATGCGCATCCAGTTAAGTCCACTCCTCTGGAAAACAATAAGTTATTTTTAACTGATGCAGGGCTCCTGGGAGGACGACGCAAATCGTATATTCTCCTCTTCAGTCGAATGCGTCGGCTGCTGTGTTTGTTTCTAGTTAGTTATGCACATTAGGGAGCGCGCGACGCACGCCATATAAGGCCCTTGCGGCGCGCTTCAACTCTTCTCACCCGCCGCCGCTGCGTATTGTTCGAAATCTGATTTATACATCGGCGGCGACAAGGCGAGAAATGTGTAAAACTAGATACAAACACACATATGCTATACTCGAAATATATTTCGCAAACATGCGCAAAACAATTATAAATATTAAACGGCGCGCGCTGTAAAACGCGTTTTAAATTTACGACGTGCGTTAAATTGAAGTCGCGCGTTTCTTCGCTTGAGTACTTTTCGCGCGCGCACTTGTACTTCGCGGTCGGAGGCTATTAGAGACGAAGAAGAAGAAGAGGCCGTGCGGTTCTTCGTTCATTCATCTTTTCTCGGCCGGCACCGTTTAGAAACAGCGGTTCAAAAGTGTGTTAGTATGACCATGCCATTACAGCCAAGAAAACAACGCGTAAACTGCGCGAAACTTTTACAAAACTCCATTAGATAACGTGATAAACAAAAACAAACTGAAAATAAATGTAAACATTTGTATAAGGACAATGATTAATGTTGAGAGTGTCTTTTTTTGCAGGATCATATACAAGAGGTGCTTGACAAATGGACGCAGATCGACGACGAGATTTGGGCGAAAGTAATTGTCTTGGAACGTAATAGGAGGGTGGCTAAGGCTTATGCAAGGGCGCCTGTTTTGACTGTTAATGGATCTGATGATGGGTTTGATGGTTTTAGGTAAGTTTTCAAACATTTGAAACTTTTTTCAACTTTTTTGGTCAGAATACGCTTAATTTCCATTAATATTTCTTGAAAAAATTATTTGTTTTAACATATTTTTCATTCAAAAGCCGTTTTTGTTATATTTTAGTAGTTTTTTCAACTTTTTTGAATAAATATACCTTTAATTACTATCAATAGGTTAAGAAAAATGATTTGTTTTCTTATATTATTGTCTTAAAAGCAGTTTTTTGTCATTTTTTATTATATTAATCGAAATACAATGGTAGGTAGTACGAGAGGGTGAGTATAAGCTAAGTAAAGTTAAGTAAACACTTACTGTACGCTATACCCTCACAATATCGCCAAAACGATATTTTTACTAAACCATTGCAAGTCAATGCAAGTATTTAATCGAATAAAACGGAAATACTTAAAAAAAGGTAAAGATTTGGAAAAGAATTTAAAAAAATGTTCAAAGAAATAATAACAAATTAAACAAAATACGTCATATTGTTAGAATTATAACTTGCTACAATATTTTCTTTCTTTAAAATCAGTTTTTTGTCATTTTTGGTATTTTTTTCAAGTTTTGGAAACTTTGCATTACTCAATTTCTTTATATTGTTGAATTTCAATGCAATTTGACTCTAAAATAGAAGAAATTCTTATTTTTTCGTATTTTTTCTTGTTTTTGCACTTTTTGCCATAAAATTTTGAGGTTATATTAGCTTCCTAAGGATTTTTACATCTCAAATTACAAATTCTAAACAAAAAATAACTTTTCAACTCTAGAGTAGTAATAATACAGCATGAAAAACAATAAAAACATAAAATTTCACTCTTTATACATAACTTAGTGTTTTCTACTCTTGATAAGTAATATATTACAACCCTAGAGTGGTAAAATAATAAAAAACACACTTCTAAGATGTTTTCACCGCAATACACATTAAATACCTTTGATTTTTGATGATATCAGTCGAATACAACACAAACAATCGGAAATGAACCAAGATTAGCAAAAGAATACCTCGATTTTCGGCACGCATCCATGCGTGTCTCCCACCTAGCAATTGCAAAAGATTTAATTGAGAACACAATGCAAGCGGTCAAAAAATGAAAACAATGAAGAAATGCACTGAGAAAATAACGATACAAACAAACGAACGCAAAAAATATGATTGAAGTTTACGTCTAACTCTCCATACTTTACTTTACTTTACTTTGTAAACTACGTTTCTCGAATTAGAATTTCAACGCAGTTTTTCCTTGAAACTAGACCAAAGAAGTTTAGCGTAATGTAATGCAATCGGAGTCATTGTTTGTCACTATATACACACTCTGAGAGTCACTTCGGTTGAAGCTATTGTTGGTGCGGTTGTGTGTATTAATAAAGCGCAATTTGTAATATCATTGCTCTCCGGCTGAGTGAAAGTTCTTCGGCGAGCGCCAGCTGCACGCGTATTTTATATAATAAACACACAGCGCAGGACAACACACACCTTTTAATAATAATAATAATAATCATATTGATCTGTTTTGGTGCAGATCAGAATGTGTCGTGTTTGAAAATATTGTTCACTTTCATATTGCGGAGTAAAATCGGTAAATCTCCATAAAATATGAGAACAATAACACTATAATCAACAACTACAACAATTGTGTGTGTGTGTTTGTGTTTGATTCTAAATCTGTTGGTATACAGATAGAATAATAGAAAATGAAATGAAACGCATTGATCGTTTAGGAATATCCATTCGAATATTATACACAATTCACAATAGAGACATGTGTTGCTTGTCTGATTAGATTTGATGATTTTGTAGATACGATGTGTTGTGATAGGAATCTCACCTAATTATTGTGTGCGTTGGACGTATGAGACACCTTTCGAGAAGAAAGATTCTCGTTTTCATTCGTGTGTGTTGTGTTATTAGATATGTTGTTTACCGTTTCGGTCTTTGTTCTTGATTCGTTTTAATTTTACGCGTCCACAACTCGGCTCTAGGACGGCGAAACAATGGAACGCAGCAACGCGCGACGCATTGAAATGGAATAGACGCGGCGAGTGGGTGCGGAGAAATTGCAAAAGAGTCCACTTGGTCGAGGACATTCGCTGCCCGCTTGCGATGGTATGTGGTATGCTTGTGGAAAATTAAAGGCAGCGAGCTGCAAATATTAGAAGACATGCGATGTAATTAAATAGTAAAAAATAGTTTTTTAGTCTTTAAAATTAGTAAAATAAATAAATATTTTGATAATAAATGATACAATAATAAGCAGTGATACAAAATACCAATAATTGCCGCCTTTCTTAGTAGAAATATAACTAATTTTAATGTTTTTTTGGCTTTTAAAAACATTTTTTGTAATTTTTCATGATATCTCTCGAATAAAACGCAAAAAATCGAAAATTTAAAAAGATTAGGAAGAAAAAAAGAAGAATTTGAGAGAAATATTAAGAAATTTAACAAAATACACCATATTGTCAGCCATATTGTCAATAGTAGGTACCTATTACTTGCTTTAATATTTTCTTACTTTAAAATCAGTTTTTTGTCATTTTTGGAGGTTTTTTCAACTTTCTGAAACATTGCCTGGTTTTATTTCTTAGTTTAGTTTAGTTTCAATACAATTTGATTCTAAAATAAAAGAAATTCAAAGGATTTTATCAAATATGAGTAAAACACTAGCAATTCTTATTTTTGTCTTAAGTTTTTCTTGTTTTTCGCACTTTTTGTGTGTTTCAAAAGCAAATTTTAAGGCTATATGAGTCTCTTAACGATATTTACGCCTTGAATTACGAATTATAGCAGTTTTTTTATCAAATTAGTTAATTTTTAACATATTTTCACCTTCATAGTTTGATACACACATTTTAATATCATTTCCGTGATCAATTTGTAATTTACACTGCTTTTAACTCACTTTTACTACTATAAATCCCAACATAAATAAAATAATGTAAAAAGCATACTTTTATCACCCCGAAATCAGCAATAAATTTAAAAGTTACTTTGTAAATACTAACTACTGATAATGTTTAATTCGAGCTCGTTTCTAAGTCTAAGTGTTATTACCTTTCTCTTTACTCCAAATGTTTGGTAATGTTTGCAATGCCTGTAACGTTATCGAATTGACCGTAAATTGTGCGCGCATAAAATAGAAATTGCCGTCGACAGTGCGCACTCGACTCTCGGCATTTTTCTGCCGCCGCGTTTGCTCTAGAATGGCAAGTAGGAAATTCAGGCGTTTCGTAATCAAACGAGATTTCAATGGTTCCAATACGCTGATCACCGAACACAGCTGACGGCGATATATTGCATATCAACATTACAGAAACACAAAAATTTTATTTGGTTTATATCTTATCTTATTGCTTAAGATGAATTGTAGTTGCGCGCAAGACTAATTAAAAAGTAATTTGATTCCCATCGCGTTTTATTTATCGTCTCATTCAGCAGCGGCCGGAGACGGTAGTTGGCAGTGGTTTGCCCCTAAAGGGCAAAGGCAAACGCGTCTGCGCATTAATCGCGGCTTGTTAGGCGACGCACGGGCGAATATTTTCGTGATTTATGCGTCGCGTCCCGACGGGCACCACCCGCAAGCACACACCGACACGCGATTCTAATTTACGAGCGGATTTGCGACGCGCGTGCGCGCGTGCCTGAAGGACTTGCGCGCGTAGTTCTAAGGGCGAGCGATGTGCTAGGACACAACAACTGGTAGCATTACCATATTGCCGTGTTCGGGATTATAGCTTGTTGCTTATTTGTTACGCATACAGGACCGTCACTAGGAATATTTATAGGTTATGCAGCATTTTGACACACATAAACTATATGCAACCAGTTATACATTAATATAAATTAGGTTAAGAATAATTTTTATCAAAAAAATATATTTTCACACAAAACTGTCACTAAAATATTTATAGGTTATGTATTATTTTGACGGAAATAAAATGTATGCAACCAATTATACATAAAAATATAAATTAAAGTAAAATATTTTTTTTCTAGAAAAAAGTTAAAATTAATTAATTCCAGGCCTGGAAATTTTGCATTTTAATCCTACACGACGACAATTTGTAAATCTCGGTGTAAATTGCATGATAGATATAAATTATAAATTATTACTCGGCTTCCTGATAAACATTTTTTTTTCGATTTTTTGATTGTTGAACGCAATAAAAGCCGCCGCAAAGGCGGAAATTTTACCGATTGTATCATTGCGCGATTGTGTGATTGTGCAATTACGAAATCGTAAAAAGGTAGCGTTTGTGTAGACCTACATCGACGCCGCAGCGGCGGTCGACGTAACGAAGAGATGCGCGAGCGCTGCGCGGCACGACGAAAACGAAACCGAAACGCGTCGTGATGAATTAACGGCTCGGCGACTTTCTCCGCGCCACCGTGCATCATAATAGATTATGATGTGACCTCTTCGGCGGGTGACCCTCGGAAATCAGCGTTTTCCGGCCTCAAGGAAAAGAAAAAATACGCAAAGTCACAAAGAAGACTTTGATTTGATTGGTGATAAGCGTACAGAGTGACAAGAATGCGATAAATGAATATTCCGGTTTAAAAACACATATTTTAGGTTAGAATTACTAGAAATTTAAGTTTACTTATCTTGAAGTTATGTTTTTGTTTGAAATTTTGTCAAAACACAAATTGTTGCAAAATTTTTACAAAAATACAGATTATTTTCATGTTTACAATGTTTGCTTGTCATAAAATCACTTATTTTAGGTTAGAATAGCTAAAAATGCAATTTTACTATGTTTACGTTAAGTTATTGTTTAAAATTCTGTCAAAAACACAAATTAAAGGGATGTTTTCATCAAAATATAGAATATTTACATATTTACATTGTATGTCCATTTTAAAAGCAAATATTGTAGGTTAGATTTGCTAAAAATGCTGTTTTACTTTTTCAAGATTATGATATCATGTGACATTTTGTCAAAAGCACAAATTGACAACATATTTTCAGAAAAAAATGCATTTTTTCACATTTGTGTTCTATATGCATTTTAACATTTTTAACAACACATTTTTAGGTTAGAATTGCGAGAAATGCTATTTTACCATTTCTAGGTTATGTTTTCAAATGATTTCCTGTCAAAAACACAAATTGACAGAAAATTTTAAGTAAAAATAAAAGATATTCAAATATTTCCATTGAATTCACGTTATAAAACCACATATTTAAGGTTAGAATTTTAAAAAATGCAATTTTACTATTTCTAGGTTATGTTTTCATTTTAAATTCTGTCAAAAACCCAAATTGACAGCAAATTTTAAATTTTTCGGCCTGAAGACATTCCAATGTAAATCCCAACGCGTGTCGAAACCTATTCCGCGATTCCTTCTCTCCTCACTAACGAGAATCCTCTCCTCCGACTCAACTGAATTCTCTTGTTGTTTGCGCTTGGCTCATGCCCGTGTCCGGCCGCCCACACAGCGCACTTTTATGAAGCTGCGCTGAAAGCTCCTCCGGCACAACACCGGCAGAAACCATTAAACCGGGTGGAAATCTCGCTTTCCGCGCGAATGTCAATCGGCATTCACAAACGGAGAAATACATGCATGCATTAGAAACAATGCAGCGTGTTTTGTATTTCAAAATCCATCCTGGCTCCAGGGTGATTGTCGAGCGCAGGAGAGTTGTACCGGTTCGCGTCCCAGGTCTCTCTTACAAGTGTCCGCGTGTGTGTCCATAATGTATTGATCACGATTAAAGTGGACTAACTAATGTTCGCACTATCGAATTCTCAGCCGCAGCGCGCCACGATGTTATCACAGGCGATCGTCGCCGTGTTTTCGCACCAAACACACGGCTAATCTGCACGGGCGGATCTGGCTTACAATATTCACACATTTACATTGTATGCACGAGATAAAAAGCACATATTTTAGGTTAGAATAGGTAAAAATAGTTATTTACTGATTTCTAGGTTATAATTTTGTTTGATTTTTGGTTAAAACATGAAAAAAATAAATGTTCACACATTTTGCTTGAAGTTTTGTTTTAAAATTATAAATTTTAGGTTTAAATGATTAAAAATTAAGTTTTACTATTTTTAGGTTATGTTTTACTTTAAAGTTCTGTCAAAAACACAAAATTTATGGCGATTTTTTACCAAAATAAACATTATTTGCATATGTTCGTGGTATTTACGCCTCAAAAACAAATATTTAAGGTTAGAATTATTCAAAATGCAATATTACTGCTTTCTAGGTTATGTTTTCATGTATCATTCTGTTAAAAACACAAATTGACAGCAAGTTATCAAAAAAATGAATTTTTACATGGTAAAAACAAGTTTTTTTAGGTTATAATTACGAAAAATGCAATTTTACTATTTCTAGGTTATGTTTTCATATCCTTTTTTCATGAAAACACAAATTGACAGCAAATTTTCAAATAATATAAATTTTTTTATTCGAAAACACGTTTTTTAGGTTAAAATCACAAAAATGCAATTTTACTCTTTCTAGGTTATGTTTCCATACGAAATTCAATCATAAATCTCAAATTAACGCAAAAAAAAACATAAAAAATGCTAATAAAATGTTTATAACCATAATTTAAATCTTTGTACTCCTAAGTACTTATTTACTTCTAAGAATAGTCTCACTTATTAAGTCTTATTCAATTTATATGACGTGGCGCTAAGTTTTAACGCTCAAATACGTTTAAAATCTAATTACAATCACAATTATTGTTATACCCACTGCTAAGTACGACTGTGTTGCGTCCCAGGGCCGTTTTGCTAATCCATCAATCATAAATGTGTGCCGGTGTGCTCGCTGTGCGCATGAAAACAAGAAAACTAGAAATGAAAAACGAGCATTAGCAACACCATTTCATATTCCGTGAATGTGATTCAATACCGTCTACATCCGGTTCAAGTTGTCTTGTAATTTCTAAAATTTACATACGGATTAAATTTAAATATTAAGTGTCATCAAATTAACACATTTTTAACATATTTTACTGGTTTTTGTTGCAGAATTGGTCTTTGTGGCTTTGACAATCCAATGAGAGACCAAAAAACAGAAGAATACAAGAGACACATAGGACATGTAAGTTATAACCTATTCTAACCTCAAATACAAACTATTTTTATACTAATTTTAAGTTATTTTGGCTTAAAACTTTTAATAATACAAAAAATTGATTTGTTTGATGTTTTATTGTTTGCTATTGCTATTACTGTTCTTGTACTGTACAGAAATTGCAAATATGTTGTAAAACTCAAGACAAGCAATTGCGATTAGACTGTTACTTGCATACCAGTCGACGCACGCGCATGTATCGCCTATATCTATATCTTTCACGGCGGCGTTTAAAAAAACAACGCTTTGTTGTAGGAATTGTAAGTTTGTAAGTTGTAGGAAATGCGGCGAGCTGCCGGCGTACACCATGTTTGTTTTCCGCACTGCACACGCCGACTTTTTACAGAATAAAATACTGTACAAGTCGCGTGGCTGTTACCTGGGCGCGGTGACTACCTACGCATACAAACACAAATTTTACGGTCGAAATTCAAACAGTAAACAAGCAAACAGTAAAAAACAAATAAAAAAATATTAAACCAATAATTACCAAACATATATTTGTACGGAAGCATTTTTTGGGTTATGGAGGTTATGTCAATAGTAAAAAATCAAATTTTGAAAAGTTTCTAAAAGTTTTTGATTGTTTAATAGCGAGTTTTATCAAAATTCGAACAGAAAACAAGCAAAATAAAATTATTATATAGACAAGTAAATAATTATTAAATTTATATCTAAATCGAAGCTTCTTTTAGGTTATAGAGGTTATGTAAACAGTAAAAAAATAAAATTTGCTAATTTCTAAAAGTTTATATGCGCTGTGTATCGATTTTATCGATTTTCAAACAGTAAATGAGCAAACAAAAGCAAAAAATATTAATAAACAAATAATTACTAGATATATGTTCGAACCGAAGCTTTTTATAGTTAATAGAGGTTATGTAAACAGTAAAAAATTAAATTTTGCAAGTTTCTAAAAGTTTTATATCATTTTGCATCAATTTTAATCAAAATTGAAACAAAAAACAAGCAAACAAAAATGATTATATTATCAACCAAATATTTACTATGTATATATTTATACCAAAACTATTTTAAGGTTATAGAGGTTATGTAAACACTTAAAATCAAAAATTTAAAAAAAAATCTAAAAATTTTGCATAGTTTTGTATAAATTTTAAAAAGGTTCATATAAACCTATAGGTACTTTTTGCTTAATATTATGTATATTTTATAATTTCAGGGAGTAAAAATCAAGATGGACGACGCCGGAAACATCCTAATCAAACGCGTGTCCAAATGCAATGTCTACATAAAAAGCACCGGCCAAGACGACGAGAACGCCATCGGAAATGAAATCTTAAAAATGCCCGGCAGCGCACTGGAGCCGGAAAAACCCGTCAAACTATTCGACATGAAAAAGTTCCAATCGAATGTCAATCGTGAACTGCGTCGCGCTTACCCCGACCGCCGCCGCCTCGAGTGCCAATGCCTCAGCGCGATCGCCTTCGTCAAGAGCGAATCCGAGCTGCTGGAGTGCCCCATCTGGGTTCTAATCATCAACGTCGTCGCGATGGATATGCTCAAGTCGAAGCTACCGCCAGGTCTTTATTGTTCGTTTATTTTTGCTTCTTTTACAAAGTATTCCTTATCGATTTGCATAATATTGCTGTAAAGTCAAGGAAGTCGCCTATTGAAAGCCTATAATGTTGTGTTATCTGGTGTGATTTGTTACGTTGCAGTCCAACGTGTGATGGACATCAAGAACCGACCGCGCATTCCGATCCCTGATGAAGATCCTTACAGCGTGGCTGGGAATGGCAGTGGTAGCTCGGGAAGTTCAGGATTTGCAGGTGCTGGAAGTGTTGCGGCAACTCGGGAGCAACTTTTGTTGCAAACGCAGCAATTAGCGCAGAGGCGTAGTGAGAAACCGCCGAAATTACCACCGCGTGAGAATATGTATCCGCATGATATTCCTAAGGTAAAATATTTACAGAACCGGATTTAAATTTTTATTTTTTTTAAATAAAAATTTTATTTTTTGATTAAAGCCTGATTATGATGACCACCATGATGAAGAAGGGCGATTGAAACCTTTCCCTTCATCGCGTAGTAAAAAGGAGTCGAAGGATAACAAGAAATACGGTGAGTTATTTTTTTTCCTTACCGTAAATTAGCAAACTTTCACTCTCGCGACGTAAATTTTTATGCTTTAGTTTTTTTTTTTGCGTTTCGTTTTTGGTGTGTACGCCGCTCTGCACGCTGCTTAATTCAATTTCATTCGTGCGGCAATGTGTTGCTATAATACTTTTTATGCGCGGCGAACGCATAAAAACGACAGCACGCTATCTCGCCGGGTGAGAATCGCGAGAAAAAGTGAGAACACGCGGCGAAAAATCACAACAATGCGCGGTTACAATGGGCCGTTTGGCAACGAATGAATGGCGCGCGGGTTCTCACACTTTGCCTGCTCACACATGACACGAAACGAAACTGAATTTAACGAAAAAAGAAACACCGAGCACGTCGAACGTGTGCAACTACAGCATATAACTTTCAACGAATTTAAATAGTTTATTTTTGAGTGTGTAAAGGTTTAGAAATTATTAGTTTATGCATGATTTGTTCTGCGGGAAGACTAAAAATACTTGGAAAGTGAAAAATTCATTAATTTTTATTATGACCACTAGGTGGCTACTAATTCTATGTTATATAAAAGAGAATGTGACGTCCTTTTGTGAATTTAGAATAAATCTTGATTTTGACAGTTTTGCTGTCATAAAACTCACCAAAATGTAATTTCGCGCTTCTTATACTCTGAAAATGACATAAACATCGTCACATTTGGTTTAACATGAATTAATTTTAATTAATTTTAACTTTCAATGAATTTAAACAGTTTTTTGTATATAAATGGTTCGAAAATTCTATTTTATGCGTAATTTGTTCGGTTAGAAGTATAAATATCCTTAAAAGGTGAAAAATTAATTAATGTGTAATTAATTAATATATGTGTTACACCGTTAATTGCTGCGCCCTCTAGTAGATTTTTTATATATTTTTTCTAGTAGGTTTTTTGTCATAAAACTAACCAAAATGTAATTTCGTGCTTCTTAAACGTTGAAAGTGAAATTAACATCGTAAAATTGAGTTTATAATTGTAATTAATTGTATTTAATGTTACTTTTCAAGGAATTTAAACAGTTTCTTCGTGTAAATATTTAGACAATACATTTTTCTTTATGGTTTGTTCTGCGGGAAGTAAAAATACTTGAAAGCTGAATAATCGTTTAATTTAAGGTTTTACCACGTTAGTAATACTAATTTTATGTTATATAACGTAGAATGCTGCGGCCTCTAGTAGATTTTTCTATAAATCTGTCATTGTAACACTTTTCCTGTCATAAAACTAACCAAATTTAATTTTGCGTGTCTGTGAAAGTGAAAAAATAGTTTATAATCAATTAAATTTCACGCATTATTTATTTTCCTCTCCACATGCATTCGAATTGCACTGTCAAATAAAGTCAAACAAAACTCGCAAAACACCACCTCCAGCGCCACAACCGCATATTAATAAACTCGAATCGAATAACTCACGCGACCAATTTTGGAAATGGTCGGTGGTCCCACACCCATGCCATTAATTCAGCATATTTATTAGTTTAGCACCCCGGCGCGACCGTTCGAATCAATAAATAAACTAAACTGTAGCAAAACTTATACTTAACACATAAATTTATGACTTAGAATATATTTAAAATTAATAATTTTCAATTTTTTTATTTTAAGATGACCCGTATTATTGTGGTTTACGAGCTCGTGTGCCCAACTTCGTTGCAAAGTCAGCCAATAACAAGTCAAAGGAGCCGCAGACGAAGCGTTTCTCCATCAGCCAGCAAGCACCACCGATTGCTGCCCTTATGCACCAACATCACATGCACCACCAACATCCACATCCACCCATGTGGCATACGCGGAGCTATGAGAGTGGAATTGGTAAGAATACAAATTTTTAACAAAAAATTTAAATAACTGATTGGACATTTGCATAAAATTGATTGTAAAAAAGTTAAAAATTAATTTTTGTTAATAGTTTCAAAATTATTGAAAAATTTTTGAATTTTTCAGTAAATTTTTCATTAAAATCTGATATAACCTTAAATAAATATATAATGACGTCACATACACCAGATGGCGCTACTTATTCGTTTAAAAATTATATTTTTCTTAATTAATGAATAATTTAAATATTTATAAACAAAAACCATTTTTTTCAAAAAAATCAAAAAAAAAAATAAAATCTAAAAATTAACTAATAAAAAAAACGTGCAAATACCTAATTAACAATTAATTATTTAATTAATGATTTCTATTTTTTGTAATTTTTTCCTGTAGATTCCGACGCGTTGGTAGAGTCACCTTACAATCCAATTTATGGACGCCTGCCGATACCTACAAGGGGTTACATACCAAATCCACCTCGCACAATGTACATTGGCGAATGGGACTAAATTATGCTAACGCACGACTAAATAATTCCAATTAAGGCCGACACTCCTACACACTCACACAAATACACTCATCGTATTCATATTATATTGGCGTATGTGTGTGGCTGCACACACATTCTGTGCTCTCATTTGTTTGTTTGTTACTTTTTGTGACCTCTTGTTCGCATTCTTTCATTTACTGCCAATTAGGTTCACAATTAAATACACACACTATAATAAAACACTAACATTTTTAGATAGGTTCAACATAGGTATGCAATTTATTAAATTTATTAAACACGACCCTTTTTAGACGATAATGTTACTATATTTGTACGTGTATATATTCTAGGTTAGAAATTAATAGCTGAGAAAGCGCGATGAAGCTGAAAATATGAGAAAATTTTATCTCAAGGAAATTTTGAGTTTTGTGGTGTGAACAAACTACTTTTTAGTGCGGATATTAATCGTATGGCTGTATGAGTAGGCGAATTATTCTCTCTATTAATGTGTGTGTCGATGAACAATGGTTAACTTTAAATTAAACTCTATCGTGTTAAGGTTAGAATTTATAGGTTATTAATATTTACTGTACTGTACTGGCGTGCACGTTGATGTCTATATTCGGCGGCACTTAAATATTATGTATAAACATGTAAAATGATACGTACTATGTATAACTATATAAATATTGTAATTTATATGATATTGTACTCATATATAAATATATGGTGATGGATATTTTAAAATTAAAACAAAATTGTTTTTTTCCGACCTTTTTTGCTTGCGTTGAGGTTTTGAAGTTCGTAGAAGTGGAGTAGAGGGCGCTGTCAGCGAGAGAGTGTGAAATGTCATTCGTTAAGGTTTACAAGTTCACAGAATTGAAGTAGGTGGCGCTGACATCGAGAGAGTTTGTCATTTGTGTTTGAAAACTGTTTTATGAAGAATAGGTATTTCTAATTTGAAATAAATTGAGAAATTTACAAGTTGATAAGCGGTAAGTTAAATGTAGTCACGTTTTTTACTCTATTACGATCAAATTAAAGTTTTTCTAAAGCCTGAAAGTGGTTGCAGCATGACCAAAATAAAACTCGCATTTATTTAGACCAGTCTCTTCTGCTGGAGGCAAAAAAGCGAAAACAAAAGATACGCCACGCCGTAGATTATTGTCGCGGCACGAAAACCTAGCGTCTCAGCGCGAATCGCAGACCCTGCGGCTGCCGCCGACCCGCGTGTCCACATCGAATAGCGGCAATAAATAGGGTTGGCTCGAGCGCGGCGTGTCGCTTAACGCCCGCCTGTCGTCGCCGTCGCAGAAGTCGTAGGCGCCCGCAGGCAGCCGATCAGCGTGCTCCCGACGCGCGTTCCAGGGCGCGTTTCACCCATCAACTTTGACTGATATCGCGACAAGATCGCGTTGGATGCCGGACGGACTCGCGACGTGTTTCGACGTATTGAATGTCGCCGGCGCACGCGGCTGAAGAGACGCGCCGGGCAGTTTCGCCCACGCGACGCACAGCGCGACCGCGACTTCGTGTTTATCGATAAAGTCGCGGCCGGGCGTTCAAAATCACGCCGGCGTGAAATAAGTGCTGCGAGGCGCTCAGGCTACAAACGACACGGAGTGATATTTCACCCGGGTGTCAATGTGTCAACGGGGGAATATATTCTTATCAACTTTGCAAATATTTGTTCTTATTTTGCAATTTCTTTTAAACTTTAGTATACATTAATGATTATGTTCACATATGCAAATTAATTATACTCATAACTAGCAAAAACACCGATTAAATCAACAAAAATCAACATTTTAGTTGAATTTACTGTCGAAGCAAGAAATAAAAGTCATGTAAACATGCATAAATGTACAAAACCATAAAATGTCCAATGTTTTGTTTTTAAATAGATAAACCAGAACATACATTCTTCGTTGCAAGTTTAAATTTGTTGTTTTTACCTGGGTGGCGTGATGTTCAACATAAAAAAAACATCAACATTGCAACAGATAACACTTCAAAACAATCGGAATTATTTTCAAGTTTGCACCTACAGCGCCATCTGTTATCTCCTTGTTGAAAGAACCTAAGAAATTAATTCATAGAATGTTGTTTCTAGCGCCCTCTATGATTAATATTTCGTTATTCCATAAGATTATAACCCACAAATCGCAAATATGCTGGTAAATAAACAAAATTTAATATTTTAAAACGAACAAACTTTGTCTAAACTCTGATTCATTACAGGAAGCAAGAGGTCTTAAAGATTTTTCCATCTCTACTTGGTATGAGATCTTCAAAGATGTCGCGTTGAAGACAATTATTATTAACATTCCAAATGAACTTCTTGAGAAGCTGCGAGCAGACACTGGAGAAATGAAAATTGAAGAAGTGTGCAATGAAGATTATCTTAATCATGTAAAAAATACCATTCTAAGCTTCAATGGGAAGGCTTTTGTTAAAAGTAACTGGCATGCTCCAATTGTAAGTCTTTATTGACTCAAAAAACTATTAATAGAAATAATTAATTATTTATTATCAATTTTAGGATGCTAAATTTGCCAGTTTGGGTTATTCACTGACAGTGACCAACATTGATGATCTCTTGGTATACTTTGCATCATCTGAGATTATTATGCATGATTTCTCACATAATAATGTGGATTCTTTTTGCATTGCTCTGAAACCATGGATTAATATTCATCCAGCTTCAGAGTTCAGATGCATTGTGATCAACAACATCTTGCAAGGTATTACACCTAGAGATTGGCCAACATTTTATGCACATTTCTGTGAGGATGGACCTAATATCATCAGAGCACTGACTGATTTTTACAAACAAAACATTTATGAGAAGTTTAGCAGGAAAACTTGTAAGTAAAACGTGAAAAAAATATTAATTTCATATTAAAATTTAATATTTTTATTGTAGATACTTTTGATGTGATTCTAAACTTTCCTGAAAATGTGACATTGTTGGATTTCGGCCCGTTGAACAACAAAACGAATTTGTATGCGTTTTCCTGGAAGGAAATTCAAGCCATCATTAAAAAGAACTCCAATCAAGAGGTTCCACCTGTTTTTCGTTATTTGGAGAGTGATATGGGTATCATGACAAGGAGTGAAGCACTTCATAAAATCACCCAGTCACAATTAACTTAATTTTCGTTTTTATGCGAAAAATATAATTGGATGCATTTATTTGAGTTAGAAAATCGATGTATTATTATATTAACTGTTACAATGTTGCACTGTGTAGGTGTAGAGTTGAAGAAGTGATGAATATTTAATGTAAAAGACAAATTTTGGTAAGCAGGGTGATTTACACAGGAAATTTCATAAAAAAATAATAGATACTCAAATGTATTTGTTTAAATGTGTTATATCAGTGTACAACTTACTGATACAGTAAATAAATGTTAAATAATGACTTTTTTGTTGATATTTAGGAGATTAAAGAAGAGTTTTATGCCTAGATATGAAATAATGGCGAAATTGTGGAAAATTTCAGGAAAATTGCTTGTAAATGTTGATTTTGACGCAAAAAGCGACATAAAACAATGAAATCGTCTGCCTCCATTATGTATTTAACTTAATCTCTGATCATTTCCTGTTGAAACACGTTTTAACAATCTGTAAACTTGAAAATTCATGTTTTATTTGTCATTAATGTGTGCTAAACTTATTTGATTGCTGCAACCAACCTTACACCTTTTAAAACGTTTTCACTTGTTTTTCGTCAAACTATTTATTATGACTTGCGCTTATTTTAGTAGTTTTCATTAGTTACTCAAGTGTAATTCAAAATAAAATTAGAAATATTTACTAAATAATCAAATTTTAATGGTTTAAAAGTGATTAAAGTGAAGCAAGATGAAATCTGTGGTAATGTATAAACTACGCTTGAGTTTTACCGCATTTGTTGCATCTCTGGAAAGTGAAAATTGTGGCAATGCCAAAAGTTCCGCCGCTCTCCTCGCCGCGCCGCCGCTGTTTTCCAGCTTTCGCTTCCTCCCCCGATCCACGTCGTTCCGCCATCAACTCTCAACCCTCAAACGCGCAGATCGTATCCATACACACCGCACACGAGTATCATTGTATGTGTGCCGCATGAGAAACAATATCCCCACAGATGCGCGTGTGAGTCGTGTCGTGTGCGTGTGTAGGGCAATCAGCGCAATGGCGGCGCGAAGCACATTGGGCGCGTGCGTTTCTTTATGTATGTAACTGGTGTAAATATGGCTGCGTCCGAGGAGCGAGATAAACAAGCGAGCGATGGGCGAGCGACGCATCTCGGCGGCACAGAGCGCACGGAGGTGAATCGGCTGGCTCGGATCTATAAGGTGAACAACGACGGTGAAGTGATGTATTCGGCAGACGACGCGAGCGTCGAGTGCGTCGTTGTGTGCTAGGCCGCCGCGCACGCACAGATTTGTTTTGGCACGGGGCGGCCATGTTATCGCGCTCGCGGCGAAGATAAATACGGCGCGGACGCCCGCGAGGCTCCGCACTCGACGCCCCAGTGCCTCGCTGAAGAAGACGGTGCGCGGTGCATGTGCTGAGCGGTGATACCTTGTGCAGTGTCCGAGCGGTTTTCACGCCGCCACCATACACACAAAAAAAGCGCAGAGAGAAAGATTCAGTGTCGAAAACTCGAAAATCCGATTGACTTTGATTTGGTTTTTCCTTTTCGTTGATGTTATCCAGGATGAGTACCCGACGCGAGCCTAACTATCCGTTCAAAGCACGTATTTTCGCATTTTATTTTATTTTTTCTGTTAAGTTTCTCACTTCGTTTCATTTACTTCCATCCAAACAATCCTCTCTTCCATTCTCATTATTATTTGTTTAATTAATCCGTACAAATGCACTGCAGCACGACAAATTCTCCGCAAATCAGCTAATATCAACCAAATGTGAACTTAACACTAAGTAACCACTCATTCATCACTTTGTACATAATCAGCAACAAATGTTACTTGTTTTAATCATTGTAAGTGTAAATATTAATTGATTGTGTTTGATTGTAGAGTGAACATGTGTTAAACGACACTGCTTCAACAATGGCAACCAAAGTGAGAGCCTTGATTGGCACATGGAATGAGCTAGCTGTGCTGCAACCAAAGCCAAGCAAGGAAAGCCTGCATAATCTAGCCAAATTTTTACTTTCACACACTTTGAATATTGTTTTATCTGTTAAATGGATGAAATATAGAAGTAAGTAGCAAAAATCCAACAGGAAACCTAAAAATCTTACATGAAACATCATTTTTAGATGAATATCATGCCCCACTGGAACAGAGTATGAAGGACTGCATGAAAAAATATGCAACCTATCCAGAGTTTCAAATAGTCTGCACAAAACTGTTATCATTAATCAAAGGACCTTGGTCGAAGCCAGAAATCAAGCATATGTTATCATCAGAGACTATAATTCCAACCAAAAAAGGTAAGAATTTATTCTGTTTGCTTTAAAAACACGTTTTTATTTAATTTGTGTTTTTTTTTTTTTGGTTAGAATACGACTTTTTCGTGTACGAAGAATCCGCTTACATTATCTCGATGCGACTGAAGAAACTCTGCGAGGATAAATGCGGCGACATGGCGTTGAATCTGACGCGTTGCTATCTCAAATGCTGTGACTGGGCTGAGGAGGAAAATCTCAGCATGTGCATATCCGAGAATCAGAAGAAGTTCGTCTTCGACATTTACCTCTCACTCTTGTTTCAGCATGCTGGTACTGTTGAAATGTCGAACCTTGTAAGTATTTTTATGTTTTGTAAACACCTAACGTCGTTTGTTTATGTTTACGTGTTGCTAATTGAATTATTTGCTAAACAATCAGCTGAAAACCATGGAAATAAGCGAAGGTATTGAGATGGTGCGTCGGTTCGCCGCGAAAGTTACTTCGAAACTCTGGGAGAATCACGTCAACATCGCCAAGCTTTCCGGCACGATATTTCTGACGCGATGTGTAATGCTGCCCTTCGAAGAGTCTTCGCATTATCTCAGTGAGCTGCTGGAAGTGTGGTCTTCTGTGTTCAGTCAAGATCGCGACGGTGATGAGATAATTGCATCACTGCGACGTGTCATGAAGAATGCCCTCACGCCTGCACATATGTACTTATTCATGGATCATCTTTCGAGTCGTGTAAGTGCAATTAAAGTTTATTGGTTAGTAAATTATGTGAGTATTGTTTATTATTATGTGTTTTGTTTGTAGTTTGGTGTCACAATGCGGCCATACAGTGTGGAGGTGTGCATTCAAGCAATCAACAGTGATCTCAACTGCATGGAGCGCGCAAAGACTGAAAACGAAGCGGAAACGACCGCCACGCGTCTCGAAGCGATATCAGTGCGCGTCGCGGACGGTTTTATGCGTCTAGCTGATCAGTTCGCTGAGAATCTACACGTGGCACGCGAGTGCGTCCTTACCGCGTTCAGTATCATGCCAACGCCGCGTATCTTCTCGAAAATCGAGGAGATGGCACGTGCGTCCGGCTACGAAGTATTAGACACTGGCCAGTGGAAGTGTAAGTCACATCCACCGCCGGATCCCGCCGAGGAAGTGCTCATCAAATGCGAACAATGCGGCGAATACAAATCCGAGTTGCATTTGAACGAAGCGCTCAAACAAGCAACCACATCGTTGATTGAGTCGTTCAAAGTCAACAATATGGGTTTGCCTAGTGAACTCTGCGACGATTTGGTGGTGATTATCTTTTGCGCGCGATACCAGATGCTTAGTTGGAGTCAGACGTGGAGCGATTTGCAGCGGTTGTGTGTGATGTACTTAAATGACCCTGTAGGGACGAAAAATCTCATCACTGAGTTGAAGTTTGTTGAGATTGACTACACACCGTTTATGATCAAGCGCGAGGCGGAAGAGTATGTGAGCGGGGACGAACAGTTGGAACAAATGGACTATATTGAGGAAAATTTCCAACTTACGAACCAGAAATGTGGTAAACGTGATCGTGTGTTGAGTGAGAGCTCGTGTGAAAACTCAGATTTAGAAGATGAGCGTGTCCCAACGTTAAAGTCACATTTGAGTACGGATAATACCGAAAATTCAGAAAGCTCGGATCAGCAGATTGTAGAAAACAGTGATAAAAAGACAGATCCAAGTGTTTTGAAGGCTCTGAAGTCATTTCGACGCAAGCGGGTTGAAAATATGCACGAAATGGTGAAAGAAAACGGCCGTGATGCGCTCGCGTCCGATGCGAATGATGGAACTTCAGTGGACGCAGAGTATGAGTACGATACGTCTTCCTCGCCACATTCCACGATAACTGCTGCAACGACAGCACAATTGTTGCCAGTGTCGCTGCATCACTCGTACGCGGCGGTACCAATGCCGCACACATCTAGTCTGACAGGTACAAATAGTAATACGCATAGTTATAACTCAAAACAACCAAAGGTGGTCAAGCGGCGTAAGTGCTACGATCCGCCGGAGAAGAAATACAAGCAGGAGTTTGGAAATTTTCAGCATGATGCTGAAAACTACGAGATAGATCGGAAGCGCCCCGTCGGCGCGTCAGACGGCGGCGACGGTGGCGTTTGCATCAACACGTCTGAAACACAACCAGCTGAACCAGAGGTCGACACCGAGAAAAACTCGCACGAAACGTCTAGTCAAAATTTATTAGAGTTTTTTAAGAGAGTCTATAATATTAAAGAGTGTAGAATACTGTTGACCAGATGCGACGACCTCAAGGAGAATCGCATCATAAATAAACGACACAATCTTAAGATACAAGTGAAGAGTAAACTTAAACAACTAGCAGTTGTTAAAACATCGCGATCAGTACGAAAAACACGACTTTTCATTGATCACAAACTGAAACTCAGGCCGAAAAGACGCGCGTCTGAAAATGTCACGCGTAGTCAACTTGAGAAACACTTCGTCAATTTTAAGATTCCGCTGCAGCTCAACAACAATCGACGAATACTCCGCACTAGTAACGACGCCGATGGTAAAATGGAAGCTCTCAAGCAACGATTGCTAATCGGACCGAACAAGATGAATCCTGTGGTTGTTCTCAAACGTCTGGAAGATTCCTGCATGCGGACACTACTGTCACGAGTGCCAGGATTTCAAGACACGCGGTTATTTCGTCCCAGAGACACGGATCGCATCGTCAACGTCGTGCAAGTCGCTGGTGGACGATCAACCTCGACGGTGCAAGCCCCGAATACACAAACGAGTACGCAGGTCAGTCCGCATATCCAACGGATTGGTCAACCGAGGAGTGAGAAGAGTGATACGAACACAGAAGCGCCGGCGACGACCACCGCGGGGAAAACCTCGACGAATACGTACACGATATCGAAACCAGCCGGAACGCAGTCGCAATCGACGTTAATAAACATTCTTTCCCAGCAAATCATTCGCCCGACGAATAGTAATAATAACACGCGCCGGAGTGGCTTGATTAATATTATCAGTCAGCCAGCGATTAAATCAACGGCCAACACGGGAAACACGACGGTTACAAGTGATGCGGGAGTTACACAGGTAAGAAATTTGAAAATTTAATAATTTATTTGATGAACATTTTAATTTTTTGACTGATAAAAATAAATTTGTTAAGTTATGAAGAGTTTTCATTTTGTCCCAGGTTGTGGTAACATCCCAACTTGCTTTGTTTTGCTTTTATTGTTGCTTTCACTTGCATTTTGTGCTTTCTGCATGTGTTTTTCTCATAATTCACGCGGTGTTGGTCATTTTCTAATGAAACTTTTTGTCCTTATAGCTAAATAGCACAACGACACGGATAATAGCGACGTCCTCCGAACAGCAGCAGCAAATCTTGAATCAAATCGTGAGTTCAAACCGGGCGGGTGGCACGGTGAAGGCGGTTGTCGGTACGTCTAGTTCGGAGCCGGGTCGAATAGTCCAATTCATATGTAAGTCCACAGATGGTAAGCTAATACCAGTGACGTCGTTCCCGTCGAATCGCCTACTTAAAGTGGGCACAGCCACCACGGTGACCACTTCAGATGCGAACAGCAATGTGGCCGTTGAAGTAGCGGCAGCGAAAAAGGCAGACGAGTCCTCCGTGGCGGAGGCCCTGCCAAAATTCCAGCAGGCGTTTGGTAAGTCCGTTTACCAGAACACTAACAGTACGGATGGTACTAACAACGCTTCCGCAACTAACAATACTGATATAGCTGATAAGAGCAAGCAACTAACGCAAGTTAAGGTGACTGCCTCGACCGGCACGCCGACGGCGACGGTTGTGTCGACCGCAATTAATGTGCAACCGCTACAGGGGAGTGTGATTTACACACGGCAGATGCCCGTGGGGCAGACGATTAATCTGATTCAGCAGAATCGTGGTCAGGTGTTCCGCATTGCCACCACCAATGCCGATCAGATTTCGTTGGTGAAAGATGGCGCGATTCATAGTAAGATGAGCGCATTGCTCGCGGCCGCTTTGCAGGGCAAGCCAAAGAATGCCGATACATCTGTGGTTACGACTGGGGATGATGCCAGCGATGGTGCAGCGACAACCACTACACGCGTGCAGATCGCGCGACCTTCCCTGGTGCAAAACGCGCGGATTGTCAAGCCGGTGCTGCAGATGACGTCGAATGTTATTCGAACTCCTCAAACACAGGCGGCGAATCAACAGGCGCAGACAAGTCTAAGCAGTACAACTTTAGAACAACTGCGCGAGTTTGACATGGTTTATAAGCAAGTCAAAGAACGGAGTAGTACTTCCACACCGGCGGATACCAGCGCAACTTCCAGCGAGACCGAGTCTTCGCCGCAGCGCATCAATGTGACTTATTTGAATCAAAGTCAAAAGATTAACTGTTCAACACCGGTGGTGGTTGTGAGCAGTTACAGCAGCCTGCAACCGGCGGCTTCGCCTGCCCTGAGTGTTGCATCACAGGGTAGTTCCAGTCCTTGTGTTACACCTGCTCCCACACCGACTCCAGTGCTTCCCAAAGTGTCTGGCAAGACAGCCAAGACTAGCGGCGGTAGCAGTAGTACTAGTAGTAGCGCGGGTAAAACAGTAAAGAACCCACCGATGCACGCGGCGAAAACTTCTCCCATTCCCAAACCCCAGCAGAAACCACAAGAAGATGAACACACAACGCAGAGGATATTCGATATTCTAGCTGAGTATGCTGAACAACTGCGGAATTCGCCTGATTTGAATAATAAACCAGCGCCGCGGCGGAGATCCAACCCGCCGACGAACCCCAGTCAAAACTCTAAGCGTAAAAAGAGTTCATCTTCGAAGAAAACATGCGGTTCTAGTCTTTCAACTGAAGTGGACATGGAAGATAATAGAACCGTTGGGAGTGAAGACAGTTCTTGTGGAGTTGTTCAGTTGTCCATGCAGGATGATGATCAAACGCCTACGGCTGCAAGTACTTCGGAGTCGAATGATTCTACTAGTCATGTGGTTACACCACGCGCGCAAAGTCATCAACAGTTGATACTCACCGAAGCGTCGCAACATCAAACACGTAATTTGATCATTGCTGATTCAAGTAGTGTGGGCGAGGCGTTAAAGATGCCTAACACTGCTGTGTTAGTACCGGGGAATTATATTATGCCGGTGTCAATGGTCAAAGGTGGACAGCAGATTGCTGTGATGTCCGGTGGTAGTAAAATTCTAGCGACGGTTCCGGCACGTTCCGGGCCGAATATGCTACTCTTTCAGAGCTTCCTCAATCAGAATAGGAAACCTGGCATTGCGACCACTGCGTCAACGGTGAAATATTCAACGATTCAACCGATTTCCGGTATTACATCGCATACAATCTCGGGGGTGAGTGCACAACCGCCGGTTATTCTTCCGCCGCCAACTGTCACCCTGGGACAGCCAATTGCGATTAAGAAATTGGATGATTCCTCCGAGCAACAGCAGCAGCAGTTACTGTTGACGATTTCACATCCGGCTAGGGATGTAAATTGTACGAATGTTGATGCAGAGGGGGTTTCGCAGCCGGATAGTAGTACTAGTATTGGGGGGAAGTTAGATTTAGACGAGAACACTGCCATGTCGTCGTCGGACAGCTCGTCGGAGAAGGCCTACGTTTTTCAGAAGCAGGCGACGCCAATTGCTACGCCGGTGATTGCGCAGGCCATCAAGGACGAGATCAAGGGGGAAGCTGAGCCACAGGAAACAATTATGACGCTTGATATTAATAATCCTACGTTTTCAAAAGGTAATTTTTTTTTGTGAATAAATAAATTGTATTCTTATTGTTTGAAACTATGATGTTTTGTGTTTTTAGTGGAATCTCACACAACGCCAAAGAATGAAGAACGAGTTCAATCAGTATTAGTCACCGCCGGGACGTCGAATGGCCCTATGCTGTCGCACAGTCCGCCACAGTACAAACAATCCGATTGCAGCAATGGAAATGAACAAAACAAGGACGAATTTTTGCGCAATGGAGGAAAAGTAAGCAAAAATCCCAACCCTTTCTTCCAATAAATTAATAAAACTCCATTATACTAATGTTTATTGTTTTTAGCGAAGTGATAAAGTCCAAAGCACAGTCTTCTGCGTGCAAGGCAAAGTGAAGAAGACAATTGGCTCGCGTATGGACCGCGAGGTCCAACAGATGTGCATGCAGCGTCGACAGGCCGCCATCGAACGCGAGTTGCGTCTTCAGAAGTCACTCTCCGAGGAATGCGAAGATCTCGGCGTGGACGAGCCGAGCACAAGTGATCTCTTCCCTGAGGCATTGCTCTTCGACTCGAATAATTCACCCAGTTTCGATCAGACCTCCCAGGACAACTTGAAACGCTCCCAAATCGCTGAAAAGGAAGAGAATAAACTATCGTTATTCTCTGATGATGATTTCATATTTGAAACGAGTCATTACGATGAAGGTAACGATACACAATTGTGTTATGAAGAGGTCGTGGACTCGCGGATATTATCAAACGGTCAGGGTGGTACAGCTGAAGACACCACTCTGCTTCAGACGTGCACATCAATGTCTGATGTCACGCTGAGTTCACCGATATCTCCTGATAATTTCAGAGCCACCACATCGCCACCTCTGAATAAATACATGCATAAATACACGAATAAAAAGAAGAATGAAAAACATGAGGTTGTCAAACAGGTGGATGCAGTTGATACTTGGTCAGCGGAGGTTTCCAGCTCGGAAGACACAATGGGCAGCACAGACTGCAAGCATGACGACAACGATGATCTGGACGCTGACGCAGATGATCATCATGATGTCTCCGAAGATGATTTGTCTTCGATTAACGCTGGATCTTTCAAAGTCGTGCGCATTAATGTCGGTAAAACCGAATGCAATGAAGTGCACTGCTTCGCCGAGGAGGAGATCGAACTGGATGGATCTATCAGTGGACGTGGAGCGCGGCGCACCATCAAGAAGAAGTGCTCGTGTTGCAATGGTGCTGAGGAGACCAGCACGCTGAATCTGAACGTGAATGCAAACACGCACGGCACGCCGAATGCGAATACCAACGCTAGTGTGAATCACAGCGCGACGAGAAAACGCGTGGCGACCACGACGCCCCAGCACGCCGCCAGTCCGCACAAGAAGGCCTTCCCGAACAAGAAGAGATAGTGTGTACCGGTTTGTAATCTAGCTTAATACTAAACAAGAAAACGTGCCATGCGAGCCGTGGCGAGCGACAAACTAATGTAAATTGTTGCACTTTAGTACAAATCACAAAATGGCGGACACAAATATCACGGCGGACATTTTGTATAGTTACAATTACATTTTAACATTACATTCCCACACACACCGAGATGAACTTGAGCAGCAGCTGAAAATCTCGACGAAATCTATTGGACTTTGGTTCCACAACGAGCACGAAACTCGACTTCGTGACTATTACCTCTTGTATAAATACTTAACGTAATATTATATTGAACATAATGAAAATATTTGAACATATTGACTTGGTTTGAGATTCGATGATAACACAAATTTAAGCGAGAAAAAAATCGCCGTTTGAAGTCAGAAGTTGAATTAATTAATGTACATTCTAATCATAAATCATAGCGCAGAGTGAGTAACACGTGCAAAATGCGAGGATGAGTGCAAAGTATGCAATTCTATACATACTAATCATGGTTTTGTTCTGATTATTCTGGATCAGGAGTAAGATAAATGTGCAGTTCTGTCGATGTAAATATATAAGTTGTAAGTCTAGTGGACAAAGATTAGCATTTTTGGCTAGAGTGATGCGTTCGCCGCATACCATATTACGCAATAAGTTTTGTAAATGATAAATGAAACACGACGCAGTCTCCCTTTTTCTCGAGCGTAGCGTTCTATTAGATATTAGCGAATAATTTAAAATAATTGATGATTTAATCATCGGACGACTTCTTGAGGTAAATGAATCTTTAAGTTGTATCTTGGTTCGCGTACTTGTACTGTAAATTATTGTTTTGTACTTGTAAAAATTTTCGCGTTTGTGTTTTGGATTAAATTCAATCTACTTTTCGAACAAATCGTACTAGCATGCAAGACAAAAACTACACACACACACACACACGTAAATGAAGAGAAATCTCAGAACTATTGGAATTTAATCTTACTAACGATAAGATCATTGTGCATATTTTAGCAATAACGTATCAGTATTTTTCTTATAATAACGTTTGTTTCTAGGCAAATGTTTCGCGCATCAAATTAGCGCAGTGAAAATGATATTCGAGCGATTTGGGAGGCGAAGAAAATGATAAATAAATGTTTTGCAATCGAAACACACACTTAATGCTTGACAGGATGAACTGGAAGAATGAAAATATGTAACTTAATAATGGTTTTTCTTGGTTGCTTTCTGTGCATTCACTAAGTTTGCAATTTGATCAAAGTCGATGAAATCAAAACCGAAAACTTTGTTGTGAGTGGAGGTGAGTGCCAAATTTTGCGGAGCATTGACGCTAGAGCAGCAAGCACATCTATTTCGACGCATTTTGGGCGCTGTACAATTTGTTGAAAACGAATTGATAAGTGACTTACCCGATTGTAATTGTATAACGGTCGTGCAAAGGAAGGACACATTTCCAATTCCAATATCTCATTATTGTTAGATATACTTAAGGATCTGATATCGGAAGTTTTATAGGCAATTTATCGTTTTAGACGTCCCGGAAGTTTCTAGCTTGTTTTACACATTGATATTTGATCGGTTTCATTATTTGATGTCATCTTCCCCTCCCCCTGATATTTAATATTTAAAGAGTAATAAATTTATTAGAAAATTAGTTGCTGTCTATTTACATTTGTAGATGTACTTTGATATCATGTTATTTTACAAATTTATCGAAGGTATTTGTTTTATTTTATGTCATGTGATGCGCATACATTTTTATTAATTTATTGTTATGATTGGTACCGTTTCCCAAGTGTTTTCCTGTGAATAATTGGTTTAGTCAAAAAGAATCACGTAATTTTAAATTTTATTTTCGTATATTTTGTTTGTTTATAGATGGCGCTAAGATGAACTTATGTGAATTAATTAAATTCTTGTTTGTGTTGACGTTGTTGACCTTCAGTTGCATATTACTGAAATATAAAACTATGTTTTGAGGATAGATGGCGCTAGAATCCACAAAGTTGTATTAAATTCACTATTCAGACTTCTAACCACATGTGCACATGTTTTGTTATTATCAGTGTGATGTGTATTTGTGTCTGTGCATTGAATTAAATATTCGTGCTGTGTGAGTTGTTTATATTTACGTTTGAGCCGAGGACAATATTAAAATTATAGATTTTTTTAGATTTTTTTTGAAAAAGACATTATGCAAAATTATGAAATTCAAAATGAACTGCTGTACTCGTACTTTAAAAAACAGCTCGACTAATTCAAGGGCCACTAACAAGGGTGAACCTTTATGCGCGCGACCGGAAGACTCAAGAATACAATTTTGAGTTTACGAAAACAGAAGAAATCTAAGAAATTATTAAAACATTTTATTTGCAATTTTACATTTTCAAAGTAATCAAGACACATTAATTTACTAGTTTGATATTGTAAATGTAGCACAAGACATTGCAACTATGACGCATCGTGCAAATATTTTGTTATTTTGATTTTATCCGATAAGATAGCGGACAACAAACACTCTAATCTTCACTGCGCACGTTGCATCGCATAACCGACATGTCTTAACACGTCTGTTGTCAGTAAAAAGAGCTCCGCGAACATAACATTGACGCGAATCACGTATTTATTATATTTTTGTGTTTTAAAACATTAACAAGTAAAATTCACCGATATAATAGACTTAATATAGATAGACTTATAGACGATAGACTTAAATCTACGTGTAACAAGTTGCAGACCCTTCTGTTCCTATAGAAAAATATTGACAGTTAACGGTTTTCAATTTTTCGGGTCATTTACGTTTTCGCAAGAAGTGTGTGGTGAGTACATAATTTGCGATTATGATTTATCATCAATTTAATTGTGTTCTACTGCTCCAGATAGTCCATGCCGGCGTCGTTGGTCACTGAACTACGCGATTATGTGATTATGTTCAAGGTAAGCGCGCACTTTGCGTATTCATTACTTTACACTTTATTCGCATTATAACCAATACCATTGGACAAATATCTACTAGATAAAAAGAACATACTCGAATGATATTCTTCAAGTCCATTGAAACCTGAAACATTCAATTGAATGGAATGAGATATCATTCATTAGAAACATGAATCGTGCATTGCATTCTTCAATCATCGTTTAAGGACGATTATTCATTGATCTAAATATGTGCTAACGGTGCTAACTCAAGTTTCATGTTATTGACTTCACGAAACCTTCGAGTTTTCTTTATTTTTAAGGTTGTAAATGTTTGAAATCCGTGTTTGAACCTTGAAATTCGCTGATTTTCTTAATGCGGGTGTGCGGTAATTAGATAATTGTGGTGGTGTGATGGATGATGTCGATTTCGAATTGTACAATTGGCACACATATCTAAAGTGAATAAACGCCGGTTTGCACAAGCTTCCTTTTCGTCAATCATAATGATTCAGTCACGTGCGAGTCGAGTGGTGATCAGGAGTTCAGGTCATTCAGCGGCAGCCGCCCACGACAAATGTATTTGCTTACATTCATTTCGACGGTTATTTATAGAAGTATATATAAGTAACAAGTTAATATAAGCAACAATTGGAAGCTTCTCCCTGTGAGACATTTTAAATCATTATTTTGTTTCATACCTATTATTAAATGACCAAGCCCTGAATTGTGTTAAGTTAAATTGCGTTTTCTTTGTTTGAATTTGTTTTTTATTAATATTATTGATTGATAATTGTTTGTACAAGCAATAGGACATTAATAGATCTTTAAAGTTTATTGTTTTTACCGGAAACAACCCTGAAGATAACACAATAGAAAAAAATCAAGGATAATTCTTAAAATGAGAGAAATAGATCAAAAATTGGTTTAGAACTGTTTTTCAAATTAATGTTTGAAAGTTTTAGAGTTTTTAAACCTGTGAAGAAAGTGCTTCTTCCGAATAGATACTTCAACAGTTATTTTATTATATCTATTATAAAATTTCCAAACTTAGAATTATGTCTTATTTAGGTATTTGAGTTTTTCTTGTTTTATTTGCATTTTTCTTTTAATAATGATTCATGTTTGATTGTACAAGCAAAAGACATCTTAGTAGACCTTCAGAAATATTTGTTTTTACTCAAAACAACCCTGAAAATTATAAAATATAAAGAAATCCAAGAAAATTTGTTAAAACTAACATAAATTGAAAAAAATCATATTTTTCTTTGCTTTCCAACATAACTTTTAAAACTTCTATAATTTCTAGACTTGCTTTGATAATATCTAATTATAATATCAATACGTCATGATATTTAAGAGATAGTTTCACGAGTTTATTATGGCGGCAGTGTCGCGTGTTTGGCTTTGAACTTGTTGACTCCGTTGTTGATTGCTCAGGGCATGTTATTTGCGTTCTACGGCGGCACGAATTGTTCCTCTCACGTAGTGGCGTGACTGTTGCGTATGTGTCGTTAAAGGATCAAAGCCAGATCATTTTGCGATGAAAATTCACACGTGTCATACTAGATAACACAACATTATACACAAACAAACATAGAAATTAATTTAATTTCTCAAAATTTATTTTCATTTCTAAAATAAATTAATTTTTATAAATTTAGGACACTTTATGGCAAAATCGGCATAAGAAGTATCAAAAAATACAATGTCATGTCAGGCATGTCATATTATACTTTGGTGGTGATTAAAAACTACCTTAAGTTTAAGTTTAATTAATTTTATGTCTTTTTAGGTTTAGAAATAGAATTAAATTAGATAATAATTGGCAAGAATTAAGATATAGTGTCAATTGGCGTAATTGTTTTCTATCACATGTAGTTCCTTTTTTTCTTTCATTCATTTCTTTGTAGTTTAGTTGTTTAACAGTTTTAAAGCGATTAAAGCGATACCGATTCACTCGGTGTGCAATTACGGGTAATTATTCGCATCACAGCATTACTGTAATGTTGTAACACAGTGGCAATAGCCTTGGTTATCACCGACGACAATTAAAATAAACATACTTGTGTATTACTCGTTCAGTCGCGCAATATAACATTCTCGAATAAATAAATTCGCTCGTAATTCGAGTTCAAAACGAAAAACAAAAATCATGTCATTAATTCCGCTCTTTAATCTAATAATTAATTTATCTGTTTCCACGTGAGGTGCGTTTTTGTACGTTTCTCAGTTCGGTGTACTTCGTCCTTGCTGGTCTGAGTTGTTCCGGTAATGGCCGCCGTCCACCGTTCCATTTCCGGTACAATGAGACTCTGTAAATACAACACCAGATTTAAATTGTTTTCTGCGCCATCTTAAAAATAAAAAAGCATTCGAAGCAATAAAATTATTAAATTCAAGGTTATGTTGAGACGAAATTTGTTTGCGACGCATTTCTTTTGTTCCCCAAGCAAATATTGACTCTTGAGGTTATCGTGCTGGTGAAATCTCGAAAGGCGTTATAAAAGGATTGGAAAATTGTCATTACTCATCGTTTACGCTAAGCACGCGTCGGCCACATGCAAAGTATCAAAGCATGCCTAAGTACATAAACGTTCTGTAATGATGTGATGCGCGTGGTAATTGCGGCTTTCAGAACCGCCGCCATCTTGTGCGCTGCTTTGCTTACGCAACTGATTCTCATCCTTCCCAATATAAATACCATGCCCACACAACAAAACTCACATGCAAAAACACCACACATAAATAAAATATTTCATTTTACTGAATTATGTACAAAATCAAAATATAACACAACAATAAAAACATTTTTTGTAAATGTTTGTTAAAACTAAAAAAAAAAAACTAGTTTTCTAAACATTCCACTACGTTATTTTACGTTATTAATTCAATCTCAATCGTGTTGCTTGCTTAAAGTTAAAAAAATTAATTTGTTACGCATCTACATTACGTATGTGTGATAATATCAAAATTATATGTACAACAATTACAACAAATCATAAATTAACAAGCGGCGATTTGGTCAAAAACATGATGGAGATGTTTTTGATCAAGTTGTAAGTACCTAAAGCTTATAATACTCTCGATTCGAGTCTGCAATGAGAAATGAAAGGTCGAAAGGAACTGTGAGCTACTCAAAAGGTGACTTAACCTCAACTACAAAGCAATGCGCCACCATTTTGTAACACCGAATGACAAGAATGCATATCACTTGAGCCTCAACACATCTCAACTAAAACTTATGATTCTGAAACAAAAACAAAACACAAAAATTAGTTTTTTGCATTTTTTGTCATGAAATATTAATACATACCTCACCCTATATATCCTGCCACTACAGTGACGACCAATGCAATGAAAGACATCACTACAGATCCCATATTCGTGGAGCTTTTTGATGGTAATGTGGTTTGATCAATTATATTCTCCACGATGATAATTTCTTCTACATTTTCTGTTGCTTCTGTTGTTTCATCTTCAGTTGATGATAATTGATCACCATATCGATATAGGAGATCAAGAATCACTCCATTTGACCATCCGAAACCAAGTTGCACTTCATATTCACCTCCTCCACCATGTCCACCGAATACAGTCGCATCATACTGAAATTATTTTGTGTTATTAAACTAAATTTGTTAAAAATAATTTTATGGTATGTACCTTCTCAAACATGGCTTCTGTCTCCATGAACGCTTTGTGATTGGACCTCACCCAACGTTCAGCCAGTTCATACGCTAATCTCTGCGCAGCTTCATCACCTGTGTTGTTTAATCCTACTATCATCATATGTTGAATTGGTGGCCATACATTGGGGAAGTCCCATTGTTCACCGGTGTGTTCCTGAGACATTGGTACACCTCCAGGGTAGATTACATTACTGTTGTCTAAATATTTGCGTACTAATCGGACGATTTTATCGGTGTTTGATTTATCGTAACATCCGGTCCATAATGGGGAGATGTTGGTAGGGTACCACCAGTCGCGTTTAACTCCGTTGAGTATATCATAATCCAACCAGGAACCTACTTCTTCATGCCATAACACAGCTTCGACTGCTTCCATGATTGTGTGTGCTATTGTTCTATAGTAGCTGGATTGGGAGATATTTCCGAGTTCTTCGTGCCATTCAGCGAGGATCATTGCATTTTGGTAGAGCATAGCGTTAAGGTCCACGGGGATAATGGATCTTGTTTTTATATTAGTTAAATTTCCTAAATGGAAGAAAAATTAGTTTATGAAGATTTTTTTAGTTAAAAAATGTATTACCTTTATTAGTACCATTCAAAATGAACCATCTACTTGAAAAATCCCATCCTGACTCAGCTGCTGCTTTAATCTCCGAATAAAACGCCTCCTTTTCTTTTTCTTCCTTAAAAATCGCGCTGCTTTCCACATCTTCAGAGTATGATTCAGGTCTGGGTCCCATAGATGTATCCGCATATCTATACAGCGTGTAATTCTTCCCATCTTTTTCTACTTTGACCGCATGGTTATCCATCCAATAAGAAAACTCTTTTTCAAAGGTACCCATGCGTTCCGCCACGAAATCCTTATCACCCGTACTATCCACATACAATTTAACCATGGGTATAAAAAGTGGAGGTTGTGATCTTTCTAGATAATAAATCCTACCACCATTGGGTATATGTCCATAGGTATCCACAATATAAGCAAAATTAGTCAACATTCCTTTGACTGTTGTATGCATTTCACTCAGAAGTAATCCTTGGATGATCCAATAGGAATCCCAATAGTAAAACTCACGGAAACGTCCACCAGGGACTATGACAGGATTGGGTACCCAGATAATACTGTAGAGGTCTTGATTTTCTTTAACATCTTCACGCATTTTACGCCCGAGCTCCTTCCAGACTTTATTCAAAGTCAACGCGAAGGTTTTATATTCGGGGTCTTGTATACTCCGGACGAATTTCGGGGATGGCGTCCAGTCCTGTGGGATCCAGTCTTCGAATTCACGCCCAGCGGGTTCAAAACTTTCATTGACGAAACGAATAACTGCATCGCGGGACGGATGTTGATTGTGATTAGACATGAAATCTTTGAAATTCTCTAAAGTTGTGTTTGCATTGTATCGCAGTTTCATGTCGACGAAAGTTTTGGAATCTTGGAAGATTTTTGACATTTGTACGGTGTGTAATAATTGGCCATGGCAGTAAATTTCACTGTTTTGGAAAAAATAATTTTTTAAATTATTATTTATGCTTAAAAAGGTAAAAATTTATTTTTTATATTTTTTGCAATATTTAAAAGAAGCCTGGCCCTGTTTCTAGAGGATTGAAACATGAGAGGATTTTGTATTGAGTTGAGTGGAATGGAACGAAACGGAACGGCCTTCGAGACTAATTGCAAGTGGAAGCAAAGAAATTAATGAATGGAAAAATTCAAAGTATACATCTCCATTCAGCTTAGCACAAACCAATAAAGATATTAAATTTTATTTTTGCTTACCTATCACATGGAGGAGTTGTAGAGGCAACAAGTTGGGCCAGGCAGATAAAAACCGCACAGCGAAGAGTAATCATTTTTTTAAATTTTTAAATAAATTTAATTTTTTTTAGTTTAAAATGTCTTAAATTTGCACTAGTAGTATAAAATTAGCACGCTTACTTTTTTGTGTATTTTATCTTTGGCGGAACGCGTGCTGCTCTCAGACGACGCAAATATTGCGCGTGCTGAAGTGCATTTCGAAAGTCTCGCACTTTAAAAATATCTGCCACACGCCTACGGAGCAAACAATTTATTTCGATTAGATATTAAAGCTAGTATCACAGGTTTAAACAAGTTTTTTTCTCTGCCAGACGCTCAATTTTTTTAGTTTTAATTTAGTTTTAGTTTGAAAGTTTAGTTTGAATTTTTTTTTGAGTTGGGCGTTCGACGACGGCAGCAGTCACTGTCGTGGTCGTCGTCGTCGCGAACGAAACGAAACTGGCGATCCGTGTGCGCTGCGTGCGAGTTTTCAAAGCAGGTGATTTTATTGTGCAACAGCGTCACCGACAACATGCATGACGTCGGCGACGAGCCCCCGAACATACCCAACCTCTCGACCAACCAAAGTCCAACAACTCGCAGACGCAGACATTCCATTCGCACTAATTGTTATCTCTCGAGACTCGATCGACTGGTCTAAGCTACTTTACAGAGGCGGCCCAAGGCGTAATTTTATCGAAATCGGGCTGGTTTTTGGTTTGATTGTCGGATTTTTGATCTCGACCCAGAAAATACCTGGTTTTGGGTTGTATGGCGGCTTGGGTCGATAAAGACGTTGATTGTTTGTCAAAAAGGTTATCAGGTAGTCAGAATAAGTAGGCAAAAACAGAATTTTTACTGCTGCTACACTTTTTTTAAAGCAAATTGAGTGTTTTTATTGTTTTTTAACATCAGTTACGTCAGTTTGCTGATTTTTGCATTGTTTCATTCGTTTTGTTATAAGTATGTATGTGGAACGTTAAATATTAGTATCACAATATAATTTTATAGACTTTGATAAGGAAATAATTACTGATAAACGTTTTTTTTAAGTTTAGGTTACAAAAAATTAAAATTTTTGTATTTTTTGTCTTTTTGCAAATATTTTGTGAAAAGCGCCACCTAGCAGGTCACAAAAAGTATTAAAATTTGTAAAATCGTTAAGTACACATATTTTATCAATTTTATTAAACATTTATTTAATATTTTACCTAAAATTGTAATTTTTGCAAATTTTTCAACATACTTTTCGTTTACATATACCAAAAAACCAAGGCTAGATAAAATATACAGTTGTAAAATATCCGGGAGCATAATTTCGTGCAGAACTTAAATGTTCAATCGATATCGCGATGTTGACTTGCTAAACTTATTATTAAACTTAACAAAAACTTCAGTAATACGTTCACCTGTAAAAAACTTGCACTTTTTTCGCGCTCCAACAGGTGCTAAATGAATTAACGTGCGCTATTTTTGTTCGAAATAAAAGTTTAACTTTACGCTTGCGGAAATTATTGCTGTTTTATATTTGTGGTCAAATTTTAAGTAAAAAATCGTGTACCTAACCACTGCAAAGTATAAAATAGGCAAGTATTTTATAGAAACAATAGAGAAACGATAAATTAAAGAGCATGACAAGGAATTCACTGTCAAAATATTTTATGCGACGCAATAATATTTTTTATTTACTCTTTGATTTTATTCGTTAATGTGACCGCAATAAATCGCAAACTTTTTGTGCGAGTGAGTGTATTGCTTGAATTGTGGGGTTTTCCGTCGTAACTGCGAGCAACTGGTTGGTAGTCAGGTAGATATCAATTTCCGATCGACGATTCGCGAACTATTGGAGTGTGTAAAGCGTAAAGAATCGTAAATATTCCCGGCGTCGCCGGCAGTTCCTTATTGCGCTGAGCTCACCTTCGGCGAAACACGATTTGCACATTTAGATTAGAGCGTGATTTTTGCATTTTGCCAGTTTTGCATCCTTAAGTGACGCATTGAAAGCTTTTAGGAACTATAAATCATTGTTATATTTATTAATCTTCATTTTTTTACGTTTAGAACATTTTTTAGGACTTTTTCTTGTGTCAAACGCAATATTTTGATGAAATTTGACATTGATAACTTAAATAATGTCAAAAGATATTACAAAATGTCTAATCCACTTGCATCATCCAATGCATCGTTTATTTATCGTGTAACTCTACGCCGAATTCAATTGTGCACGCAACGAAACGGACACAAACGCGTGTTTCAACACTTTTCACCGCGGTCAGCAAAGTCAAGTAGCAGGCGAGAGCCGCAATGGCCTAGCAACAAACATAAGCATAAACGTCACGCCACCGCTTTAAATTTTTAATGCGTTCTACTGTTCGAGGTACTGATTACTGATTAGCGGCATGTGTGTGTGCTGGTGTTTGTAATTGCACGCGCCAACTTTATAAACTTTAGCGAGACACTCGCTGGTTAGTTATTTGATTGTCTAGTGGCTAGACACTAGTCTAATTGATCATAAAGAGATTATTAGGTTTGCATATGAATATTAACATATCAGGGGCGGTTGAATATTAAATTTTAGTTAATTGTTATGCTAAAACTCAAAAATTAGTCAATTGATTTGGATTTTGTTGGTTTTTATTTGTTTGTTCGAAAATTAGAGGTTTATGGAAGGAGAAACAAAGAAAAAACTTAAAATTTAGCATCAAAGAAGTGAAAATTAAAAAAAAATGATGTTTGACTTTCAGTGTTCAAAGTATTTTATATCGATAATATAATAATATAAAATTTCCGCAACTATCTGGATATTAGGGGAAAGTCGCTTAAGTCGTACCGTCACGTAAGTCGTACCTCGGTCTTTTCTCTAACTTGAAGGCACTTTATGCAACTTAAAATGCTGTATTCGGACAGCATGAAATCATACTAGAAGCATATTCTAGATAATAATTGAGAAGTTATGCGCAAAAATAGTTTTGCTCCTCGGGCTCATCCAATTTCTCGTGGAGCTTGAAAGCATTGGTGGTCAGAAAAACACCACTAAATATGTGTTTCATGTTAAATATTGGTTATACATCTATCCATGTATTGTTTTCTACATGGATTTTGTTAAATATTCCTTCTGATATATTGTTTAAGGTTGTTTTAAGCGGGAAGCACATGTTTGCTAACTCGTACCCCTTTGCGTTTTTTAAGTCGTACCTATAGAACATATGGGACTCAAGGTTTCAGCTGCGCCACGAGGCGGCGCTACGGTTGCGCGCCAAAGATACTTTACTAGCGTGATGAGAATAGGGAAGATAGTATGATTCAGTGCCTCAAATGCAAAATTTGGATGTACGACAAATGTGTTGGGGTGTCCAAACGAGTATAAAATACCTTGCAAATAAATACATTATTATTAAACTAATATAGGTATATTCTTATTTTGATATTTCTTTGGCATAGGTACGACTTAGGGTATCGAAGGTACGACTTAGGGTGCCGGTTTGTTAAGTCGTACCGTTCACACATTTTTGTTAAATCGATGTTTTACAAAAATATAAACATTTCTGATTAATTTTTCTCATACGAATTAAATCTGTATTAACTAAAGCATGTAAATATGTCGAAAAACTGACATTATGTTGCAAAATTTTCAATCTAGGGCCAATTGTATTTTAGAGGTACGACTTGGCCAACCTTCCCCTATATATTTAGCTATCCAATAATAACAAAATTACGCAAAAACTCAAAAATTGCTTGACCGATTTGAAATTTATCTGTTTTTAAAAAAAACACAAAACTTTAAAGCAAAAAATCCAAGAAAAAACTTTAAATTTTGAAAATTTTGAAAAAAAAAACGAAAAAATTATAAAAATAATTTTTTACTTTCAGAAAGTATTTCAAACCTATTACAATATAAAATTTAATCCACTTCCTTGATCTGTTTGTTTATTTAACGTTCTTTCATTGTCTTCAAAGTCCTTGAATTATTTAAGTTTAAATTTCCAATTCGATTATTTAGATTTATTTCACTTCCGAGTTTTGGCCGATTTCTGTCAAGATAGACTGACACCCACTCACGATTGCGTGACAAAATCATTCGTAGTACAAGCAGCATTGAATAATCACCGCGTTGGTAATAAATATTACATATATTAATGATAACCAATGTTTATTTGTTTAATCGTATCGGAAATATACAACTTTACTGCCATTATTTTCCATTGAATCATCGATTGTGACTTTGAACTTTGTTTGTAGTACATAAAATACACCCTTATCAGAAACACCTTTATTAAAACATAATTTACGTAAAACTGATATAGATATCATGAAATTCAGTATTTTCTGGAATAAATTTTGTTTTTCATTGTAAACAACGCCGAAAACAATGAAAACCTGCTTAAAATTTATAGCAGCCGACATGGCCTTGCCCAAGGACACCCTTGTCTAACCAGAAGTAAGTACAAGTACTTACATTAAGTATACTTGCACTAATAAATTTGTACGTCGCGCACACGATGTAAAACAATTTATTTATGCATAGCAAATACGCTCGTAACCGCAAGCAACATCGCTTCGTCCTTAGCCATCCAATAAAAAATAAAATTACGTGATCGCATTATTATTATTTCCGAAATAAATAAATACGTGGATAATTTATCCAAAGCACACATCGGAAGTAATTAAACAGCATTAAAAAAGCATTCGGAATGATGGATGCGTTTATAACATAAATTGTCATTAATGTGATGATTGTCCACTCGAAGCGGGGAAAAATAAAAACGAATGTCGTCGTAATTGAATGTCGCCGGGATCAGGATAATCAAATAAGCAAATTATATGCTATTAAACTTGCAAACAAAATGAAACTCTCGAAAAACGCGCAGTTTTTGAGTCAAAACGGTTGAAATTGATGAAAAACGAAAGTTTAATTTAATAATTATATATAATCAGGGATAATTGTTTGTTATTTTGTTGTTTTTGACTGTGGTGAAGTATTATTTTATGTGTACTAGTGCGCAAAATATTTTTACACACGTTAACAATAGCAAATAATGCAAAAACTCAATTTTAATAATTTTTTGTTTAAATTTCGTAAATTAAACAAATTTTAATCAAAATATTTTATTATAAAGTCAGTAAAAGTAAATTTTTAATTCCTCAAGGTCTAAATCTAAGAATCTGCGCAATTAGCGCACTGAAATTGTCAAAAATTTAATTTAAAGTTCAAAAGTTTATAAATATCCTAATTTAAAACTTGTACGAATGCCTTAAGATGTTTAGTCTTCCCGAATCCAGTCTATCAAGTTTTATAAATTAATAATTAATATAATTTAATCAAAAATTCGTGTTTCTTGTTTATTTTTTTTAGTTGTCTGATCACTATTACTCGTGTATTACAATATTCAAGAAGTAAACTTGTTTTTTTAAGTGCTTTTGATTGATACTGTTCGATTGTTGTTAACGACCTTAAGTCGTAACAAACGAACTCGAATTCGAAATTCGCAATGCCGCAAGGCAAGTCAAGTCAGAAATAGATTGTAAATCGCACAAGTGATTGGCATTTGGCACCGTTCTCGGTCGCGCCAATGTTTGCGTTTGCAACAATGCTCTTGTAACATTCGTCTAATTATATATTATACATGCTACTTTCGATATAATTTATAATTTATAAGTTGATGTAAAATCATTAATTATGAGGTTAGTAAATTATTCAAAATGATTAATTGGTTGCATAGCATAAAATAAAAATTAGAAAAAATATTGAAAATATTTATGTGACGCACAATTTAAATGTTTGTTGATCGATTATTAGTCAATTAATTGACCTCGCGTCCACTTGTCACACTTCAATTGTTTTAATTCGCGGTGCGATCGAACTCCATTGACTGGTTTCGATATTTGGGCTATTGCGTCATTATTACCGCAAGTGAAATATTTATTTTCGTATAGAAGCATTCTGCTAAGTATGCAATGAATAACTCAAATATTATCAAACAATTTCAAGCGAATGTTAAACTTGTAAATTGTTTTTTTTTTCTAGTTTTATGTTGATGCGTAAATTTTGCAACCCGGCTGTTTACCTAGCCGTGAATTTTCGGTTTGGTTCAGTTATCACTGGAATCTCCAGTCTTGACATGTTTACAGCTAAAATATATGAATAATTGACGCCTAAAAACTGTTTTTGCGAGGTTAAACTGTATTTTATTGCGTAATATTTTAATATGTATGAAAATTACTATTTGTCAACTCATTCGATGACGTTTGGCGATTAACTGAAATAATATTAATATTATCGACTGTATTTTCTGCTTACTCATAGTTGTAGGTAGTTATTATTGTAGTGAAAAGGTCTTTTTAATTTGTGTTCATGTGTTAAACTCATTTTTTGCAGAGTAGTGTCAAAATTTGTTAATTTTGCGTTTACTTTTATATATTTGCATGTTTAGCGCATAATTTAAGTTCAAGGAGCTTTGTTTTTTACGCTTTGTTCATTTATTTATAAACAATCTACTCTCATTATCTCCACTTTGTTTTAATTAACTTTATAATAGATGTTTAATATAGGCAACTTAATATTCACTACAACTACACGAACTTTACGAGAGAAAATTAAACTAAAACAGTAGTCAACACGTGTTGCAATAACAATTACTAGAATAATTTGTCGGTATTTGATGACTGTTAAATTGTTTACACAATTATTTCCAGAATTTTATATAATGCATAAACATACGTCACTGTTTAACAAACAAAAGGCGTACGTTATGCGAACAAACCACAAAATAAACGTAAAAACAATGTTACATTACATTTTTGAATGATTGCATTAGACTTATTAATATTAATGGGTGTTTGACTTTTTCGCTGGATTTAACGAGATGTTTTTGAAGCGTTTGTTCGTTTTACGCACGTTGATTGCGCACACACAAGCGCAAAACAAGTTTGATTAATTTTTGGGCGATAATCGGACTAATTAGTATAAATAAAATTATGTTGTTTAATAAATAACTATTTATTACGTCCGTTTTAGATATTTTTCCTATGGAATAATATTTCATGACCATATAAATCATCCAACTATAAATAAACTTGGAAATAATTAAATCAATCAACCAGATTGAAACCTAATAAGGACAAGCAATTTGTAGTTCCTGGAAATAGACCAGATTGGAAATAAAACGCGCGGAATTCATTTAATGTCTTAATTATTTTCTTAGATAAAAATAAACTTTACTAAAAAATTGAGCGTCTTATTTTTAGTGTTTTTATTGTTTACATAAAGTAAATCATAACCAGTGATTCAACCAAAGAAAAAATAGTTTATCAGTGTTTTTAGCTTCCTGTTGACACAGCTTACAAGTAAATAACTCGTGTAAACAAAGAATTGATAACAACTTACCCGTTATTGCAGCGACAATGTATTTTCGAATGAAATGTTATCGAACTTTTAAATTTAGCGTTTATCACAATTTTGTTTATTAAATTACACTTTTTCTTTAATAATACCGACATAACAGATTTTAAAACAAACTGTTTTGTTTAATCGCTTAAATTTTAATGTTTTATTGATGTTTTACTGATGCTGATCAGGAACTAATGTTAATTCTTAAATCAATGTCAACAGACGCTAATCCCACCTGATGTGATTGATGCCTTAATTAATTTCAAGGCGATTGTCTGTCAAAGTCTCTCGCCAGAGTGAATTTGATCTTTTCACGATACACGTGTTAATAAAAATCGAAAACAAACGCTTTTAATGTGTTTCTGTATTTATTCGCGGCAGCGACATCGCCGCACGCCGCACGAAACCTACTAAACAAACTAAGCATATGGAGTTGGGATTTATATACAATACATATTCCACTTTTGGACATGGACTTCAACTAACTAGCGAGTTATAATAACCAAATACAGTTGGGAATAAATAACACACATGTTCTGACGTTTCTATGGCATAACCTACGCGCTGCTCGCAACTTGCAATTATTTCTTGTGGAATGTGAAACAAATTGCAATCAAGGAATATGTTGTGTTGTAAGAGAAAACACGTATTATTACATATTACCTATTTTTATATTGTTTAAAAGTAAAAATAATGAAAGTGAAATTACACAGCTGGTTTACTGTTACTGGATGATTGTTTGGGGGTTTATGAGGATTTATCGATTTTTCAAGCTGTCAGATGTTTATAAACTGCAGCAGTGTTGCAATGGTGCAATGATATCTGCATATTTTAGTTGGTGTCTGGTTTAAATTAAATTCTGGGTAATGATTATTAGCGGTTTTAAATTTCCTGTCGCGTCACATTTGAAGGCCTGAAGTCAAAACATTTTTAGCAGACGGCGATTTTTTGTTTGTTTTATGTCTGCTCTGAATTAGTCTGCATAGAAATGTCGGTCGTTAAATTCTTTAACTAAATTGGTTTTATGATCTTTCTTTTTTTGTCTTGTTGTTTACATGTGTTTGATGTTTATTTACATCGGTGTTGGGGTAAATCATCATAAGATGGCGCTGCTGGTAAGTTTTGAGAATAAACTCAATCATAGATAAGCGCGAGTACGTTGTTTACACGAATAAAACTTATCACACGTTGAATTTGTGTGAATTGTGTTTATTTTCGATTTAAGAACAAGTTTATAAACCCTATCTATATAACAGGATAATATTTTATTTTTTGTCAAATAAAATAAAATATTAATATCATGGATTACGTATTTGTTAATAAATATAAATACATAATAAGTATTATTATTTTTATAGAAGAAAAAACTTCTTTCTTTATTGAAAATATCATTTACAAAAAAATGCACTCCCTGTATAAATGCAATAACAGTTTAATATTTCATATCAAATTCGTAATTCTTTTTATCAGCGAACAAGTAACTACTCGCATACAACATGTATGCTACCTTTCAGTTTTATTATCCAAGTATAATCGCGATTGCATTGGGTTACGTCTGTCCAGACTATCCAAAACCCATTGTGTTGTGTCTATGTATACGGTTTGTGTGTGTTTGTTTGCATGTAGTAGTTGGTAGATTACTGGCACCTACATCTTGCAGGCTTCCTGCACAGCCGCGCAAATGTGCTTAGCGGAAATGCCGAAGGCATCGAGCAAGACCAATGGCGGTCCGGAGCGTGGAAGTTCACGCACGGCAAGCATTTTGACAATAATGTCACGCTCGCATGCGACTGCACTGAGTACAGCTTCACCAATACCACCCTCGGGGTAGTGGTCTTCCACGACGACAATACGTCCACCACATTCGCGCGCGTTCTTGATTATTGCGTCCTTGTCGATGGGTTTGATCGTGAACAGATCCAAAACACGCACGTTGATTCCGGCCTTTGCCAGCTCCGTGGAGGCAGTGATGGCTTCCTGGAGGGTTATTCCAGCACCGATGAGGAGGACCTTATCAGTGGCGGTCTTGCGGACGATGTTAGCCTTACCAATCTATAGAAAATAATTATATTAGTATTTTTCGATCTTTAGTAATTAGTTATTAAATAATTACATGGAAGACATGATCGTTGGCATAGATGACATTGGTATTCGGGCGGTTCACACGTGTGAATGTAATACCCTTGGTGTTAGCAGCAAGTTCGATGGCACGTTCGCAGGAAACAGCGTCAGCTGGGTAGAAAATTGTGCTTCCGGGGATGGAACGGAACATGGCGATGTCTTCAAGACCCATTTGACTGGGACCATCCTCACCAATGCTCACACCGCAATGAGAACCAACGAAATTGACATTGGTTTGAGAAATTGCACCCATACGAATCTAAATCACAAAAAAGAAAAAAAAAACAATAAATATTTATAGGATAGGTTTTAATAGAGGTTATGTACCTGATCGAATGCTCTGGTTAAGAATGTAGCGAAGGTAGAAACAAATGCGACTGTCCTATCCCTGCAAGTGGCTCCAATCGCAACTCCCACCAAGTTTTGTTCGGCAATGAAGCATTCAATGTATCTGGCAGCGTCAACACCCTTAATCTTCTCAGCGAAGGTTGAATTCTTCATGTCACCGTCCATAGCGATGACACGTGGGTTGTTCTGTGCGATTTTCACCAAAGCATTGCCATAAGCTTGTCTGGTGGCAAGAGACTCTCCCAATTTGTAGTTAGGTGGTGATGATAGTTTGATATTGGTGATGTCCACAGCTGGGGCGTCTTCCTTCAAAGGTTTCTGGGGTTTAAGCATCAAAGGTCCGTGGTTCTTAACCAAGGAACGGAGATGTTCCAAAACACGTTCAGTTTCCGCTCCCAAAGGTTTTCCATGCCAGTTTTCGATATCTTCGATTTTGGGATAGTTCCTGCCTTTGAATGTCTTGCAAATCAACGCGGTAGGTTTATCCTTGGTGGTAGCAGCAATATGGAATGCCTTGACCAACTCATCGATATCATGTCCATCGACAATAATCGAATGGAAACCGGCAGCGTCCAAACGCTTGCGGTACTTTTCCATATCATGACCTAAAGCAGTTGGTTCAGATTGACCCAAACGGTTCACATCGAAAATAAGGCAGAGGTTGTCGAGTTTATTGTGACTGGCGAAGTAGATTGACTCCCAGATGGAACCTTCTGCACTTTCACCATCTCCAACCAGACAATATACTCTAAAAGGAAACAAATCTATGTCAGAGATCTATTCCGAAAGTGAATGTAATTTTTACGGAGAAAGTTTTTGTTTTTGTTTGAGTAAATGAATTACCTGTAGCTGGCCTTGTCGTAGTTCTTTCCTACGTAAGCCATACCAGCAGCTACGGCTAGACCCTGACCAAGGGAACCTGTTGCTACGTCAATGAAGTTCAGACGAGGGGTAGGATGACCCTCGAGGTCCGAACCCAGTTTACGCAGTTTTTGTAACTCTGCTACCGGGAAGAGACCTGCCTCAGCCCATGCAGCGTACAAAATGGGGGCGGCATGACCCTTAGACAATACGAAACGATCGTTGGATGCGTCCTTCGGTGCCGAGACCTTGTAACGCATCGTGTTGAAGAACAACACGGACATAATCTCCGCAATAGAGGAGCATGATGTTGGATGGCTATAAATAAACAAAAAGAAAAAAACATGAAGGATAAACACTTTATCTTATTGGGTGTCAAATTCTTGGCGCCAGAAGATATCTGACACTATCATTTTAATTATGCTTGAACTTAAAATAATAATTATTCACTGAGTGTTATCCATCAAACAGTCAGAGATCATTAGTTCAAATGATTGTGATTCTACCTGAATATTCAAAGTCATTGCTGTCACCGCAAACGCGTAGAGGTCGCCGAAAGTCGTCGGGACCGCGTGCAATGTTTCGCCGGCCGGCATAAACACAAAATGGCGCCCGTAAAACGGCACTCCACGCACATAGATAAGCAAATATAAATACCGACGATGATGTTTTATCGTGTGCAAACACGTTGAAACGCTCAAAAACCGACTTTGAGTTGCTATGTAATTTTTAACAACTGCATACATATCTTTATCTAAAAATAACATTATACGCAAATATCTCAAAATGATGCGTTCCCAACAAATTTAAACGTGACCAGACGAATGTTTTTAATTACATAACGTCTGAATGCACGCTTGGAAGATTCGTGACATGCTCGTGGCGCATGATGTGCTGGAATTATCGATCAGTTTCCGAAGCGGTCAAGGACAAAGCGTAGGGCACGCATAGGGCCACCGAAAACCGGTTAAACACAACGTTTAAATTAATTTGTTCTAAGAATTTCATTTCTGCGCGTGTTTGTTAAAAAAAACTCACCCGGAATTTGCTGCGGATGTTGAGGTAACGCTGTGAATTCGTAGACGGTTGGCAATGTCGCACAACTCCTGTTTGTCCACCTTTTGGCCCGGCATGATTGATAGCAAAGCGTTATTAGTTAAGTCGCGATTGTCTGGAGTACACACGCCGACAGTTGGAATGCTTATGAGGGCCACCGACGATCCGTGCAGATCTTTATGCACTCCAGCGGCTCAAGGGGGACGGAGGTCGTTCATTTTTCGCGCATTGTCACCGCGGTTTCACCGGAATAACCTTTATTCGACTTCCACGCGATTCTTTAAGCGATAATTCTGATATAATATGGTAGGGGAACTCATTGCACTATTGTAAAAGTAAAATTGCAATATTGCAATGTCCCAGGGACCGGTTTACCGGTAAATGGTACCGATGAGTTGCATATACTATAAATATCATAATACCGCACACGCAAGTTAAATATTATCGTGGGTAACGCTCGTTACTCGTCGTTTATTGCTCGAGCAACACAGTTTACCAATACAAGCATAACTCAAAACACATTCACGTGTTTTCTAGGAATATTAATATGTCTATAAAGTTGTGGGTGGTGTTACATACCCCGAATTGGCGGCGGCTGTGCTGGTGACGGAATGAATGCGCAGTTTATTGGCGATGTCTTTCAGCTCCTGCACTACCTTCGCTTCCGGTTTGTGATAGCTGGCCATGATTGCGCTCGTTTGACACACACACGCTGCTAGACCGCGGAGGACTAAACACGCGAGCGCGATGCGCGGCCCGCGCTACACACAACCAACACGCTTATCTGCCGGCTACCGGCATAACGCGATGGTGATGGTGTCTGACATCACGATCGCTCGTTTGTCGCATGTAATAATCGTGGCTTGAGTTTTTCGAAAACTTTCCTTGCGTTACGTGCGATGTGGTGCGATTCGAAACTGGATCGAAAACACTTTCTAATCGCTGGATTCAATGAATGTGTGGTTTTGGGTCTTTGATTTAGATTATTTTCGAGTGGTTTTGAACGTCTTAATTATATGTTTTTTGTGTATAATGCGTAGGTTTTTATCGAAAATGATACCGCAACATCCTTGAGATAATTATAGGTGATTAATTATATTATTGTAGTTTCTCTTTTAGTGATTTTCATATTGCTTGAAGTGAAATTAAATGATTAATTTTAAAAGATCTTCTTACGGTGTTTCTACTATATTTTGATGGTTTGATTCGTCACGTTTCATATCGTGTTAAAATGGTTGTATACCGCAAATGTTATGTTCTATAATTTTGCAATGTATTTATTACACACTTTTACTTGCGTTGAATTTTATTCATGGTCATTTCATAACGCGTACTAACTTCTTGAATGAAATGCGCAAAGTACTCCTTTGCGTTTGTTTCGTGGATACTATATTATGTGTTGTTTAGAAACGGCACCATTGCGCACTATCGTCCTCTGCAATCGTTGCGGTCGCAATATTGATATCAGTTTAAATTGTACACACGCAGTTGCATTCTTCTAGTCAATCGCGTCGCGTGTGCACATTTTTAAAAATTTAATTCGGAAATTAGTTTTATATTCAATCGCGCATTGCGGATTTAGTGATAGTAGCAGTGTCGTAGTTACCAATAGCCCATTGGCAGGGCAGTGTCCCGGAGCTCTCATGCTCAAGAGGTTCTCGAATACTTAAAATAAATATGACAGGTTGCAATCCGACTTCAATCTTGACAACTCAGCGGAGAGAAATTCGAAAGTTGTACCCAGGGAATTGGGGCCCCATTTTTGATTTGCTCCAGAGTTCTTCGTCACCTTGCTACGCCATTGGATAATAGATTGTGAATCGCTAATGATTTATCACGCGTAGAATGTTTATAAATCGCTAATTAAGTGTATTTGTCCAAGAGTGAAATGATGTCGGGTAATCTAACTGTGCAACCCCCCAAGTTTCTTCTGGATTTTATTTTTGGATTATTGCATCGTTAAAAATTAATTTGTGATTTTGAGTACCTACGTGCGAACCACGTTAGTGCTTCTCTGTAAGTGAATTTACTAAATTAATTATCTATTATTTATAAATCTCATATCATCATAGGTAGCATGCAAACCAATAAAATTATATTAATTAACTAAATAATTCTTCTTATGATAAAATATGTGTCAAGTTACACGCTGTTTACCGTCGCTGCGATTCTGCCATCTTAACGCTGCATGTGAATTCAACCTATTTGTTCTTATCGTCAGTTAATAGAGTTTAAAGTATTTTGCAAAATATGTACTGTCCATGAAATAATAAATTAGGACAATTTAAAAACTTTTAGGTTTTCCACGTTATCATATATCTTAAAATGACACCCAATTTTACTCCGACACCCTCAGTCAACCAGAACTACTAGACTCTAGTAACTAGAGGAACATTACCATTTGTTAATTTAGTAATGTTTTTCGTACTTTCCAATCGAAATTTGGTCATATCTCGGGATCAATCGGGAAATTTTCAGTTTTTTCTACGCCAACTTATAGTCGGCCAGAACTACCCAAAAATCACCACATTTACAATACTGTGCGCATTACCTTTTTTTAAATTAATTAGTGGTTTTCCTTATAAAACGTTGTATTTTCCTTTATATTATACATGTTTTCTTTTTGTAACACCCTGTTTATTCGTTTTCTTTGATGTCACTACAATGTGGTAGTTGTTTGATAAAAGAAAATTTCTAGAACTTCACATTTTAATTTAAATTATCCTTGTTTTCTTTTAGAAGTACTCTGTATCAAAGTTTTTTTTTGTTTTTTTGCTGTGATTCCAAAGTTATAATTATTATGCAGTTTTTCTTCTAGAACCGTGCGATTTCCATTATATTAAAGTTGTTTTTTTGTAAAACTCTTATTGAAAACTCAATCTTATTACATCTCAAAACTAATAAATTCTTTTTGTATGCCGAGAAATATTGAAGGTAAAAGTAAAATTCGTGTATGTGTATTTCAACATTGTAAATTCTTTGTTTCTTCTTCTCAGCTACGTGTTTATCAGTATGTTTGTGTAAACAACTTTTTTTGTTCGATTGACGCGTGATATCGCTGCATACCTGCCTTGTACCCGGCTACGCGCAGCGCACACGGCAGTTGTTTCCCCGTGCGGTCCGCGAGCGTATCTTTTTAATCGCAACGCGTTTGGAGGTTTTAATTGAATTAATCATCGTGTATCATTTCAGCCATCGGCAAAATATTCGCAAGGGGCATGTGTGCTTGTTTTGTTTAATGATTTATGGCGATTACAGTCTTCTTAAGTGAGAAATAGGTATCCGTTAATCCCTGCGCGAGTTTTCAGTTGATAGAATATATTACAGGATTGAAAATCTCCTCATCAATGCACAGGTAGGTGGATAATTTTTTCGCGGAAAGTTAATACGGTTTAACTTAAATTGATTATACAATTTGAGGGATATTAATTTTGTAGATTACAAACACGTGGGGGCATTTTTATCAGAATTCTTCTTAATCGCTTTTCCGAAAATTACATGGTTGATTTAATTATTACTAGCACAGTTTTTAAAATTATCTGACGATTATTAAAATGACAATATTCATGTGGTCGACCACGCTTACTTTGCCGTCGACCGTCGGTAAAACATTTTTAATCGAATTGCATCATTAAAATAATTTCTTGTTGAAATATAATCATGAACGGTGAATAGTATTTTGTTTTCGCAGTTTCAGTATATCTTAATATTTACAAAGAAACCTAGTTATTTTTATCGTCTTTAACCACTGTGTTGCTACGCGACGTCGCTTGATGTCTGATGATTTAGATGTTTTCCGCCGGATATTCTATCAATTTATGAAGAAGCTTCACCCGTCTGTAACCTTATATAGTTGATGCATCAATTAATAAATATATATTCACAATAGATTAAATTGTAAGTGTTTTATTTTTGTAGCACCCTTTTGCTCAATTTTCCGATGTTTTTCGGGTAAAATCTCTGATTTTATATGAAAATATTGTTGTTAATTTGTAAATTTCCCTCTTCATATTGTGAATATTAACTCCCTTTGTAGATTCTAAAAATATTTTTGTAACACCCTGTATATTAGTTTTCCTAACAGCACGTAAAAAAATCATAGAGCGAGAGCCAGTGACGGCCAGACTTTCGTCATTTTAGGAAAGATGAAATTTTGTCTATGTGTGTCTCCAATACAGGTAAGAACGATCCCCAATTATGAAACCTGGATCGTGGTTCCTTTGGCAGTTAACAGCCAACAAAGATGTACAAATGATGACCTCAAATTCGTTATTTTAGCAAACTCCATTTTTACATATTTTGTTCGTAACATTATTACAACATGCGTTGCTCATTGCCAGACACCTGGTATGGTTCCAACCCTAGCCAGACACCTCTAAACTATAGTATTTTTTAAACTTTTTTACTTTCGTTATATTAGGAAAGCTGAATTTGATACACATTATGCAGAGAGCTATGAAACTGTGTATCCTTTCACGCCAGACAGTTTGGTCGGTTCTATCATCCTGCCAGACGCATTGAAAGTGTAGGTATAAGAGTTGCAAAAGTTTAATTGTTTAAACATGAAATTTTCAGAGAATAGTAGGTAATTTTATTTTAACAAATATTTAATAATAATCATCACTGTCGCCGAAATCTTTGCGATTCGTTCCTTTCTATTTCCTTTAGTTTACAAGATATTAGCAATTGAAATAAAACGTCAAAAATTGAAAAATTGCACTTTTGAGCACTTTCAGTCGCGGTATCGAGAACAATGATGAAAATTAATAAAGATTTGTTCAAATAAAATTACTATTATGTGAAAATTTCATGTTTAAACAATTTAACTTTTGCAACTCTTATACACTTTCAATGCGTCTGGCAAGATGATAGAACCGACCAAACTGTCTGGCGTACAAGAAAACACAGTTTCATTGCTCTCTGAATTATGTGTATCAAATTCAGCTTTCCTAATAGGTATAACGAAAGTAAAAAAGTTAAAAAATATTATAGTTTAGAGGTGTCTGGCTAGGGTTGGAACCATACCAGGTGTCTGGCAATGAGCAACGCATGTTGTAATAATGTTACGAACAAAATATGTAAAAATGGAGTTTGCTAAAATAACGAATTTGAGGTCATCATTTGTACATCTTTGTTGGCTGTTAACTGCCAAAGGAACCACGATCCAGGTTTCATAATTGGGGATCGTTCTTACCTGTATTGGAGACACACATAGACAAAATTTCATCTTTCCTAAAATGACGAAAGTCTGGCCGTCACGGGCTCTTGGTCTATCACCTTTAGTTGTGAGTTTTGAGTGTTCTCTGTTTTGAACATGGAATTTTCTTTCTATAACATCCTGTATATATGTTTTTGTTTGTGTCCGTGAAAATTTTGCTTTTGCTGTAATTTTTAGTATTTTCCCCTTTGCACTTTGAATTTTCTTTCTAGAACACCCTGTATATTAGTTTCCCTGATCGTCGAGGAGTGAAAACGAGCGGCGTTTGAAGAGTTGAGAGTTTTTTGATTGCACTTTAAATTTTCCATTTGGGTCACCCTGTATATTTGTTTCCATTTTCAATCACCTAGAAAATTGGCAATTTACTAATTTCATTACTTTGGTAGAACTTTATGAAGTAGTAGTACTTGCTGGCATGTGCGCGGCTATGCAGGTTGTAAGTTCTGTTTCAATATGGCGGCATGTATTCTGCTGACTTGTAAAATCTGAACTTGTATTATATTGTTAATAAATAAATAGTAAGATATATTGACTTCTTTGATGTGTGTACTCCTTCAATCATTTCAGTAACAGGTCTCTAAGAGAGTTCCCTTCCTCAGAGGATGATCCCCACTATAAAAATTGTTAAGGTATCCTGTATGATTTGTGTTTTCCTTCTCTCATTTCAGGTACAGGTCAGAACTTGTAAGAATATTTTTAAGTTTCACCTCTCTTGAGACGACTTAAAACTTAAAAATATTTGAACAAGACCTTATAAGGAGTTCCCTCTCTCTGGGGATGATCCCCCACCATAAAAATTGTTGATGTGCCTGAGTGTCCTGGGGATGAAGCGTAGAGGCTTCGTAGCTGTAGGATGGGCCGGGAGCATCGAAGCGGTGGGCGATCGACCAGAGCGCCGGGGGCGCTCTGGGAGAACGACCTGTATGCTGTCTTATAGAACGACACGCCGCCAAAAAAATTAAAAATCCTGCCACCCCTGTGTTTGGAGTGGCTCTTTTCCTGCTCTCACTATTCCTTCTTTCCTCTACCTTTACCTGCTTCCCTGCTGTTTCTACTCCATTCTCTTCACTTACTTTTTAATTCCATACTCGACTGACGCCGTATTTTACATAAGCAACTAGTATTACTCGCTTCTATTTTTAATTTTTAGAAAAATGCCCAGACTGGGGTTTGAACCGAGGACCCCGAGCATACTAACATATGTAGGTACCACCCGACCACCTATTATTTACAACATTGTTCTTTGATTTCTTCTATAAATCTTTCAATATTAAAACGCACACCTTTTTTACTATTACCTTTAATAAAACGTGACTTAAAACTAAATCTGAAAACGTCAAAATGAACACGGGGGATAACATAAACAAGAATGTAAACTCTAATTTTGTTATGAAAAATTTATTAGAAAAGCAAATAAATTGTACCTGTAAAATTACAAGCTGCACAGGACGTTATTTTATAATTGATGCAGAATTTGAAATTCAGCGTATCGCTTACTCTAGCACACATAGCCGAGTTATATTTATCCTAGTTTATAAAACGAACTATAAATAATGACAATCCATATAATATATATCACCATTATCTTTATTTTATGCCTTGTAAACTTTTTAACTTTACTTAGTACCATGATTTATAATCAATAAATATATCAATATAATTAGAATGTATAGCCAAAATATAAAATTACTTACATATAATTGCAGAATGCTACGACGAGGCACTTAACGCAGCGACGGCTTCTTTAATCGACTTATCTAAACAATCAATGTACTCTCTTCCATTCATCCCTGGATAAGAAGTTGCAAGGGTACCCATAGCGTGATCACGGATCACATAGCCCACGCCATAACCATCCCTCACAACAGGTCCAAACCCTCCGGCCAATACAGCAGGTGATGACAATGTACTTGTTGACAAAATATTATGATTCATCTTGGCATAAGCACCATCCGCAAAAATCGCAGGGGTTGAACCTCCTCGGGCAGAGGCGAGGGCTTTCAAAACGTATAAATGCCTATCAAAACCTTGACCCATTGCTGCTTCTTTGGTTAATTGACCATGGACACTCGAACATTTCTTGATTAATGCAGATAATTCACCCTGTGAGGGTTTATTTGCAGAGTGTTGCGCTAAGATATACTCCTGTAATACAAAGTTAAGAATTTAGAGTAATAATAAATAAATAAATATATAAATACGTTTTTAATACCTTTGTGGCATTAGTCAAAGGACGAATCACCTCAGTCCTACCATGTTTGAATGCAGACGTGCTGCAGGACTCATAAGTACCGACAAATTTACCATATTGTTTATAATAAGCTGATTGGAAACACAATTGCATGATGCCATCAGGGCTGACACCATGTTTCTTGCAGAATTTTTTATCTAATCCTTCTGATTCGATAAAATTCACATCTAAAGACTTACAAACGTCATCGTAGTCTTTAATCGCACGTTGAACACTTTGTTTGATGTGTTCATCAAGTTTAAAAGCTAATTTTTTAATTTGGATGTCTTTAGGCACTGAACTTGGATGTATCTGAGGATTCTCAGTAGAATCCTTAAGCATATCCTGGAAAATTCGTAGAACTGCAACGCCATCACCCCAGGAATGCTCGAAATTAATTGCGCCGAAACCATCTTTTGTAAATTGAAGAGATAAGGACTTATCAAACCATCTAAAAATTAAATAAAATGTATAATTAAAAGTATATATTTATTAAAATATTATACACACCTGTTTTTTCCGTCTGAATGTAAAAATGTCCTTACAAGTTTGTATTTATCTTCACCAAGAACTACATCATCGAGACAAATACTAAACAATGCTGTATCTATCATTTTCAAAAGATGTTCATTCCCTAAATTTATTAAATCTCCGCGTAATTTTGCCCAATCATCACGATTCATCGTTGTGAAAACACCCAAATTGCAAGCATCAACTGAATCTTCCTCAGCTACCTTTAAAATCTTCTTTATTCCTCCATACAACTCGGAAGGTTGCATAATATCGCCGTTTTCAGTCAAAACATCAACGACATAAAAGTTTCCCTTGCATTGCACCACTACATGTCTTGCATATTCTCTGCTAATTCGATCTTTGCCAATTTGCGGAATTCTCGTACTGTTAAATAAATTATTGTACTGACTCATATCCAATGGATACACATTATGCATGTAAGCCATGTACCAGGATAACATTTCTGGAGTCATTGCACACCTGGTACGAAAGGCCGCTGTGTCGCTCTTTTTAGGATTCATATGAAATACTTCCGGTTCAAGTTTTCTATCCCTCAACGACGTGTAGAACCGCAAAGCGCTGATTAACATATTAGTAGCTCTAATGGACTGTTCATTGTATTCCTTTTTGGGGTCTTGCTGCCATACCAAAACAGGATTGTAATTAATAGGCAAAGGTGTTCTATCTTTCAGATACATATCAAACCATCTCCCTGATATATAGCTAGTATGTTTGTTCCTTTTGTCTTCTGCAAGAAGTTCTTCATGCAGTTGCTTGCCAATGTTTTGTTGGAAGTCATTGACAATTTGTTCAGTCTTGTTATAATCTTCATCAGAAAGAAGTGGACGTTGTGCCGCCAGATAACGCCTGCAGGTATCCTCCAGCTTAGGAACGGGTAGTCGTGGTAGTGATTTTTGAAAGTGAAACGTTGGAATCCGACTCTTCTGCCAGTATTTATAATCATATGATGCTTCATTTGTAGATTTATTGCGAAGGATGAATTTACTGCTTTGAATTGATGTTATTGCTTTACTAGCAGGCAGTGTTTTAATACTTGGAATAACTTTTGTGCTCCACATCTTGATTGCTTGAATTCTTTATAGAAACTAAAATAGAATGTATAAATGAGTAATAAGTGAGCATAAAAAATGGGGAAGAGTTCAAAGTTCAAAACTTACTGCCTTATATCAAATAAAAGTGATAGAATTGTACTCAACACAAAATAAACACGTAGCACTTCGTTATTTTATCACATATGTGTGGATTGCGTAGTAGTAATGCATTTAAAACTATTAAATACTATTAAAGGTACACTAGCAAGTCTAACTAAAACTAGAAATGTGCACTTGTACACTTGTTGAACTTGAAACTTGTTATGAGCTGTCAAAAATCATTTGGTCCACACATACAAACATTTTATAGCCGCGTAGATTCAAACGTGTTTATCATCGGCACTAAGTGCGTTATAATGCGTTTCGCTGTACATACTACATGAATTCCTGATAAACATATGCATGTTAGAATTACGAAATGTTGTTTCGGTTTTACAAGTTTTATTCAATAATACAGAGCGATCGGATCTTAATTGTGAACAGTTTACAACGAATGCCGGAGCACGAGTCTGAGTTATTTCTTAGGAGACGCATGCCCAGCGACGCAAGTCGTTGACATAAACAGAAAAACCCCCCATCAGTGATGTGACTCCATATCCACTGGGTGTTCTGCATGTTGCTGGTGCATGGTCATATACGCAACCTTACATGCATAATTTCTAATAACCATGATTTTCAAACGCAAATATGCTTCGTTGCACGTTAAATTTGAAAGTTAGTTAACAAGACTGGAATAAAACATTTATTCAGTTATAAAAAAGAGATTTCTTGTTCATAATACTATTACATTCATATCGTAGCAACTAGTTTGTAAAAAATATGCTACCAACAAAAATATGTTGCATCTTGGACGGAATAGACATATTACGAATTAATTTACTTACGCGTTAAAAAAAAATTCAAAAACCTAAATAACTTGGACAGTTGCAAAAATATAGCACAAGTAATGAACAGTATTACAAAAACATAAGATTCCACCTTTGTCATCCATTTTGCAGGTACTAAAAGTAAAAAACTCTCGCGTAAAACAAAAATTGTCGAAGTGTAAAATATTAAACTACAGAGTCTTAACTATTTTTTACAGAAAGCTCGTGAAATGAGTTTGTGTGGATGTGTGCGTGTGTGATAATAATCAGATTATCATCTTCAACGTGAGACACATTAAGGCAATCGTGAAGAGCGACGTCGAGATTGAGTTCGCATCGCTTCTGTACTTTTCCGGCGCACCTGCAAGCAAGCAATAACATGCATTTAAATTTCATTCGTCGCATGCGCAGCCATTGACAGTAAGCCAGTCAGCCGCGCTAATTGTTTATGATTGTTTTATCATTCGACAACGCACCCATTTGGAATGTTAGCGCCGGTGAACTCATGCGGCCGTCGCCGCCATTCGAATATGCAAGCACTCGCATGCGGTAGGTCTTCCCTGGCGAGAGAGTATTGATATACGCTTCGAGTTTCGTCCCTACGGGGATGATTGTGTCATTGGCGGTGCTCATATCTTGATCAATCTCCCAAATACGAATCTGGATAATAAATTTAAAGATATTAATGGTAATAAAGGGTTAAAAAGTATTTTGACAGTACCTTGTAACCTTGCAGAGGTTCTTCCTCGGGTGAAGGTTGAACATATCGCCAAACAACGCGAATAGTAGAAGGATTAACGCCGTAAACATTAACAGAAGATGGAGGTTTCTGTGGAGCCTTCCTATAAGTACGTTCAAGATATCGTTCGCTTTCAGGTCCTTCTCCAGCAGCATTATAAGCCATAACTTTTACAAAGTAGTATGTATCAGGAATAAGACCAACAATCAACGCGAAAGGATTCGTTGTACGTGAAAGATAATATACGGAATCTTCTTCGCGGTTGTCCTTACGCCAATATTTAATCTAAAAATTAAATAGTTATAAATTTTTAGTAAAAAAATAAATTTAAAAGTTTAAATCTTACCCTATGACCAATAAGTTTACCCCTAACTTTCTCCCTGGTTTGATCAATCGGATTCCAAGTAATACGCAGTGCAGTAGAGTTATAAGAAGTAGCAACAACTAATTGTGGCGCAACTTGCGGCATATCTTCCGCGGAGTACACAATTTCTTCCTTACTAATTGGCCCTGGCCCAACATCGTTCAAAGCCTGTACTTTGACAATATACTGAGTGTAATAATGTTCCAAAGTAGACATGTGCACAACCGCCATTCCAGTATTTCCGTATTCTTTCAACAATAAACTTTGGAATTCCGAATCGTGATCCTTACGCTTCCAGAAGATTTTGTAATGTATACCGGGGCCATTTTGTTCTTCAGGCCTTAACGTCGTCCAGGTGATAGTCAAATCACCAATCTTTCCACCGCCACCGGAAACATCACGCGGAGGAATAAAAGGTCTATTTGGAGGTGTGGAGTGTCTCGGTGAGGGCGCAGAAGGTACTCCCATACCTAATTCATTCCACGCCGCAACCCTAAATTCATAAGTAGCCCACGGAACAAGAATATTCTCTAACATAGCTTCTTTTCTACCGGTATACCGATCGATTTCACGTGCGTACAACCCATGTGTTACGTTAAACCACGTGTCATTCCAATTTGTGCGTCCGGAGATTGTGTAACTTAAAACAGGACGGCCATGAGACGCACCGTCGGTCCATTGAAGAGTAGCGGAGGTTTTCTGAACGTTGATTACTTGCAAACCGCCAGGTGGACCAGGAGGACCTTCGATGATTACGTTTGATCTGGAACTAATCTTACCGACTGCAGAACGCACGATGCATTCGTATTCACCTGCGTCGGCAAACGTAGTGTTGCTTATACTTAAATACCCGCCATCCATTCGCTAAAAATATAATATTTTAATAACAAATAAGATTTTTTAAAGTTTTGACTTACAATTCGGTTGTATGAGTTTTTAACGTCGATATCCCTAATTCTGATTCCATTGTGCGTCCAAACATAGGCAATATCCAACATTTCTTCAGTCTCTGCTTGACAATACAACGATAAACTTCTCTCAACTGATGTAACAATTCTCGGACGTACTTGTTCGACAATCCTAGGCCCTCTGAGTACAATCAACCGTCCTCTGGATTCATCTAAGCCTAATTCATTACTCGCCGTGCACGTATACAACCCTTCATCATCTCTGGATACAGAAGTAATCACTAAATTACCATTTTCTAATATTTTCCGGTGACCACCATGCCCTATCACTAAACCATTCTTTTTCCAAACAAATTTAGGCCGTGGTGCAGCCTCAGGGTTACACATAATCGTAACATTGCCTTGTTCAGCTGCGTACGTCTCAGCTTCAAGCGGACTCTTCTTAAATGACGGTTTAAACGCCAAAACCCGTAACTGCGCGGACGAATACCTCGTCTTCAACGCATTCGATGCTCTGCATTGATACATACCAGGATCTCTTTCATCATCCAAGTAAGAAATCGTCAACACATTATCCTGAATCTTAACACGACCACGATCGTCCGGATCCAAATAACCCATAACAAGCTGCCGGCCATTTTTCCACCAAGTGTAATTTACATCGGGAATACCGAATGCTTCACACGTCCAGACGAGTTCTCCGCGACTATCGATGTGTTTGTCAATTAGAGGAATAGTAAAATTGGGTTCGGCTTGAATATTTAGCATTACGCTGTTTTCCAGGGAGGAACGATCGTTGTACACGCGACAGACGTATTCACCCTCATCTTCCACGGTTACTTTAGGGATGATTAACACGCGATCGAAGCTAGTCAAGTATGAACCTTTCGGAAGAGAACCTCCTCGTCTTGTCCAGTTGAAACTTGGAATGGGGCTGTGGAAAATCGCAAATAAAATAATTTATATTTAAATTGGGAAAACAAATAAACTTACTATCCAAATGCAGTGCATTCCAGTCGCACTTCTTTACCAGCAATTGGTGCCTCAGGGAAAGCTTTTGGGAAGTTATTTGGAAACTTCAGCTGTTGATAATTAGCTATAAAATTAAACAGAAATAAATATTAAACTTCTTGTAAATAATTCCAATAATTGTGTACTCACAGTGTGGATTTACTCTAAGTGCGAAAAATGGTCCATTCCTGCCTGTATCAGAGAAGTCTGCCTGAACACTGCAACTGTAATTCCCTCTATCGATTGTCTCCAACGCAGAGAAATACAAAGCTCCATCGTTGGACACGAAAACACGTTTGTCTTCCTCCACGAAGTTGGGGAAATAATCCCTGGACCAATAATACCGCACACTTGGGAAATGCGTCGGCGGATCACAATAGATAGCTTTACCCCAATTCTGATCACCTGATTCCGGTGACCTCTTCAGGACAAATTCATTAATAAAACCAAAATTTAACTGTACGCTTTCCGATATGATTGTGCCGAATTTATTGCTTGCTTTGCAATGATATGTTGCGCGATCTTTCTTTTGTTCCGGGCTATCAATTAATAAATTACCACCACTAATGGTAAAGCGTCCATCATCCAAAGGATTGATTTTCTTTGCGACTAAACGATCATTTTCAAAATCTTCTCTGAACCATTCATAAGTAGGTGTTGGATATCCACCAGCAAGACAACTCAAAGCCACGTGATTGTAGATTTTCCTACGGGATACATCAAAGATGGTATCCTCTGGTTGTTTGATAAAGTGTGGTCCCCTGGGAATACGTTCTGGATCAGTAATATCTAAACCATAGGTATAAGTGCGATCATCTTGTAGAAGTTTCTGCATGGCTTCAATTTTCGCTTCGCAGATGAATAAAAGTGGTTCATCACCACGTACAGGTTGAAAACCCCAGTGCATCAATTCTTTCGAGAAGTTATAAGCAAGAAAATCGCGATTATAGAGGTCAAAATCACCCCAGGGAAGAAAAGCATTATCCATGTTCAATAATTGTGAACCATCCGGATTCAGCCAGTAATTTGGTGATTGTTGGCGTGCACCAACATACCAGCGACGATGCTGCGGATCTTGCCAGTCAAGTTGATGAATAATAAACCCATGCTCATCTGGATCATTGATAGAGAGCAAATCAGATGCACCAGGCTCAGGACTATAAGTCTAAAATATAAAAATACATAAATTTAAGTTAATTTAAGTTAAATTAGTAAAAAAATTGATTTTTACCTGACAAAGTCTCCCTGCATCATTGTAAGGCCTCAAAGGTGACTTGATAAATCTATAACAAGACTGTCTAAACCTAATCCAATACTGTGGACACCTCAGTTGCTCATAATAAGGATCATATCCTCTATTATACCCTCCAAACAGATTGTAATCATCATAATTGTTCCCATAACCACCTCTGGGATCATAGTCCCTGTTAAAATCATCCCTGAATGGATCCCGATTGCGGAAATTCACATCGTAGTTGTTGGGGTTGTTGAAGTTATTGTTTCTATTATCTCTGTACTCATACTCATTGGGATAGATTCTTTGTTGTGCATGCACCACTAAGGCACATAAACTGATAAGCAGCCACCTCATAATGAACTGAAAGCAAACATCACACTAAGTGTTATTAAGATAAACTGAAGAGTGAATGCGATGAGTAATCGCAGTTAATATTTTAACGAAAAACGTTAGTAATAGATGGGAGTGGCAGTGGAGTAGCAGTAGTCAACTGTTTGAATAGGTTATAAAGTAATTAAAAGATGAAATTAACATTTTAAGAACAAGATGATAAATGAGGAGAGCTTACCTTTGAGTAGTTAATTCATTGGGGCGATATGTAGACGAAACAAACGAAATAAAAATGTTTTGTAGAAGAAGCGAACAGGTATGCGTCACATCACCAACTACACACGCATACATGTGCAACCCAACTACGACTACCTGTCTCTCTTGTGTTGTTGCGGTGTTGTTTACATACCAAGCGTGGTGGTCATGTTGTTTGGCGCGGGCGCATGCGCAATACAAACATGAGAAATAATAACTTATTTTTGGACTTTTTTGCTTAGATATTGTAATTATTTATGCTAAAAATAGCATGTTATGTATTGTATGTGCGTTTTTAGGTTTATCGCAGTTTAAAGTTGGAAATTATGCAAAATTCTATTCGTTGTGAATAATCATTTGTTTACAATTTACATAATTCAATTGTTATTATGCAAATACAAGCAGATAACATGCAAAACATTTAGGTAACAAATGCGAATCACTGCACAAGGGCGAGGAGCTGCGCATGCCAGCAGCAGGAAAGTTGTTGTTAACCTCAAACTGGCAGCAAGTGTGTGCCTGCATGCCTGCTGCAGCGCAGTGCCAATCCGACGCCGCTGCCCAATGCCACTGGCACTCTCGTCGCGTTCGCGACGTGATGAGTACGCACGCGAAAGTTAGCCAGCAGGCGCAGCAGTCCACTCGCGACGCGCTGGACTGACAGCGTCGTTATCAGCCCCGTACGCCACACGCGTTACGTCCGCATCCGATATAGATACGCAAAAAAGTTTGTTTAGCGAAATTTCGGCAGCATGTGCTGCTGACCGCGCGCGCACTACGTTGCCTTATTGAGAACAGCGACGCACACGGCGAGCGCGCCCAAGATGCGGTGAGAATCTGCGCGTTAATTTTGCACGCGTCCAATTTGCCAAGTGTGACGAGAAGAAGGCCGCGTGATGGCCGAAAACAAAGTGCTCATGAATGTGGTCGCGCTCACGGACATCCAAGACCTGCTGGTCTACTTTTCGAAAACTATCTACAGTCCAAATGGAGCCGACCAGTTTGTAAGCATAAAAACACAATTAATTTTCAAAAACATAAATAAAATCAACAAATTCTTATTTAGGCATCAGAGGCTATGCAAAAGTGCATTGCGCTTTTCCGCACCGATTACACGCTGCTCACGATAAAGAACTGCATGGGAGAGTTAAGCTCACACTATCCTAGTCAACTGGTCATTCTAGAACATGAAATCAATCAGAATATGCCAGGCAGCTCACACTCCAGCAGTCAACGAATCACGAACACGATTTACGAGAACGTCCTCAACGACGAGAACACGCTACTCAGCTACATTCAGAAGGGAAGACGCGCGCGCTGTCGCGGCCGATTTCCAGTACCTGTGATTATCTACAAAGGAAAATATATTTGTCGTTCGGCAACGCTTGCAGGCGGCGCTGAAATGTACACCAGATTCACCTACGACTACGTGTTCAATCCCGACTATGGAATCGACGACGACGAAGGCCTGAAAGCACCGAAAAGCGCGTCCGATTGGGCATTATTCGGACGCGTGCGCAGTTCCGATATCAAACTACTAAAAGCACTCAATGTCGGAACTATTGCTGACTTTATGGTGGAAAACAAAAAAGTCAAGTTCGGCGTCAATGTTACCTCATCAGAGAAAGTCGATAAAGAAAATCGATATTCAGACTTCTCGCTTATATCACTGCCATATCCAGGTTGCGAGTTTTTCAAAGACTATCGCGATAATAACTACAATGCCGAAGGGCTGGTGTTCGACTGGTCACAGGCGTATGTCGACGCGTTGATTACAATCCCAGACGATTCGGCATCCATTGCTAGTCAGCTCAACATCGATTGGACCGAGTACAAGACCTGGGATTTGGTCACAATTACACAAAACTACATGAAATTACTGCTGAAACACATCCAGGAAGGCAAATCAGGTCTACTCATACACTGTATCAGTGGATGGGATCGAACACCGTTGTTTGTTTCGCTAATAAGATTAAGTTTATGGGCGGATGGATTGATTCATCAGAATCTAGACGCGCAACAAATATTATACCTAACCATAGCTTATGATTGGATGTTATTCGGACATCATTTACCTGACAGACTCGGTAAAGGTGAAGAAATCTTCTTTTTTTGTTTCAATATCCTGAAAAAATTAACGGGAGAAGAGTTTAGTCTACAAAACACTGGCAGAAAGAAGGAAAAAGAGCGGATTGTAATCAGAACGGACTCGGAGACATTGTTAGATTCATTAATGTTAGATAGTGATATGAGAGGGTCTAATATCAGTCTGAACTCGGTGTGTTCATCGTTAAGTAACATGAGTCAAGATACAATGCCAATGGTATGGAATGGTATGCATGAGGATTTGATTTATGCGACTTCAAATGGAAGTAGTAACGGGAATAGTAATGGAAATATCAATGGAAATTCAATGATGGTAAACGAAGGTTCGTCTTCGTCACGATCACCTACGACGAGGAGAACATCGCCTGTGAGTGTACCGTCCACACATTTCCGCCAACGCAACGAATCCGCTTCCTCGATGTCAATTGGTAGCTGGCAGATGATTACAGGCGCAGGCTCAATTCGAGAATCCGATACTTCCGACTCAAATGGTCTTAATGCTAAGTATGTTAATGTTTTTAGTCGCAAGAATTCACTGCATTGTAATACTAGTAAATTCTGTTTCAGTAGTGACAGCTCAAGCCTGAACAATTCCAGCCATACGCTCATTGATGACGATAACATGTTTTTTTCGAACGTCGACGTTGACAGTCATTAGTGAGTGCTTACACATATATTCGTGGCTTTGATAAAACTAATGTGGTTGCTTATCGTCGCATTGTTTTCATTTTTACAGTCGGAAAAAGCGCCTGCTCAAAGTGCGTGAGACTTTCCTCAACTGCTATCACAAAGCGATCGGATTCAAGTTCAAGAACGATTCGTCACTGGGTTCGATGCTGGGGAATATCGCTGAGAAAGTTGGGCTTGCGCAGAGGTCGTAACGCGATGGTACTTGTACAGATTTTTTAGTAATAAGTAAATATTCACAACGACTGCGCACAATTCGTAAATCGTGCCAACGAAACGATGATTGAATTTTACAAGTTACAAGCATGACGTACGCTTCCACGGATTGTAATAATCGCCGCCATGTTTGTTCGGCAACTTTTTGTGATTTTAATGTTCCATTGAGAAGAAAAACAGAGTGCTATTTTTTAAATAGATTATTATAGATCCTCGCGTACACAAAAGACGAGTTTTATACGCGTGCGTTGATTTCCACTAACAACATGGCTGCCAGACACACACACATAATGTATATTAGACCCACGTGGAAATCGGCGCCAGGCTTTAAACCCATTAAACGTTAAATTATATATTTATACAGCGGTGATTTTATACGAAACAACGCGATAAAGACACGCCTAACACGTTCAAATCGTGTAAATATTCGCAACGCTCACGATTATCGTGGAATTTCATATTTTTACACGTTTTAATACTCGACAGTCATTTGTTTAAACTAAAACACGCCAACTACCTGAGGCAGATGACAAAGTACAATCGCACCAATGAGTACTAGCATATTATTTGAGTGCCTATGCAAATGACTGATGTATATCGCGTGCGGTTTGTTTAAAATAAGGTTATAATGAATTATCCTCAATGCTGAGAGAACGTACATTACATTTTATGCTGATGAATAACACTTTGAGATTTTAAATTATTTCCATCGGAAGAGATTATAAACAAATTGATCAAAGGACAGACACAATTTTTTACCTTTTATTCTTCCATCGTTGTCATGACGGCGTTTCCACTGTCATCAAACCCGAGTAAATTTCCTTCGACGTTCCTAATGCGTTTTTTCTTCTCTGTAGTATTCTTTCCATTGTTATCTACTTTTAGATGTGTCAGAAAGTCGGCGACGCTTTTGAATCCTTGATTTTGAGCCACAGGAGCTAAGATACCTGTAGGCATCTTGCCTTGTCGTGTTCTACAGATTGAACAGTTGCAGAGATTTCGACATGGTGGACATTCCCATTTTGGATCTCTCAGAGCAACGTCGGCTTCTTCTCCATAGCGATTTTTTAAACAAACACCGCAGAATTGACCTCGTATGCCTGTGCATCGTCCACTGCGACAGTAGGTTTTGCTATCTTTTGTTTTCTGTCTGCATTGATGGCAACTCGTACCGTCAGCGCTATATTCTTTGTAAATCACACGCCATGCGATGTTTTTGATGTAATTTTCTGTGATGTCTTCAGCAGCGACGTAGGGAACTTCAGCAATGCGGCGTGTGCCAAATTTTCGTTTAGTTTTCGGTCGAAAGACGACATCATCGAGATTTTCCAATTCGTGTGTTTCTCTCATGAATTTATTCCGCCGCAAAGTCTAAATATTATAGAATTAGTATAGATATTTAATTATTTAAGTAAATTTATGTAAAGATGCTTACACCAGATTCAGTTTCTACATCACTCAAATCATCTAAATTATATTCCGGTTTCTTGTTGGCAATCCTTGATGAAGATCTTCTTGTTAATGGGACATTACCATTGAATTGAAATGTTTTATCTTTGGTGTTTCTTTTCTTGATTACTCGATGCTCCTTTTCTTTTGCAGCAACTTTTTGCATTTCCAAAGCAACTTGCTGCATCTCTGGTTTTGCAAGCTCTTCATCCAACTAATTAAAACACAAACAATTATTTACAACATAAAATTAGCTTAAATAAGTAATTAACATAATTTAAAATTAGGTTTTGTTTACATGAATTTACTTACAAGATTTTGAAGATCTTGCATGTTTTGCATGCGAATTTTCTCCCAGTCTTCCATTTTGTTGAATTTTATTCAATAAATTATCAAAATATATTAGTTATTTAGTGTAATAGCCTATTTTAAATGATTTATAATGCACAGCCGGAGAATACAACACAAACTAACCCTATTAAAGTGTAATATACAACAGCTTATCGAATTTAAGCGCCAAAATTATTGTTTGTTAGTTAAGAACTCTTCGTACAGATGTCCGGAACGTGTTTGTTTTCCTTGTATGCTTAAAACATCAAATATACTATTCATTTATTGCAATTCACACTTATTTTGTTTGATTAATTGTAAAATGTGTGTCATATGCAAAATGCAATTGATTAACCGCAACCACAATTGCAGCTGCAGTTATCAATGAGCAATTGATGAAAACCACAACATTGTGGTCAATCCACGTCAAAATTGGGCATAAAATAAACGATTGCTTCGAACATTAATAAAAATACAACAAAGCAGAGATAAAAATCAAGTTTCTACTTTAAAACTAAACTAAATCTACTCATGAGTTCGATGATTTATTTATTTGAATTCCTTTATTTAACCCAATCGTTTACAACTTATCAAATACGAACGTATTATTCCTTATACCCAATAAGAATTTCACTCAAGTTATCATATCGATAATTGATATTAAATTTTATAGCCAAGTATGAGGGTACGTTTGCTTACAAAAGTGTACTTGACCCACGCACTCATGCACAATACGGATGCGTACATAGTTACATTTTTTTTATTGGGATATAATTGAACAAAAAATCCTACGATTAAAGAAAACCAATGAAAACTCGATACAATCTCCTCTTTTCGAAATTAAACCAACTACGACGAATAGATGCGCGTTTAAATTTACTTGAATCCTTCGAACGAATAAAACATCAAAACTTCATTATATCCCGTAAGTTAAGTTTTTCGTTTTTTTTTTATTTGTTTGTTTTTAATTATTTTTCACTTGTGGTAGCGAATACCTTTCAGTTTCAGGCGTACCACGCGCGGCTGGCGCCGTGCGCGTGGCGATGGTGTGTTTGTCTTCGATTTTTTATTTTTATATGAAAACTTTTTCTCATTTTTTTCTTTTGTTACCAGTTGCGATTAACGTAGTATCTTGCATTTTTTGTTATTTTGTGTTTTGTCTTGGAAAATTGTAAGCGGGAAGTTGCACGTCTGACTGACGGCGCAGGATGATATGCGGAGGGAGAGAATGTTAGAACGAATCGGAAGCGAACGCAGACAAGACGGTGAATTAGTCGAAGCGGAGCAGACGCTAGCGGTGATTAGCAGAGAAGACGTTAATAACGTGCATATTATGGAGCGAGAGGTTGGTTGGTTTTAGTTCTTGGTGCAACTCTTTCGTCGAGCCCCCAATCACGCGCATGGTCGCATCGTTTCGCATTTCAATCATCTCTTTATTCCTTCTTAGTCAGCGTAGCAGCCTGCTTGGCCTGGTGGGCCTGCAGCACAGCAACGGCCTCCTCCACCTTGGACTTGAGCGACTCGCTATGCTCCAGCATGTGCAACAGCTCCGAGTTGTCAATCTCGAGCAACATGCCGGTGATCTTACCAGCCAGATCCGGATACATGCGATAGATCAGCGGGAAGAGGCGCTCGCCCAGCATCTGTTTCTGCTCTGGTGGCGGCGCGGCAGCCAGCATGGAGGCGGTGAGCGGCTCCTGGCCCTGGATGTGCACGGCTTGCTGCTGAACGGGCTGAGCACCTGGCAAGGCAGCGGCCTGTGGCGGATTGCGCATGTTCGCCGTGTACTTAAAGTTGCCCGGGCGGGTGGAGCCGGCGGAAATGCCTTGGCCTGTAAGTGGTCGTGCTTGTAAGTTAGCGGGCTGTTGGCCGGTTATAGGTCTGGGAACACTCATATTACCCCTCATTGCTCCGGACTGATTAGCCGCGCGCGGCGGTGGCCGGTAGGAGCCTTGCATGCCGGCGTAGGCGTTGGTGCCACCCTGGGCGCCGGGGCGCACTTGGTTCTGGGCCGGCCAGCGAGTGGTTGCGCGGAGGGGGGCCATCTGGGTGGTGCCATAGAAACGCTGTTGCGGGTGCAACGTGGGCACAATGTAGCCGGCGGCGTTGCTCGGTTGGATATAGGCGGTGCCCATCTGGTGCATGCGGATGTTGGCCAAACGCTGCATATACTGCGAGGTCAAATGCGCCTTGCGGTCTTCCTTGCGCTGTGCAAGCGCAACATACAACGGTTTAGAACCGACAATACGACCGTTCATCTCGGTAACAGCTTTGGTAGCCTCCTCAGGTGAAGAGAAGCATACGAACCCGAAGCCCTTGCTGCGACCTTCCTCCATCATCACCTAAAACACATTCAGTCAAGCAACCCACCTCCACACACAAACCCAAACAAAACAAAACACCCACCTTTGCGGAAGTGATTGTACCAAACAAGGCAAATTCCTTGCGCAGACGCTCATCATCGATGGTATCATCCAAGTTCTTGACGTACAAGTTAACGCCCTGGTAGCGGTTGAGACGTTCAATCTTCAACTGCTCGAAGCGACGTTTCAACTCCATCTGACGCTCTGCCTTCTTCTGTGCGCGTCCGACGTACATCGGCTTTCCTTCGACGAACTCCTTACCGTTGAGTTCGTTTACAGCGGACTCAGCCGCATCGGGGTCCTCGAAGGCAACGAAGCCGAAGCCTTTCGATTTGCCGTCGTCCTTGCTCATAATCCTGTAGCTCGTGATAGGTCCATACTTCTCAAACATACCACGCAGCTGCTCGTCGGTGAACTCCTCGCCGAAGTTTTTGATGTACACATTCGTGAACAACTTGGCCTTCTCTCCCAGCTCCTTCTCGCGCTCCTTGCGCGGAATGAAGCGGCCGACGTAGACTTTCTTGCTGTTCAACAGCATGCCATTGACTTTCTCAATGGACTTGTTCGCCGACTCTTCGGTTTCGAAGTGGACGAAACCGTAGCCTTTGGAGGCGCCGTTCTCATCCTGAGCGACCTTGCAACTCAGGATACTGCCGAACGCCGAGAATGTATCGTACATGGCCTTGTTATCAATACTCTTGTCCAAGTTCTTGATGAACACGTTGCCCACGCCAGACTTGCGCAACGAAGGGTCGCGCTGCGACCACATGATGCGGATGGGTCTGCCCTTGAGCAAGTCGAAGTTCATCGTGTCCAGCGCGCGCTCCGCTGTAAGAAAACATGCAGATTTTTAGTAAAGACATTGCAGCATGGCGTGCGTACGACGCATGGGCGCAGGTGGTTTGGAGGTTAGATCCGCTGCACACCCCCATGGCGCATCTGGAATTTTCCGCATGACTCATCGGCCACGTTTCATGCAATACGCAGCTGGAGCACTTACCATCAGCTGGCTGCTGGAAGTTGACGTACGCGTAGCCCAACGAGCGACGCGTAATCATGTCTCTGCAGACGCGGATGGAGAGCACGGGCCCTGCTCCTGAAAACTTCTCAAACAGCATCGCCTCGGTGATGTCCGAATGCAAGTCCCCGACGTACAGGGACGCCATGGGATAATTGGGTGCCGCCGAATTCATTTTGCTTTACGTTATTTTCCACTTCACTGTTTTCACACACGTTTAACGCTTAGAACCGAGGCTCAGTAATACTCAACATATGAAACAGAAATAAGGTTAGCTAGCATTGATTATATTCCGTTTTCAGAAGTTTTTCGATTTTTTTTTGGGTTTTGTTAAGGTTTTTTGTATTTTTTTGGTATTTTTGTATAGTTATTTCACTTTTTTTTAAAGTGGGTTGTGAAACTATGAAAAGTATCACAACCACACGATGTCTTCTTATATTAAGAAATGGGCTGGTGGAGGAATGCGCTTGGCTTTTATACCAAGCGGCAACGACAACGCCGACCCCTACCGCAACAAAATATAGTACCGCAATGACGGCAAATAAACGCCCATAGAACCTATTTGTTAACATTTGTAACTTCCTAAAGAGTAACAAATCAAATACTAGGAATGAATACTAAAAAATTGTTTAGTATAGTTAAATATTTACAAAAACTAAAAAAATACGTTATTCCGTAGACGTCCGCCATGTTGAATCTCAAATCCCGCGAAATTTAAACCTGTGAGTTTGAGCACGTTGCACTCGATGCATAGACGAAATTAAGATAACTTTCTATACCCACAAATCGATAAAAACGAGACATTACCATTGTGAATTTCTATGAGTCAGTAGTAATTACACGCCCTTATCTAATATTCTAATGAATTGTTAACGATTACGAGCATTCAAAAGGGTTAATTACATTATGATTGGAAATTTATCACAAGGTTAGCAATCAAAAATGTTGCAAAACATGGTGTAAGCTGTAAACAGATAAAACGCGCAGAATGAATGGCGTGGTAATCATTGGAATGTTTTACTGCGCATTAAATTTGCAATTCGAATGCAGTTATGTTATGCATTTCTGAGACTGAACAATCTAGAATAATTTACGCTGTATATTTGGTTGCCTATGCGATGGCATAGTGAAAGAGTAGTAAAACATTTAGCGCAATATCGAAAACTCGTTTTTGGCGAATGAGTACAATCGACAGGTAGGTATAATACTTACGTTCCAAGAATTAAATGCCAACCGAGTGGCGAAAGTTTGGAAAAAGTAGTTTTACCTGCCTGCGGCATCAACACAAATAGAATATTAAAAGTTAGACGACAAAACGAACGAAATCAACAAACAAAATGGCCGCTTTACATTTACAAACATTTTGGCGGGTTAAAAGAGTTAGAATTAAACAATACAACATTAAAATATAATATAATGTAAACAACTTTTTAATAAGTCAAATAGATATCGATTTTTTTTCTAAAAGGAAGTCACAGTTTGGTTTAATCATGCTACAGATGAATATTGCTTGTGAATAATACTGAGACGCATTCTGAATCATCTTAAAACCATCAGATAACAATAATCAACAACTCTTGCATTCTCTTTGCATAAAAATATACACGCTCTCTCTATCAACATCTTTGAAATCATTGCAAACATTGCGACCTAATCAATAAATATACATGTACCAATCTACCATTTTATCGTGTGGTGGTTGTGGTGGTTTCTGCTGAGGTATGAGTAAAATTACCGCCTTCTACAATCAAACTCTGGTAACTTATCAACGCTAAACTCATGAATAACATCGTACAAATATATCACTAATCGACTAATTACTGAAGCAATCACTAGCTTTTGCAAAACGTCCGCAAACGTTGTCTGTTATGATATATATTATAATATATATATATAAAAATGTAATGAATAAAATACGAAAACTTAATAGGATCTGCTGCTACCCGCGAGTGCCGTGCGGTGGCTGGTGGTGGTAACACGTGAGGTGTGAGTCGGTGGTGTGTTGGTGGTCGCGCGCGCAATTGTTAGCCGTGGTAACAATTGTGCGAGCGTGTATCATGCAATCATCTCGATGTCAAGCCTGTCGCCGTCCACCGGGTCAATGTGGCTCGTTGGCGTAGGCAGGCGCGGCTCCATCATCAGCGGGTCACAAGCGTGCACCGGATGTGAGGGTGATGCGAGCAGTGCATCCCCGGGTAATGCTTGCGGAGAAGCTAACATTGGATCGCCATGAACACCGTTGACGGGTTGTTCGTCGTCGTCCATCAACTCATCCATTGCGGCGATGCTTAGGGTTGCCTCGGATATAATGTCAGGCATCTATAAATATTTAAATATGAATAAAACAGGTAAACATTTTTAAATTTTATGAATACTAACGTGAAGACTTGATCTTCTGCTAGGATCAGGCATAAGCAGCGTAGACATAATGGAGTCCTGCGTCGCTTGATTGAGTTGACTATTCAGGTAGGTTTTGTACAATGAGGTGGAGGAGGTGCCGCTTTGATGCCAGTTGAAATCGTCGGCTAATTCATTGCATTTCGCTTGACTTTCCAACTCCTAGTAAATAAAAATCACTAGATTTATAATAATACCAACATAAAAGTCACCAGAAAACTAACCTGTATCCGCTGTTGGAGTTTACGATTCATATTTTCGATCTGCTTCTGACGCAATTCATTTTGTTTCAGCCGATGGACTTCACTCTTCAGACATTTTATGTACTCCACTGAAGACTTGAGGATGGTACCTTTATTAGGCCTCACATCACGGACAATTTCATAATAAGATTCGTTATTCTTCGGTAGCAGTGTCCCAAGTTCTTTTATTCGGTCGTTTATGTTGAATCTTCGTCGTCGTTCGACTGCAAACATAATTTTGATATAGGCAACCAATAATACACGATGCATATAAGTTATGTAAGTTCTAGATATTTATTAAGGTTATTATGAAAATTTTACTTACTCATATTATGATTATCTTTCTTCTGTCGGTCTTTCGCCAGAGCATGAAGCTCCGTCTCGGAATAAGAAAACGGTTCATTTTTTATGCTGATATCGGCGCTCGTCAGCGAATTATCCGAGTTCTTGAAGCTGTCCGACGCTAACGAATTGTCCAGACAAAACAGATCGTCGATCAGCTCGTCTGCCTGCAAACAATAAAGTGCAAAGTCAGCATTACAATTCCCATCTTGCGCGAATCTCATTCATAAACCTCGTCGAGTTTAATTGCTTGCATTTGAGTTATGCAACGCGTAAATTGAATGAATCGCATGAATCATGAATCATTTTCGGTTCGGACGAAAAGCGCGCAATTAGTATCTCTACGCGAACATAAAAGGACGGTAATTTAATAACGTTAATTATGTGTTACATGGCTGAGAACGGCCGCGAAGAGAAGAGCATCGCAACGAAATTAAATGCATGTCTGTAAACACTTTGGAATACAGAGGAAAAAACATAAATCCACACTGTTTCACTCGTTCACTGATTCAACTGGCGTAACGTAAAAATGTTATTACTTTATTACATAAGCGCATAAACCGGATAGGAATAAAAAAACGTACACGGTTTCGCCGAAGGTCTGATCGCGTCGCATGTTGAAATTATTTATGATTTTATTGATACAAAATACAAGCATCCACATTAAACACAAGTCATTAAAGTTGCATAAATCTGACAATTGTCAAAATTGTCATTTGAGTTGCCTATAGTTAATTTGTTTAATGACTACTTATGTGTTTATCGAGTTAATAATGTAATTTTCATTACTCATCGCGCACAACAATAGCTTTTACTGTTTACGTTCCCGAAAATACAATCTTCATGTGTCTGCACATTGCAACAATGACAATGCAACTAAGCACTGCGTAAAGTTGTAAATTTGATGATGGGACAAAAAAAAAACCGAAACGCCCGAAACGTCCTCGTTACTCATAATTATATCAATATGTCGTGTGCGCGGTTTTGTCGTCGCATTGTGTTCAATGTTGAATTGTTGAATTTCGACTCTTCGGCGCTACTGGGTCACAATTACACGCATGCAACGAGCAACGCCGGCGATTTTTTTCGGGCACTGCTTATTATTGCGTTGTGTCACACGAAATTTCAGTCGAATTTAATTCCATACAATACCTACACGATGTTATAAAATACAGCAAACAAATGCGCTTTCGTGTTTTCACCTCATTTTACCGTTGTTCGCCGGACTCGACGCACAAAAATGACAAAACTACTCATTAAATGCTTCTGCATAATGACAGCACATTAAATTTTCATGTATATTCAAAAAGTCAACTTGTACCTATGCTTTGAGTTGCGATATAAGTATTGAACATACAAAAAACAACGCAAGTTTGTTTTATATAAATTTAAAAAAACGTGAAATTGTGGTTTGAAAGTGTAAAAAATTAATTTATTTCTTTATTTGAAATAAAAAATTTAATTATTTAGCTTCCTAATCTTAAAAAACTTAATTACAATCGCATAAAATCGTGTTAAAAATCAATTTACAAGTGTACCATTTAAAATTCGTTTAAGACTCGAAAAAAACTTGTTAATCATTGCAATCACACTTCTAAAACCTTGAAAAAACCAACAAAATACGTAAATGACTAAAACAATTGCAACTTTCGAGAAAACACAATAAATAACCACATTTTTATGAATAACTGCACTCGATCACACTTGATCTTGAGCAGGAAACACTGGACTCTGTGCTCATTTAAAAAATTTCATACGATCACTCATAGAAAGACGTTTCGAAATGTATCAAGAAACGTGTTCAGATAAGCAGCACGAGATTATCGCATGCTAGGAACTTTATCTTAAGTATATTACATATTTTATTAAATAATTCAATAAAGTAGATAGATATGAAATTTAGATACCAAGATGTGGTCATGATAACAATAATTTCACCTTGCCTTTTATACAAGTAGGTATAAAGTATAAGCCATGCATAATAATGTATTATTCGGATGGTGAACACGTTTCGCGAGATGTGTCACGGCGCACGATAATGCAACATGCAGCACGTTTGTCGATTAAATGTGTAATTAAGTTCAAGAGTGTGTGAAGTGCAGTATTTACTGCGCACCTTGATCAATATGAAAGTATTTTATTAAATTCTCAAAGATAAAGATTCAGACGAAAGCTCGCATTCCAACCTCTATTCTTTGTATATTTGGTTGCCTATATAGATAATACATAGTATAGTCATTTTGATAATTTATGAGTAATTAAATCGTTACTTTAGCGTTTAGACTTAGCTTAAGCTATGAGTAAAGTGAAACGATTTGTAATTCACACAACGACGTTATTTTTTATTATCAGCGGTGTCTGGTCGTCGCCGGCGCGGCGTGATATGATAAAATGCGCAACATGTTCCCTCCAAAAATAAAAATCATGCCAAATAAATGTTGTGTGCATATTGCGGACACAATCGGTGCATAAATGCAAAGCGTGCGCATGAATAATCCGAAAAATAACATTTTCATAACGTCATTAGTACAAACGCAAAGAGTAAATATAAAACGTCATCATTGATTCGGTAATTTTGGCAATTACGCGCTGGCGCTAATTGCCGCTTGTTGCTCACTTGTCGCCGCTTAATCAAACAAAACGATTAAACTGACTGACATGTTGAGCAAATAACGACTTTACACATCTTTCAGAAACACAAAATTACGTGTTTCGTTGTAAATGTAACATGTTACAATTGTTAAAACAATAAAATATATTAAAATTTATAAAAAACGGTATGAATATTAAGACGGGCGCAATCGTAAATTGTGTAAAATTGTTTTGTCTTATCCGAAATATGGCTAAAGTCGTGAAAATGTAAAAATCATGAATACTATGATTAGCGCGTCGTCTAAAGTGGATTGGTGCGGTTGTAATCTCATATGTGTGGCGTGGATTTGCATTATTTTGCATGTGCTGCTTGTTTTGCAAAACGTAAATTATCGCTTGGAAGGTGGAGGTGGAGATGGTTTTTCGCGTATTCAAGGACAAAAGGCGCAGGTAAATTGCTCGTTGGCGACCAAAACTGTTTCTTATCACGCCGGAACAAATTTACCGTGGTGTCCATCATTCATATTCATCGCGCACACGTTTCGGCCATAATTACCATCTACTTACATAAAGAAAACAATTAAGTTAATTTATGCGAAAATTAGATACGTAATATTTAATATTTTGATGTTTTTTCAGTCCTGGAGAATGAAAAATCTATTTTGTGATATAAAACACTGAAAATATTTTTTAAGATTTTCCTAATTATTTTGTGATTATTAAGCTTGAAATTTCAATTTTCTTGTATTTTATGTGGCGACAAATTCGATCGCTAGCATTTTATTTTATCGCACATTGTTTCGACGGTAATACACAATTTAAAAACGAGTTCCGCGCTATCAGCTCGCGCGCGCCCAAAAGAAATAACTGCTCTAAATAAATAAATACATAACAAAACAACGAAATTAACTAAATATAAACATAGTACTAGTTTATTACCGTTTATCCTGGTTACGTTTGTCGATCTAAATAAGTGTGAAATGTCGTCTGCGTTCGTTTCTCTTGACAATAATAAAAATGAAATTAAAATCCTTCGGTAATAAGACGTGTAAAAACCCCAGAACCAGTTTGCAGACGTGTGTATTACACATACACATGATGTTGGTTTGTTGGTTGGTTGGTTGGAAAGTAGGTGATGCAAATTCGGAATGTGCACGAGCATAATTTCGACTTGTTAGTGAGTGAAGAAAAAAAGAACTAATAGTAATAAAGGCAGCAGGAGATTGGTGTGTGTTAGGTGTTGTCGCAACCGTCAAAAATCGTCAGATACGCAGATACAGATCCATTTGCATATTAAGCGGCATTGTGTGTTGGCTAAGCGCAGTTCGGACTCGATTTAATTCACTTTTTCTCTGCGAATGACACAGACACACCGAATCGAATTCGGTACATTTCTCTTTCATTCCGTTTCGCCGAATTTGTTGACGCAACATGTCGAACAAGACTAATTCTCGTGTTAGATAAATGTAGACATTTATTTATGAATGAAATGAATTTTTTATGTGGTTAACACACAATTTTGCAATAAATAAACTATATTATGTTGGAATAGAATAGTAAACTAATTTTCTGCAACAGCCATTAAAAAGACATAAAACAAAGAGATTTACATGAATGCGCATGCGCAAAAGAAAAACGCCAGGATAATCTATGACTATGAGCTACGAAATGACGAGGGGACGACTAAAACGCGACTGAGCACTGAACGCACTGCGTGCTTGTCTTTATACCTACGGACTACCCGCAAAAAGTAGTGGGGGAAGCAATGCGAGCGACTTCCTCCACTCGAGTACGGTAGCTAGTAACTCATGTCAAACCACTACTACTAGTCATAGGAAAGTGCTAAAACAACCCATGTCAATTCTCAATGCTTTCTCACCCTTTTTGCCCTCATTTAAAACTCTGATTAAAAGATGGATCCCACTGATTCCTAGTAACTTATCTTAATATTTCCCATGAATTTTTAAATCTCAATTAATAAAACGAAACCTGTTGCTACGATTGCCGGTTGTAAGCGCGTACACGACGATAATTACGATAATTGAATCGATTAACATGTTTGATCCCAACGAGCTGATACGCGCAGTGCGCGATTACGTGTTTTATAACCGCACGAAAATTATGATACGAGAAGGTTAAAGCAATATGTGCCTGTCTACTCGCCGTAGACACCGTATGACAAAAGCATCTTGCAAACCAACGTCACACACATGTTACATAATTCTAATTAGCAGATTACGACTTGACTTGCGCGCACCGTGCGAACCCACAAAACACCACAACCTTAATCAATTCAAGCAGTAAAACACCTTGGGCGCATTAAACAAGAGAAAGAAATTCGCAAAAAAGTGAAATGAAAACAAACCACCGCAAGCGATTGCTTCATAATTCAAAAAAATTTAAGGTTATGTGATCCGATGACCTTGGTTGCGTATACATAACGGTTGTGTAGTACCGGAAATCAATGGCTGCGATGACATCGCGAGGTTATGTTATGTCACACACACTTTTCCGCTGTTTTTCCACGAGTTATGAAAAATATGCGCGCTAACGATACTAACAACGATAATACCAG